ATATAACTTCTTCCTATAACTCCTCCTATTACTCCATATATCCTCTCCCTATAACTCCTCCTATTACTCCATATAACCTCTCCCTATAACTCCTCCTATTACTCCATATAACCTCTCACTATAACTACTCCTATTACTCCATATAACCTCTCCCTATAACTACTCCTATTACTCCATATAACCTCTCCCTGTAACTCCTCCTATTACTCTATATAACCTCTCCCTATAACTCCTCCTATTACTCCATATATCCTCTTCCTATAACTCCTCCTATTACTCCATATAACCTCTCCCTATAACTCATCCTATTACTCCATATAACCCCTCCTATTACTCCATATATCCTCTCCCTATAACTCCTTCCTATAACTCCTCCTATTACTCCATATAATCTCTCCCTCTAACTCCTCCTATTACTCCATATATCCTCTCTCTATAACTACTCCTATTACTCCATATATTATCTTCCTATAACTCCTCCTATTACTCCATATAACCCCTCCTATTACTCCATATATCCTCTCCCTATAACTCCTCCTATTACTCCATATAACCTCTCACTATAACTCCTCCTGTTACTTCATATAACCTCTCCCTATAACTCCTCCTATTACTCCATATAATCTCTCCCTCTAACTCCTCCTATTACTCCATATATCCTCTCTCTATAACTCCTCCTATTACTCCATATAACCCCTCCTATTACTCCATATATCCTCTCCCTATAACTCCTCCTATTACTCCATATAACCCCTCCTATTACTCCATATATCCTCTCCCTCTAACTCCTCCTATTACTCCATATATCCTCTCCCTATAACTCCTCCTATTACTCCATATAACCTCTCTCTATAACTCCTCCTATTACTCCATATAACCTCTCTCTATAACTCCTCCTATTACTCCATATAACCTATCCCTATAACTCCTCCTATTACTCAACATAACCACTCTATACCTCCTATTACTCCATATAACCTCTCCCTATAACTCCTCCTATTACTCCATATAACCAGTCTATACCTCCTATTACTCCATATAACCTCTCCCTATAACTACTCCTAATACTCCATACAACCTCTCCCTAACTCCACCTATTGATTTTGCAATTTTATCCTTTATTGGAAAGTTTCTACTATGATTATTTTTAATAAATATATATGTCATATCGATACCTGGCTGGAGACCCAGTGAACTGTTGGAAGCTGCAAACACCGGGGCGTGGACCACTGATTATGTGGGTTTTTCTGGACCCCCCAAATATTGGGGGAGACACCTTGAAGTGCTTGATTCATCGGGCATGCTGAGTGCATCCAAACTATTAAATAATTAAATAATCAGTATATTTAACTATATGTTTTTTTTATTTAATTCTTTTGCAGATTTTCAACTGTATCAATTTTCTATATGCTATACTAAAGGAATCAAGCATATTGCCTTTGCTAAAGATAAGCAACTTCATGCCTTAAAGATACACTATAAATAAACAGACCACTTCATCTCAATAAAGTGGTCTGGGTGCAGTACTCCCGCCTGTTCATGACTGCAATGTAAAAAACTGAATTTGTTTGTGGAACAATGTTTACGTTGTAGATTTATCCTGCCTCTAGTGACTGTCTTACTGACATCCACTAGAGGAGCAGTTAAACTTGGTTTGAGATCAAATGCACCTAGAGTAACATTTAAGTGCCGCTGCAGAGTGTTTGCTGCGCATGTGCAATACTTCCCATGGGGAAGCATTGGACTAGATGTGATCATCAACATTGATGATCTCAGCTAAAGAAGCGGGATCAACAGCAAGGAGAGCATGCGGCATGGAAAGCAATACTCACCTTTCAAACCACCCTCACATGTGTGAAGTATTATGCATTTATCCAGGAATTAAAAGTCATAGTGTGCTCCCCAGGGATAAATTCCTACTTGCCAGTGCTATATTGTCCCCTAATTTCCCTATGCCCATAATAGTGTTAATCCACTTGTATACAACTGGAGATCTCTAAGATGTCAAGTTTGAGGATCTCATCCACGGAAGCGGAGCAAAACAGGCCAGCCGTGGTTTGACCGGTACGGCGTGGGAAATAAGGTGAGTAAAATCACTTTTTTACTGTAATTAGAGGGGGCCGAAGAGAGACATAAATAGTTGTTATACCAGTAGTGTCAGGAATACGTTTGTGTTCCTGATACTATATTGTTTTCCTTTAAGCTAGATGGCTTTTCGTCATGTAGAGCGAGACCTGGCAGCTTGTGTTCCCCCTGACAGGTCTCTTTCTTAGTTTCCTAGAGGGGGCACTGTCTGTGGAATGAGAGAGAGATTAAAAAGGTGAGTAGAACTGCTTCATTAAGCTAAACTTGTTTAGGTCACTATAGTGTCCCTTTAAATATGCAAAGAGCCACCTGAAGCTTAAAGGACCACTATAGGCACCCAGATCACTTCAGCTTAATGAAGTGGTCTGGGTGCCAGTTCCAGTTATGTTTAACTCTTTTTTCTATAAACATAGCAGTTTCAGAGAAACTGCTATATTTATATTAGGGTTAATCCAGCCTCTAGTGGCTGTCTCACTGACAGCCGCTAGAGGCGCTTCCGCGCTTCTCACTGTGATTTTCACAGTGAGAAGACGCCAGTGTCCATAGGAAAGCATTGTGAATGCTTTCCTATGGACTGGCTGAATGCGCGCGTGGCTCTTGCCGTACATGCGCATTCAGCCGAGGAGGAGGAGAGTCCCCTGCCCAGCGCTGGAGAAAGAGGTAAGTTTAACCCCTTCCACCCCCTAGAGCCCGGCAGGAGGGGGACCCTGAGGGTGGGGGCACCCTCAGGGCATTATAGTGGTCCTTTAATGTGTGATTTCATACAAGTACAACATCATAGGCGTGCACACGGGGTGTGCCGGGTGTGCCTAGGCACACCCTAATCCCCGTGGCACGCCTATGGTTTGAGTCCTGCAGGAACAGCGTTCCTGCACTTTTTTTGAGCAGGAACGCTGTTCCTGCAGACACTCAGCACCCCCTGTCTCACCTCTTGCCCCTGTCATGGGGGGGGCAAGAGGTGATGGATCCCCCCCCCTCCAGCTCAGCCGCGGCGAGGGAGCTGTCTGCTCTCTGCTCTCTGCTTCCTCTCGCCGCGCGCTGATGCCGGGAGCCGGAATATGACGTCATATTCTGGCTCCCAGCTACTGTAGACAGCCCGCGCGGCGAGAGGGAGCAGAGAGCAGACAGCTCCCTCGCCGCGGCTGAGCTGGAGAGAGGCGCCCGCCCCACTGTGTGAGTGTGTCTGTGTGTGTGAGTGTGTGTGTCTGTGTGTGAGTGTGTGTCTTTGTGTGAGTGTGTGAGTGTGTGTCTGTGAATGTGTGTCTGTGAATGTGTGTCTGTGAGTGTATGTGTGTGTGAGTGTGTGTCTGTGAGTGTATGTGTGTGAGTGTGTCTGTGTATGTGTGTGTCTGTGTGAGTGTGTGTCTGTGAATGTGTGTGTGTGTCTGTGAGTGTATGTATGTGTGTGTGTGTACATATATATATATATATATATATATATATATATACATACACACACACACACGCAGAGCCGGCGCTATCTGAGTGCCGGGTCTGCTCTAAGCCTCCATGGGCCGGCGGGGAGACCAAAGATCTACCTCACCGGCCCACAGCAGGATGGAGGGAGGCAGGAGAGGACCCAGGGAGCTCTAGACAGAAGCTCCGCCAGGTTCCTCTCGCGATATCTGAGCGTTGCTGCGGCAACGATCAGATCTCGCTAGAGTTAACTCTAGCCCCGCAGGCTAGAGTTCACTCTCCACTGGACCACCAGGGATGGCACATGGCAGCAAGGATTTAATAATCTGCCAAATCACTCCAACATACAGCACACACACATACAGCACCTACACACATACAGCTCACACACACACAGTACACTAACCGCACCCTCACAAACACACACAGCACCTTTAAAAAAAAACACAACACCCTCACACACAGCACACTAACAGCACCCTCACAAACACACACACACACACACACAAAAACAGCACCCTCACAAATACACGACTCACACAAACAGCACCCTCACAGGACAAACATACACACACAAAAACACCCTCACATCACACTAACAGCACCCTCACACACACATCACACTAACAGCACACAGCACACACAGCAGTGTATGTGTGTGTGTATATATATATATATACATATATATAGATAGATACATACACACACACACACGCGCGGCGTGTGTTTGTGCTTTAGGGTGCACACCCTAATGCAATAAGCTGCGCACGCCTATGTACAACATTATAGTCACAACTCACACTAAACTAATCAATTGTATAAAAACAAATTTGTGAACTACATTCTCAGTTACCTGTCTAGCTTCCTCTATATATTCCACCACACCCCAGAGATACCACCTTTTAAAATTTTCTATTTTCATCAATATTGACTGCAATAGTTTTTGGCTGAATATGCCATTTCATAAAATCTCTTTTGGCACTCTTGTTAATAGCAGGCAAGATTATGCCAAAAGAAATAATTGAGGGATTAAAATCAGATTTCTATTTGGCTTGGTTACAACGCAAGAGGTGTTTAATGTCCTCCTTGTTTATACAAATATGAACTAGCAATTCCATTACTTAATGCCTGATGCCATGTTTATTTATTACCACACAAATAAAGCACCCAGCTATTTGGATTATGGGAAGTATTCTTTAAGTTTGTGAAAGACTTGGAAACACACATTCAATCATTAGATACACAGTGACTTCATTTTTTCTGAAGTTTTTCAGTTTTTCTCACTTGTCTACATGGGATTATATATCACAACTTTACTACATCATAACCAGGGCCGGCGCGTCCATAAGGCGGCACAGGCGGCCGCCTTAGGGCGCACCGGCTCTGGGGGCGCAAAATTCCAGTGACCGGCAGGAGGGAAGTGCTCCCTCCTGCCAGGTCACCTCCTGGATCCCCGGCGCGGCGTGTGGCTGAATTGGATGCCGAGGTGGCGAGGGAGCTCTGATCTCTCTGATGTGCTCCCTCGCAGGCTGCTTACTGATGACGTCATATTCCGGCTCCCGCGGCATCAGTAAGCAGCCTGTGAGGGAGCAGATCAGAGAGATCAGAGCTCCCTCGCCACCTCGGCATCCAATTCAGCCGCACGCCTCCCAGCAGCCCCACTGGACCACCAATGAGAGACCCACGCCAGCTCTCCAGGTAGGGAGGCTGGGTGGGACATTTTAATTTAATTTAGATGATTAATTACTGTTAGTGTGTGTGTGCATGTGAGTGAGTGTGTCTGTCAGTGTGTGTGTGTGTGTGTGTGTCTGTCAGTGTGTGTGTGTGTGTCTGTCAGTGTGTGTGTGTATGTGTGTCTGTCAGTGTGTGTGTGTGTGTGTCTGTCAGTGTGTGTGTGTCTGTCAGTCAGTGTGTGTGTGTGTATGTGTGTCTGTCAGTGTGTGTGTGAGTGTGTCTGTCAGTGTGTGAGTGAGTGTGTCTGTCAGTGTGTGTGTATGTGTGTGTATGTGTGTCTGTCAGTATGTGAGTGAGTGTGTCTGTCAGTGTGTGTGTGAGTGTGTCTGTCAGTGTGTATGTGTGTCTGTCAGTGTGTGTGTGTGTGTGTGTGTGTGTGTGTGTGTGTGTGTGTGTGTGTGTGTGTGTGTGTGTGTGTGTGTGTGTGTGTCTGTCAGTGTGTGTGTCTGTCAGTGTGTGTGTCTGTCAGTGTGTGTGTGTGTGTCTGTCAGTGTGTGTGTGTGTGTGTGGTTCTGTCAGTGTGTGTGTGTGAGTGAGTGTGTCTGTCAGTATGTGCGTGTGTGCATGTGAGTACATGTGTCTGTCAGTGTCTGTGAGTTTGTGTGTGTGTGTGTTTGTCAATAAGTCTGTCAGTGTTTGTGTGTCTGTCAATGAATGAGTGTCAGATAAGTGAGTCTGGCTGTGTGAGATGTCTGTGTGTTTGTCATTGAGTGTGTGTGACTGTCAGTGTTTCTACACCCCTGACTGTAGCGTGGCCAAGCAGAGTGTACCGTGGTACAGGAACTTCTGTTTCCTGTACCTAGCAGGACTGACAGGAAAAGCTCACTGTACCGGGATTCGCTCCGCTCAGCCACGCTACAAGAAAGGTAGGAGGCACACCAGGAAGGGGAGGGGACCACTATGGGGGTGGGTGGCGCACCAAGGGACATGGAGAAGAGGGGAGAGATACCCTAAGGTACAGGAAAAGGAGGGAGGGGGAGAGGAACACTAAGCGACAGGGAACAGAGGGGGGAGGGGAGAGGAACACTAAGGGACAGGGAAAGGAGGGGGAAGGGAAAGGAACACTGAGGAACAGGGAAAGGAGGAGAGAAGGGAGAGGAGCAGTAAGGGTCAGAGAAGGGAGGGGACCATTAAGGGACAGGGAGAGGGGCTGGATGTAAAAGAAACACACAGCGGGGCTTGAGAAGGAAAGAGACACACAAAGGAGCTGGGAAGAATAAAAGACACAAAGAGGAGAGATAGGAGACACACAAAGGCAAAAATAGGAGATAAAATACACTAAAGGGAGTCAGATATTTAAAAGACGGGATAAGAAACACAAAAGGGAGGTTAAGAGGCACATGGGCGAATATGTTTTTGGGGGGGGGAGGAAAAATGCATCTTCGCCTATGTACCCAAAATTCTTTGCACCGGCCCTGATCATAACCAAATCAAACAGGAGACTGAAATTCTATTATATTCAGACTTGTGGCAAAGGTCCACTGTTATGTTCAATATAATTTCAGCATTGAACACTGTAGCAATTGATTCTACATTTATAAATTTCATAGATCTTCTAAAGAAGGTAAATTTTATGTATTTGTGATCGTAATAATAGTTGCTTGTCACAAAAAAAAAAAGTGGGAAGAATTATTATATAAAATATCCACCTACAGCACCCAGACCACTTCAGCTCAATGAAGTGGTCTGGGTGCCAGGTCCGTCTAATTTTAACCCTGCAACTGAGGGTTAATACAGCCTCTAGTGGCTGTCTTGCCAGAGTTGCTGAAAATCACAGTGAGAAGATGCTGGATTTCCATAGGAAAGCAGCGGTTTTAATGTACGCATGGCTTTTGTCGCGCATGAGCATTCGAAGCTGACATCGGCAGAGGGAGGAGAGTTTCCGGCGCTGGAGAAAGGTAAGTGACTGAAGGCGTTTTAAACCATTCAGCCCAGCGGAGGGGGCCCTGAGGGTGGGGGGAGGGGGGACCTATTGACCCTATAGTGCCAGGAAAACTAGTTTGTTTTCCTGGCACTATAGTGCTCCTTTAAGCTGGCATTCTGAAAAAATGTGATGAACATGGCACTTATATCTGTAAGTTTGTTTGTTTGTTACCTCTTTGCAAAAAGATTTCAGTGGGAGAGTTCAAATTTTACAATCCTGACTTTGTTCCCTTGCATCCTACTTTTGGGATTACCTGAGGAACGCATCATTAGACACCCTCGCACTACACTCCGGGCATTAGGACCAGCCAGAGAGCATGGAAACCGCGTTCCTTCGCCCTCAGTGAATGCATTACTCTGTAAATCACTCTATTTTCAGTAAATTTATTCTACAGTGCCATCCAGTGGAAAAGCCAGGTACTAGCACGGGTGACATGAATAGATACTTTAATAGAATCAAATGTTAACACCCAACAATACTGCGTGAACAATGTAAAACCAGCGTGTGTTTTTTGCTTTAGCAGAGATACCTGCACCTCAACACTCATGGGGGCCTGACAGTTGATCAGGTAGTATCAGATTGCATTAGATCAGGGCCAGTGCAGGGATTTTTGGTGTAGGCCTGTGTGTCCCTTAACCCTTCTTTTGCCCAATTTATGTATATTACTCAATTTTTATGTCATTTTCCCCTATTGAGAATTGTGTTCAATTTTGTTGTTCCTATTCCTGCTTTTGTGTCTTTATCCTCTTTGTGCTCTTACCCCCTTGTAATCTACATTGTCGCTTACTTTACCCTTTATTATCCCTAACTCCATGCGTCTCTTTATCCCATATGTCTCTTAACCCCTTTGCATTACAGTATGCAGAGACATCCCAACACCCACAATTCATATACAATATTCCGGAAATCATGTATGTCAGATTGTGTGTGTGTGTGTGTGTGGTTTCCAGGATAATTGTATAATTTGTGGGCCACCCGACAATACTCGCTAGACAGGGGCCCAGTTGGGTGCAATTGGGCTCTTGTGATATTGGCTGGCTGGGAGGAAGTGACAGACGATCACATCCTCCCAGCTTCACAGAGTGCCGCGGGGAGGGACGCAGGAGGAGGCAGTGCACACAGGCAGCATGGAGGCAGAGGAGAGGCTGTCGTGAGCTGCTGCATGCTCACGCCCATGATCCTCAGCCACCATCACCAGGACCCCAAGCAAGCCACCCTCCTGGAAACAAAAGGTAAGCTAACAGGAGGGTGGCTGCAAATATATAAAGTATAACATGTATATGTGTGTCAGATTGTGTGTGTTTATGTGCCAGTGTGTGTATCTGTGTATGTCAGTGTGTGTATCTGTGTGTATGTGCCCGTATGTATCTCTGAGTGTGATAGTGTGTATATGCCAGTTTTTATCTGTATGTCATTGCATGTATCTGAGTGTATGTACCAGTGTGTGTGCCAGAGTGTGCATCAGAGTGTGTATGTGCCAGTGTGTATCTCTGTCAATGTGTGTGTATTTGAATGTATGTACCAGTGTGTGTATATGCCAGTGTGTGCATGTGTGTGTAGGTAGCTGTGTGTCAGTGTGTATCTGAGAGTCTGTGTATGTGCCAGTGTGTGTATCTGTGTGTCAGTGTGTATTTGAGTGTGTGTATGTGCCAGTGCGTGTATCGGTGTGTGGTCTTCATACACGTTTGTTCATGCATGTTTGGTGGCTGTGTGAGTTTGGGGGCAGGGAAGAAGGGGGTACGCAGTACCTGGTGAAGCCACTTCCCTGAAATGTGTTTTTACATGTTGGGATGTCTGGTATGTGTGTAGTAGAAGCCACCCTCTTGTACCCAAAAGGTAAGTGTGGCTAGAAAGATGTAAATGTTTTGTCTGTTTGTGTGTCAGTGAGTATATGTCTGTATATTTGTATGTGTTTCAGTGTCTGTATCTGTTAGTGTGTCACTGTGTCTGTGTATATGTCTGTGTATCTGCATGTGTGACAGTGTGTGTGTCTGTGTATCTGCATGTCTTTCAGTGTGTATTGGTGTATCTGCACTTGTGTCAGTGCCTGTATCTATTTGTCTGTACATCTGTTTTTGTATCAGTGTGTATATTTGTGTGTGTGTATCTGCATGTGTGTCAATGTGTGTGGCAATGTATTTGATGTATATGTGCATACATCTCAGCATTCAAACTTCAACACTATACACAAATACATCTCTGTATTCAAATGTCAACACTACAGACAAACACACCTCTGTGCTAAAAACACACACATTAAAAAAACAACACACACACAAACACACTCCTACATTCACACACATACTTACGAAATACAAAAATTTGCTGACATTCAGACACACCAACACTACACAGTGCTAAATACAAGCCTGCAAGGATGGGCAAATGGTGCATCCCCAACTGGGAAAGCATTGTGGGAGTTGTTTTTCTTTACATTTTTTTTTGTGTAAATTAAATTTTCAATATTGTTTGTCATTGAGAGTGTCATCACGGTTTAAATTGCAATAAAGAGGTAGGACTCACAGGCCCATTGCATCTAAATGAATACCAGCCACACATGGCTTTGATAGGCAAGACAAACAGTTATAGGAAACAATCAATTCCACATATCATAAATGTCATAGAAGTGGCAAACCAGTGTATAATGCAAAATAACGTAACCGATGTTTGGGGTATCGTGAGTAGTGTCATGATGTATCCAATGGAATCTCGTGTCAGTGTACTATGTGCGGGTATTGATGTAATTAAGGTCAGCGGTGTGACTTCCAATTCCAGCCTCCTTGCCAGATTTGCGTCCTCAGGTATGATAGTCCGCCTTCTAGCCACCGATATTTTCCGCCTGGTTGGTTCCTGCGTGTGCCCTTGTTCCCGCCTCTGTCGCCGCCCTCTGTAGGTGATGGTTCAAGCTTAAGCAATGGGCCAGGGCAGAGGAGTATCAGTCCCCAGCTTGAGTGGACCAGCGACCCAAGATTCCCGTCTAAGTCTGGGTCAGAGCCGAAGTGTCACCCTCCCCATTCCCTGTGTCATCCCCCTGTCGGCTATATGTCAGCATGCTTTGAAAATCTGTGTGGTAGACTTCTGCTAGCCAATGTGTCCAGATGTCTAAGTACATTTGTGAGCAGCCCTGTGCTGTGAACGTCAAGTCTTCAAGTCCACGTAGCTCCTCCATTCTCTCAAACCAGATCGTTAACAGAGGGGGTGTTTCTGTCTTCCAGTATAGGGGCAAAATATGTTTTGCTGTGTGCATTGCCAGCACCTGTCACTCAGGTCTGGGATCATTTCGTGCAAGATTTGTGGTGTTCTATACCATAGGGTCAAAACTTTGTATGCCATCTCCTGGGTTTTACTTGCCAGTGCGCAGTGGTGTGTAAGGTCGCATATTTTTATCCATTATTGTTTTGTGAAAGTGTCACCCGTCATCGTTTTCCATTTTCCCATGTAAAGGAAAATGTTTCTATTGTGTAGGAGCAGAGTGTATAGGTGGGAGATGGCGTGTAAGAGTGGGTCTGGGGCATTGTGGGAGTTGTATAACAGATGAGGATCTTCCTTTTGGCCCACCTGTCGATTGGAGGGCCCAAAAAAAATTATTGCACCATGACTCCCTCTGTGCTAGTTCCGCCACTAGTGTATAACGTCTGTCACTGATCTTTGTTTATAGCGTGTGGATAGCTGAGGTGTATGTGTATAGTGTGGGTAACTGAGCTGTGTGTTTACCGTGTGGATAGCTTAAGTGTGTGTGTTTATAGTGTGGGTAGCTGAGCTGTATGTGTACAGTGTGGTTAGCTAAGTTGTGTGTCCCTGTCATTTCAGAAAATCAGAATCCAGTCCTCTTCCTCTTGCAGATCGCTGTGTTCAGTCTGAGTGGATGGGGCCATGCACAGATCACAGTGTTCAGTCTACGGGGGCATGCACATATTAAGCTCCTCAGACTGAACACAGTGATCCCAGAACAGTGTTGCCAATGCTGCAGGTTTCCTGCCAACATTGGCTATTTTTGACCCAGCTGCGGGTCACGAGTTGCAGGTTTTGTGCGCCTTTGTATTTTATTGTGTGGGAAAACCGCGGTATTTGCCAATCCTATAATGTCCACTGCCACTTCCATGTTCGGACCTCTGTGACAGCACTCCAGCCCTCTGCCTGGGACCTGGCTGGGTTCCAATTCAACTGTGCTGAAAAAATACTGGAGACTGAGAGAGCTTTATCACCGAAGAAAGCCTTAATAGCCTCCACTATCTCTGTGTCAGCTACCTCAAACCCTGCCAAGTAAGATAATTCACCCATCAGAGATTAAGCACCTAATAGCAGTTTCTCATTGCTCCTTTGGCCTAGCAACATATGTTAAGATCTCCATAGGTGAGCCTTTCACACTGAGACACCAAGCACATGTGGCAAAATCCTTTTACTGGCACTACTGCTTTCAGCTATAATCCAGTGCCAAAACTTGCTATATTTATGAATGCTTCTTTCACATTGTTTTGTGTATTTTTTATTTTCTTCTCTCTCTTTAAATGTTTAATGAACTGGCATTGTGACTATGCTGGCATACTGTATATATTACAAAACTTCTCTTTAAATTATTTTGAAATTTGTTTATCTTTTTTGTGTGTAATGTTTATAAACTACTTGCATCAAGTCTAACCACAGAGGTGGATACAGTATAAAAACCTATCTTTCTCAAGTCTTAACTTAAACACAACCTTGCAGAAAACCTCTCCTTTTACCTGCACTGTGTCCCCAGAGTCCGCCTCTCCCATCGATGGGCAGGTATGCTGTTTAATTACTGTAAATGGACAAATGTTTGCATTGTGGTGCATGTGTGGAACATCTGCATGGATTGGGACACATGCCCAATATGTTGAGGTGCCAGCTAGAGCCAGCAGAAACCATGCAGGAGGCATGGAGATTTTAACAGGCAGGAGCCACCTACAGGACATGCCTATTGGGAAATCTGATTCAAAGCTATAATTCTAGCCAGGCGTAAATGTTACTTGCTTGTGGAAGATTACTCCTGCAACATGACCTATGGGTATGGCGGCTGCATGCACAGTCTTCCCGGCCCCAAATTACTCTAATGTCTAGCATGTGTTTGCACTTTGAGACATGCTCTACCTTGAGCATTTGCATGTGAAAGGACGCTGTAATATTTGAAAGCTTTACAACTATGCAAAAGGCTAAGGAAATCCAAATAAAATAAGACAGAAACACCCACCATGTTGTAGTGGTTATGGTGACAGGCATGCAGTGGCACCCCCTAAATGTAAATACTCAAAACATTTTTAGAATAGCTTTACGTCTAACCAGGTGTGGCTACCTGCCTCCAATGCAGCTTACCTGTGTGGGCAGGGCATAGTTTATTGGCTGAAAGTGATCAGCTGATGCTCTCAGCCAATGAGCTAGCCCTGCACGGCTTTGCTCAGGAGAGCTAACTGAAACTTCAGAGTGGGGCTTCTGGCCCTACGTCGTCCGTAGTCTCGGTGGGGAGCATAGTACAGCGGTCCCAGGTAAGATGTGGGGGAGTGGCCCAACCACAAACTCCCAACATTTCATTTGGACAAAGATCGACACTTTCATTTTAGGGGAGTGAGTGGAGATGTGGACAGAGGCCGGGGCTGTTCTGGGAAAGGTTGGGTGACTTACTAATAACAATTTATGTAACTAAAATGTAATTTAGAACAAGTATAATGTATCTATTGTACACAGACTGATTTCTAAATGCATTACTGTGAGTATTATTGCTCCGGAGCTCTGTTATAGCACCAACAATACTGGGCCCCAAGAAAATAGGGACATTACCATAGAAAACAGAGACACAGGGGGTTGGGCCCAAAATAGGGACATTACCATAGAAAACAGAGACACAGGGAGCTGGGCCCAAAATAGGGACATTACCATAGAAAACAGAGACACAGGGAGCTGGGCCCAAAATAGGGACATTACCATAGAAAACACAGACACAGGGTGCTGGGCCCAAAATAGGGACATTACCATAGAAAACACAGACACAGGGGGTTGGGCCCAAAATAGGGACATTACCATAGAAAACAGAGACACAGGGAGCTGGGCCCAAAATAGGGACATTACCATAGAAAACACCGACACAGGGAGCTGGGCCCAAAATAGGGACATTACCATAGAAAACACCGACACAGGGAGCTGGGCCCAAAATAGGGACATTACCATAGAAAACAGAGACACAGGGGGCTGGGCCCAAAATAGGGACATTACCATAGAAAACAGAGACACAGGGAGCTGGGCCCAAAATAGGGACATTACCATAGAAAACAGAGACACAGGGAGCTGGGCCCAAAATAGGGACATTACCATAGAAAACACAGACACAGGGTGCTGGGCCCAAAATAGGGACATTACCATAGAAAACACAGACACAGGGAGCTGGGCCCAAAATAGGGACATTACCATAGAAAACACAGACACAGGGGGCTGGGCCCAAAATAGGGACATTACCATAGAAAACACCGACACAGGGAGCTGGGCCCAAAATAGGGGGAGCTGGGCCCAAAATAGGGAAAACACCGACACAGGGAGCTGGGCCCAAAATAGGGACATTACCATAGAAAACACCGACACAGGGAGCTGGGCCCAAAATAGGGACATTACCATAGAAAACACCGACACAGGGAGCTGGGCCCAAAATAGGGACATTACCATAGAAAACACAGACACAGGGAGCTGGGCCCAAAATAGGGACATTACCATAGAAAACACCGACACAGGGAGCTGGGCCCAAAATAGGGACATTACCATAGAAAACACCGACACAGGGAGCTGGGCCCAAAATAGGGACATTACCATAGAAAACAGAGACACAGGGAGCTGGGCCCAAAATAGGGACATTACCATAGAAAACACAGACACAGGGAGCTGGGCCCAAAATAGGGACATTACCATAGAAAACACAGACACAGGGAGCTGGGCCCAAAATAGGTAGTGTCCCTCTAAACAGGGCCACGTGGAGCTACAACTGGCTGGTTAGTGGTTATGGTGTTTGGAGTATTCCTTGAACATTGTGAATTAGCTATTTATATATTATATTATTTTATTGTTAAAGATACAATGTGAGATAGCCAACTGAACACTTAATAATAATACTACTAATAATAATAATACTAATAATAATACTACTAATAATAATAATACTAATAATAATAATTCACTTTTTTGTAATTTGGCCATTTTGAAATTGGACTTTTAACTCCAGGCAATTCCCCCTTTTTACTGAGTAACTCTCACTCTCAGAATATCCTAAACTGGCTATAATTCGGTTTTCACATTTTGGCACTTTTAGTGAATAGGATGGCGTCAATGGTGACGTCATACCGCGTGCCTGTCGGATCGCTCGCCGTCACGTGACAAGCGACGCCATTTGCCCTCACCCTCTCCTTGGGGAAATTCTACTTCCGGGTTTCCCGGCCGCCGTCACGTGACTCCGCGCTCGCCCTCTTCCTGTGTACGGCGGCCGGTGAGGCGATTTGCTGGAACCTGCGGAGCGCGAAGGGGGTCCAGGCTGTGAGTATGGGCTATGTCCAGCCGGTGTGTATTGATAACAGAGAATACGGGGTGACAGTGCCTCCCATGTAATGATATGAAGGAAGCTGTCACTGTGTGCATTACTGACATTTACATTAATAACCCATTATATATAATATAGTATAAGGTATGGATCCTGGTCACAGCTGGACTCCATTGCCTCCTCTCCCCTCCTTCATCATCTCCAGAGTGTCAGCTTTCCTCTCATTAATGGTCCTTTCACAATATACTGGAAGGTAGCATTGATTTTAATATAATCCCTGACATTTCTCATGTTTATAACTTGAGATATAGCAATACCTTCAATAATGTGGGATTTAGATCTGAACTGTAATTTACAATTAAATAGGATAATCAAAGACTTTTATATACTTTACATGGAGAACACATGTAGATGGATCACCATCAATCCCTTTATCAATTTATATATTGGATATATAAACAGTGATTTGATGATCCATTTAATTTTGTGTGATATATATATATATAGAAGTAGAACTTGGCACTCACCCTTTACTAAGAATATCAGATAAATATTGCCTGGGTGCAAACCTTGGCGTTATGCATACAAAAAATATGAAAATAAGGTGCACTCACAGGTCTTCAAATGTGCTTATTTTTATTTTACATGCAAATTTACATGTGCAAAAAAATCTACAAACAAATCGACGTTTCGACCCCTAAAGGGTCTTTTTCAAGAAAAAGAACTTGAAAAAGACCCTTTAGGGGTCGAAACGTCGATTTGTTTGTAAATTTTTTTGCACATGTAAATTTGCATGTAAAATAAAAATAAGCACATTTGAAGACCTGTGAGTGCACCTTATTTTCATAATATATATATATATATATATATATATATATATATATATATATATATATATATATATATATATGCGAAAAAGCAATGATCTGGCACTCTGCCTAAAGTCAAACTAATATAGAGTAAACCATGGTGCTGCACAGCATAAAATATAGCAATGGAATGAAGAGAGCACTCACTGGATTTTCAAAACGGTGTTTTAGTGATGAGAAGAACGCTTCTGTGTTGAAATGTTGATCGTTCTTCTCATCACTAAAACATCGTTTTGAAAATCCAGTGAGTGCTCTCTTCATTCCATTGAGATATATATATATATATATATATATATATATGGGATCGACCGATATTGATTTTTTTAGAGCCGATACCGATAATCTGCGAACTTTCAGGCCGATATCTTGCCGATATTCTGTACATTTACTATTTTGAATAAATAAACTAATTCGAAAGGTAAATGCACAAAATATACATGCCACATGTAGTGGATGAAGTGTGTTTAGACAGGGGAACTGTGTGTGTGTGTGTGTAGTGGATGCAGAGTGTGTGTTTGTGTAGTGTGTATATAATGAATGCAGTGTGTTTTTGTGTGTGTATGTAATGCAGTGTGTGTGTTTGTGTAGTGTGTATGTAATGCAGTGTGTGTTTGTGTAGTGTGTATGTAATGCAGTGTGTAGTGTGTATGTAATGCAGTGTGTGTGTGTATGTAATGCAGTATGTGTGCAGTGTGTGTTTGTGGTGTGTGTGTAGTGTGTCTGTCTGTGTAGTGTGTGTATGTAATGCAGTGTGTGTTTCTGTGTAGTGTGTATGTAATGCAGTGTGTGTGTATGTAATGCAGTGTGTGTTTGTGTAGTGATGTAATTTTTGTAATTTTTTATTTTAATATTTTTTTTAATATTTAAATGGTTTTTTTTTTTGTTTAGTCCGCCCCCAGTGTGTGTTTGTGTAGTGTGTGTGTTTGTGTAGTGATGTAATTTGTGTAATTTTTTATTTTTTGTTTAGTCCCCCCTCCCTGCTTCTTACCAGGGAGGGGGATATAGTATCCCCTGGTGGTCCAGTGGCTTGTTAAGTACAGTGGTGGCTCAGCAGCAGCAAGCGCTGACTTACCTTGCAAGCAGCTCCTACAGCTCCCTGTGTAAATCTCGCGGCTCTTAGTGCCGCGCGGAGCGTTGCCATGGTAACCCGTGGCAACGCTCTGCGGCCGCGGGTCTCGCGAGATTTACACAGGGAGCTGCATGCAAGGTAAGTCAGCGCTTGCTGCTGGCCCCCACAGGACCGCCGGGCTTGTAATGGGCCCGGCGGTCCTGTTATATATTATCGGCAATATCGGTATCTGAATTGGCCGATACCGATATTGCCGAAAATACCAAATATCGGCCGATAATATCGGCCAGACCGATAATCGGTCGATCCCTAATATATATATATATATATATATATATATATATATATATATATATATATATATATATATATATATATATATACACACACACACACATTAAATATTTGTTTAGGTGTTGAATAGAGGTATTGCCAATTTTAGATTATTTGCTGCAGATAATTCAGTGTCTGCTGATCTACTGATGTGATGGCTATCTTTGGTACCCCATATGAGAATTAGTTGAGTTATCACGTGATGATGCTGGTTGAGCATCATGGATGGTGTAGTTTACAGTGTTTGGATTGTCATTGTTGGCCATCACTTGCTACTGTAACCAGTTGTCTGTGACAGCAGGACATCTAACAGGACTATGTTGGCACTTTACAAATCAAATAAAATTGTCTCTCACTGTGTCATTTTAATAATGTAATACTGCAGTGTCAGTTTGGGAAGCCATATACTGGTAGGAATAATTGTAGTAGTAAGGCTGGTTTGTACAGGAATGCTGATTGATTAAACCAGCTCCACTAATTGTGGGATGGTGATTGACGTTGCTGTGAGCCGCGAACCAACCAATGTTTTACTATCAGAAGAAAACAAAGTACTGTGTACAAAACATATGTAGCACGGAGTTTGTGGTGTTTTTGTATTTTATTGTAAAATATATTATCTGTTATCTAGAAAGTTGTTCAGTAGGGCACATCATGCAGGAGTTTACTTTTTTTGTTGCTTTAATGCACTGTGTTAATCAGATCTATGAGGTTTTGTGAATATTTGCTACTTTTCAATAGGTAATTTCAGTTTTATAAGATGTTTTGTGACGTTTTATAAAAAATACCTTTTACTTTTTCCGAGTTGCTTCAGACTAGCAGATCATCAGCTTTTCCATTTAGGGAGCCAGAATAACGCAATTATTTTCTATAGTAATAAATTCCTCTGCACTATGAAAGTCCGTATATTACAGATCTGGAGTACTGTGATACATAAAGCCCTGTACGCAAACCAATTCTGTAAACTAAATTCCTGCCACAGATCAGTGGCCGCATTCTACTTATTTATAGCAGCTACCTGTACATCAATATCAAACAAAATACCACATTTTCCTAGTCTTGACAGAGATGTTTCCAATGATTTCAGCAAATCAAAGGCGGCACAGGCACTCAGTGAAGTGAATTTAACAGCATTTTAATGTCATATCTGCAGCATATTTCACCACTGTCATTTCGCACAATAATTGTGGCCCAGCAAAGAATTCAAACAAGATTAATACACAATTAATGAGATGAACAGCTGAAGAAAATAAAAACTACATTAGTGTCATATTACATTCATCTTCAAAGCCCTAAACGAGACTCCTGCTTTTTTGGAGACAGTCTCTTCACAGAGCACTAACCTCATATCTCTGGTTGACAGAGAGCAGGCAAACTGCGCCTAGGTTAACTATTTAAAGGAATCCAGACAACAGTAGCAATGCTTTTATGTTAAATGGACCACTGTAAGTATTTAGTCCAGGGCTCGACAAATCCCTGGCGCCAGGTCGCTATGGAATTTTGTCTTGTATGTTTGTCAGCCTGTTCAGCCCCTGGGTTGGCCAGCTGAGGGAGAGCAGTGGCAGGTAGAGATAGGACAGAGGTGGTGCAAGAGCTGTTATCGTCTTGCTCTGCTCCATCGCGCACCCTGCTGTGATTTCCAGGAGCCTGAATATGACATCACTCCGGCCCTTGCATCATTACATCACAGCATGCGAGAGAGCAGAGCGAGAAAAGCAGGAAGATCAGAGCAGCTCCACTGGACCCCATTGGAGACTCATATTTAATATAAAAAAAAAGAAAAGCCAGTTTTGTGAGTTTTGCACTATCGGTGTATATCTGTCAGGGAGTCTATATCGGTCTGGGAGTGTATGTGGGTGTCTGTCTGTCAGTGAGTGAGTCTACCACATGGGAAAGTTGTTTTTACTCATCTTTTTTCCCTCGCCGGTCTCACAGTGGCTAGCCCCTCCTACATAGCTGAGGCAATTGTGCATGTGCAGCAAAACACCACACTGCACCAATCAGCATGTCCCGATAAAGATGCATTGAATCAATGCATCTCTATGGGGAACATTCAACGCATTCATGCAGAGCGTGGGAAGACTGAAGGTAGGTGCTGTACACTGTGCAGCACTGGAAGGAATCACCATTGTACAATGTTTGTACAATGCTCCTTTGCACATCTAATCATTTTACATACCTTGTGCCTCCTTGCCCTGCTCTCTGCTGATGGATATCTAGTACTTCTCTGAGGAAAGGGGAGGATCAGCTTAGCTGCAGAAGTCAGATCTGCAGCTAATGTAAAGCAAGTCCAAACAGGATACTAAGGAAAATGGATGTACCATACCACTGCTGTTTCAGGGTTGTGTTTCCTACACTGTGCATGACAGTGTTTCTGACAGTGAATTTTTTAATTTAGCTATTATATAATCATGTGTATGTGTTCCGTTAGAGTTGTACAGTACAATACATAGTCCTTATAATATGATTTTTAAACCAGTATTTGTGGCTTTTTTGAAGAATTAATTAATTATCTTTGTGCATAGACCCCACAAAAATAAACAAATTAAGTTATATGGAAATTATATTTTTGTAAGTTTAATTTCAATACATTTCTATATGTATCTGCTCATATTGTGCACTGATTATCCTAATCAGCAATTTGATCTAGACTGCCTAATACTGACTATCTGTTTTCTACATTTGCAGGATGAGCAGGTCAGACTACCCAACCCCAGCAGCAGAAATGGCCGAGATGAATCGCATGCAATATGAGATTGAATACACTGAAGGAATCAGTCAGAGGATGAGGGTCCCCGAAAAGCTCAAAGTAGCTCCGAGCACCTCGGAAACTGGCTCCAGGGCTCACCCAGACATATCTGTACATGGACACGCTATGCAAGTTCCAGAGAGGATTGTGGTGGCCGGTGAGAACATAATTTTTTCTTATTCATCTGTATGTACAAAATTCAATCTTAATAAGCCGTAGGTCAGCCAGTGATTTATTTATTTTCATGTATGTGTAAGAAAACATTATTTTTTTTTTTCTGATCAGCAATGAAGGTTTTGCCATTATTGGTGCTTATTAATTGCTGAATAACGAACATTTACATACTTTATAGTTTTTCCAAAATATATATAATACATTTCTCTCTTTGTACTGCCAATGTTGGCATCAGTGCTCCATGGTAATTTAGTTTGTTTAATGGCCTCCTATGGTCCTTGTTTGTATAGGTCAAAATGAAGACTCATCGTTTTCCAGGCCTTCAGACTTGGATCTTATCCAGACTACTCCTTTCGAGCTTTTGGCCCTAAAGACACCTCCACGAGTCCTGACTCTCAGTGAGAGGCCTTTGGACTTCCTGGACCTAGAAAGACCCACCCCAGCCACTCCACAACAAGAAGAGGTAAGTGTTTAAGAAATGTGTGGCATACTAAGGAATAATTATTTTACCAGAAACCGCTCTGTGTTATGGAACACATTACTTTTTTAGTATCTAAAGAAAGGGGGATTTATTAACAAAACTCAGAATTATAGCAGACTAAAATTTGAATGGCAAATCTGTGTCCAAACTCTGACTATTGCTGAGCTAGAAACATTTTCCAGATCAGATTTTTCTTTGCCTAAATTTTGCCTTTGATACTTTCGTCCAAAGATGATTTTGGTTCCGGGGTGTAGCAAGCTTAATTAACAACAACTTGCATATCATGAATATTTAGAATGTGCCAGAGTATTCCACATTGTAGTGTAATGGTTAAACAGAAAATAGAAACAAATTTAGTACAAACAAGGTGACAAGAAGTCTGTTCAAACAAATATGAAATGTAAAGGAAGTGTGCTAAAATTGCACAAAACCTAAAGTGCTGTGTGATTACTAGGTATACACATTAGTGTACTAGAGATGGAGCAAGCAGTGAAAAGACAGTGGTAGAGTGCTACAGGGAGAGTAGGCACTTTATAAGGTACTGTGATTACTGAGAGATTACAATAAGTATTTTACACTGTGGATGGGCCATAGCAGGGCTTATTTCCATTGGACAGCCTGGAGAAGTCCTGTAATCAGGGTTTGAAAAGGGGGTGCACACAGAGGACAGGAGAAGGTCATTGTCCAAGAAGAAGATACTAAGATGGATTGTAATTAAGAAGTACAATGCAAATATCCTTTTTTGTTTTAAGGTGTTCATCTGTGTTTTACTAAGGGAAACCTGCACCCTCTGTGATATTTTTAGCATTTGTATGGTAGGTTGTACAGATCTCTATGCATTAATGACAACCTTGCATAAATGTCTAATGCAAACGTATGTCCTTCTCTGTGTTGAGCGGCGTTGATGTAATGACTTAAATGATATAAATCCATAGCTACGCAGTATTGGGCGGTTGAAGAGAGAGAGATCCGCAAGTGAGAACATGGCACGTCAGAATGGGCAGCTGGTCAGACATGACTCAATGTAAGTTCCATGGGCACAACTATGTGTAGCCTAAGTGTATTACAATTGGTGAAAATACTACTGATATGCTAGTTTTGTTCAATAGAATTGTATTTTACCGAAATTCCATTGATATATTACAAAGTTTCTTCCTTGAACAAATTGTTTTAAAATTTGTTTTCGCCCTGGTGTCTGTCAATGAATGTGCAGCCAGTGTAGGTAGCACTGGGGTTCTTAAAGGAAAAGTATAGCATTAGGCAGCAGCTTTATTATTTAGAAAACATAGGTGGAACTTGTGTTCAATCTGGTTACTGCCTCAGCAACCCCACTACCAATAACTTCACCCAGACATTGATATCGTATGTTCGGGTCTGATTAGAGCTTTTATGGAGTTTTTCCCCTGTCCTGATACTTGTATGGCCAAAAGGAAGCATTATTTGGACTGTAACATCTCAGTGATTGAATGTCTATTTAGCTACTTCTCCTCAAAACCCCATCTTTGTCCTCAAAGCACCTGAAGCTGCCACCAAAGGGAAGTTGGTATGTGACATATGTACATCACATTAGTACAAGGTTTACATAAGGTGGACTGGGGAAAAGTATGAGTCCAGTATAAACTTTGAAGAAGGTTATTTACTAAGGTGAGAACTGTCAAAAATGCAAATGACTTTAAAACGTGAGGCCAAAATAGCTGAATTGGAAAATGTCTCCAAGCCAGCTATGTGTTCAATCTGGGTATTTTGGACAGTTCTCATTTTAGCAAATAACTCTGTATAGTGTCTGTAAATGTAATTAATTTATATGTAAAAGTTGCCAAATGTTTTCCAATTCACTAACCTCATAATTATAAATTTTTCAAATAAAAGCGAAAAAATAAATATTCATAAGTGTATTGTATTTTGAGGAATTTCGTACATTTTAGCAGAAAAAGTGATGTTTAAAATATTTAAATGATTTGTGAGCCAACTTAACCGAAGAAACTGGAGAGATGTGAACTATTATATGATCTTGCAGGCTTTAGTGGCATTGAATGGGCTAACGTGAACCTAATTAAATGCTATTTGCAGGAGTAATTTATATTTTGGTGGTCACTACTCATTAACTGTGCTCCAAGCATAGGGGTCTTCCTCTTAGCAACTTTATTATTTAAATGTATTTCATTTTGGTTAATGTTAGTACAGAGTGAATTGTGCCTATACCTCTATATCTTGTTTAAAGTGTCTATATTGCAGAAAGGGTTACCCCAACCAAAAAACACTGATTTCATAAAATACTGTTTTTGTTTAGAGTAACCCTAACTGGCATGCCCCCCCCAAGTAAAAAAAAAAAAAAAAAAATGTTTGAGGGAAAACATACCTACGTTACTGCTCTGAGGCCAAGTTCTCCCTGCAATCCGATCTGCCGCTGGTGATGTCTTTTCCACTTACTGCAGGTTGGACAGAGTGGAAACATCGGTGGCATGTAAGGGGGGGGGCGGGTGGCATGTTGCCATTAGTTGTCTGTTGTCATCATGCAGTGCATGCAGACAACAGAAGCTAAAGGATGTTTTAATAATCTGTAAAATAGTCTTGTTCGAGCATTCTACCTGCAAATTGATTTTAAATGGTAAATACATTTAACATTTTGGCTATGATTTATAATTGCATTGTTATGAATGTGTTTATTGCTTAGTGCATCCATATAGTTAATCTACAAAAATCATCTTAATGTTACCATATTGTTGTTAAACTCATGTTGCTCCATATAGACTTTTTCACAAACCTTTTCAAATTTAGCTGCATTCTTCATAAAACCTGTAACTCTTCATATTGCTTTATATAACACCTCTCTCTTTAACTCATTCCTATTACTTTATATAACCTCTCCTTATAACTTCTATTACTCTAAATACCCTCTCATTATAACTCCTCCTATTACTCTATATACCCTCTCATTATAACTTCGCTATTACTCTATATAACCTCTCATTAGAACTCCTCCTATTACGCTATATAACCTCTCATAAGAACTCCTCCTATTACGCTATATAACCTCTCATTAGAACTCCTCCTATTACTCTATATAACCTCTCATTAGAACTCCTCCTATTACTCTATATACCCTCTCATTATAACTCCTCATATTATTCTATATATCCTCTCATTATAACTCCACCTATTACTCTATATACCCTCTCATTACTCCACCTATTACTCTATATACCCTCTCATTACTCCTCCTATTACTCTATATAACTTCTCCTATAACTCCTCCTATTACTCTATATACCCTCTCATTATAACTCCTGTTACTTTATAGAACCTCTGCCTATAACTCCTCATATTACTTTATATAACCTCTCTCTATAACTCATCATATTACTCTATATACCCTCTCATTATAACTCCTATTACTCTATATACCCTCTCCCCATTACGCCGTATAACCTCTCCCTATAACTCCTCCTATTACTCCTTATAACCTCTCCCTATAACTCCTCCTATTACTCCTTATAACCTCTCTCTATAACTCCTCCTATTACTCCTTACACCATCTCATTAGAACTCCTCCTATTGCTCTAGATAATCTCTTTATAACTACTAATTATGCTACTATTTTTTTCTTATTAGCCCCATTCTTTCTCCATGTTTACTATCCTTCTATATAAAAAAAAAAATCACAATAATAACAGGAATTTGAATCCCATCTGCGTTCTGATTGGATGATTAGTCTTTTCATCCAATCTGGCTTTCCCTATAAACATGGAAAATAAATCCTGTATATCAAAGTGGCTCTGAGTTGAAGCTCCATCAATCTACCTTTACCCTGTGGGGATGAATGGTTGCTAGTGTCGGTGCTTTTGGTACATTTTGGGTGCAGTGTAGAGGAATTGTCCTATTTGGACAGTTTGAGCCAACTGGCATCCAATATTGGTTATATATACCCCAGCACTACCTCCCACCCCATTTTTCCTATTGTTCTGGTTACTGTTGTAATGTTTTATCCCAAGAACTAATAAAGGTAGGGACTCCTTTTCCCTCTCTATTGATGGAGCTTCTACTTAGCACCCCTTTGATTTAAGGGATTCCTTTTCCAAGTTTGTACCTAGTTTAAGGGTTACCCCCTTCTTTGAAGCTCGGCTTGAGGTCTTTTAAGGTCAAGTCATGAGCCCTTGATATTTATTGGGACTCTTGACTTGTCTTTTTTAACCATTTTCTTGATTTTGGCTTTCCCTTTAGCTCATTTGCTTTCTCTAAATACGGGAACTAATTTCTGCAGTAAAATTCATAACATGAGCCAACATATGATCTTATCCCAGAGTGCAATGGGTAAAAGATTTCTATTTAATCTTTGCTTTTCCATGGACACTTTGGGCACAGAACATCAGTGATCAAAGACCGGCTTCCCCTTTCCTACACAAAGGGAAGCTGTGAGATTCTCTGCATCACATGCTTACTGCAGTTTTGTTATGCAATTCCTACATAATAACTTCCACAATGTTAAACATCAGATCTATGAGTAACTACCTACTGTTTACACTGACAGTGCTGTCATAAATCACGAAAAAACAAAACCACAAAAAAAGTCAAACAGAATCCTATTGTTTTCATATATCCATGCTGTACTACATTTAGTTTTATTACTGCGGTATATAAAAATATCTCTGCGGCAATTATATATTAAAATTAAAGCTTTTTTTTTTTCCTATTCAAAATTTTTAAATAACAAATGTTCCCTATCGGGTAAAGTAGAATCTGTTTGTAAAATGATGTATAACGGTGCAAACATCATAACTGATGACCTAACTCCTTGAAAATATCAATCTAATAGTGTAATCATGCACATTTTGTAAGTACATATATCAATGTAGACTAGGTAGTTGTAAAAATAGTGTCCCGACTAAGTGGCTAGGGGTCCCCAAGTGACCCCCCAATAACAAGAAAGGTTCATAAATCCTGCTGACGTAATAAAATATAAAAGACCTGATCGCGCAAAAAAACCCAAAACAGATTAATCCATCTTTACCCAGCTTCCTATAAAGCCGTCCCACAACCTGCAATTTGACTCAGAGGGCTTTGATTGGTTGGTTTAAGCCAACCAATCAGAGTGCTCTGGCAGGTAAATTTTGAGACTTGCCTGCAAACAATAGGTATCCCCTCTCCCCCCTCTTTTGTCACTGAAAGGTCCCTACCCGCCTCCCATGAGTAAGGATCTGGGTGGGAGACAATATGTCGTTTCCCCCCCCTCCTTGTCATTTAAGGGCCCCCACCCGCCGCCCATGGGTGGGGGCCAGAGGGAGGAAGCCAATAACTTCCCCCTTTTTGGGCAGTTAAGGGCCCCCACACACAAGCGGCAGCAGGAGGCCTTAAGGCCCTAAGTGGTACTAGGTCTCCCATTTAATTTAATATCCCCCACTATGTCTCTCCTGTTAATTATTTTAATAGGTGGCCCACCATGGGGCACTTTATTTGATTCGGAGGAGGAGGGTCTAATATTGTGGGAATTAGGAGGCTATCTACTAAGCGACTGCAAGATTCATTCGAATGAAATTCCGAACCAAATGCAGAAATTTCTGTGAATTCGCTGGCACGCTGTCTAAATGACAGGAAGTTCGAACTGAGAATGAAGCAAACTGAGAAACGGAGGAAAGGGTGACTATTGTAGGAAAATATCTTTGACCACAGGAAATGGAGTGGACTTAAGCTCCTCCTTTGGCCAAAGAAGGTCAAGCGTAGGAAAAATACATAAGACAAAGTAGTTCCTACTTTGTCTTATGTTTTAAAGAAAACTAGATCAGATATGAAGAACCAATTCTGAGGGAGCAAGAGAAGAGGAAGCGATTGGGGAAAGGCAAGTTCGGCATGACAGTGCTGCTTTAATTGCAATATAAAAATGAATTCCAGCACTTGATTTTGACATAATGCATCAAAAACATCAACATAAACACACCTGACATTGTGGAAACTATTCTTGCAACTTAAGTGCCTGGAGTGTCCTGCTAATTGCTAAACATAGGCTTGTGGTCTACAATGAAGGCAACACATGTGTTCAAAACATCTTCATCAGATGACCGCAGTGATGTTCATCAGAGTGTCTAATAGTAACGTGTGCATTAGTCTGTGCATATAATTTTCTCTTCATGAAATCCAACTGCTGCCAATTAGAAATACTGGTCCCCTTGCTTTCTGCATGACCCAATCATATTCCTTTACGTGTCTTGGTTAGTGCATGCTGTGATTGTTGCTTCTCCCTTTCGTCAGTGTCGTCTAGTTAGAGCCTGCTGCAAATGCGGATCCTGGCCCAGCTTTCTTTATTTTGGAAACCTCTTTCCACATGTGATCCTTCTTCTGTCTTACAATTTTGCTGATTACTTAATCTTTCAAATTTGTTATTTCCTAATATCACTCATGTACCTTTTACCTTTGTCTAGTTTTTGTTTTTCTTCGTATTCCACCTCCCTGTGCCTAGTTATCTAAAATTTTCACTGCATGTGTGTCTATCTGACTTACACAGTCTGACCTCTTTGTTTCTTTCTGCTACTCTCCTCCGGTCAGCCCGACTCCACCTGTCCCCGCAGGCCGTCAGTGCCCTGCTCCCGTGCTCCCCGCAGATGGAGCAGATCTTTACTCTGCCCGTGGCATTCTGTCGCTCATCCAAACCTCCACCCGCAGGGCTTATCAGCAGGTCCTCGATGTGCTGGATGAAAACCGCAGGTGAATGTTTTCCCTGTTCCTTATTTACCCCCCCTTAGCCCTTTCATTGCCAACCCTGCAATGCATCCAAATATTTGTGCTCAATCACAGATTTTCATGGAACCCAAGTTATCCAGGCTTCTCCTGCTTAGAAGTGTGTGATGTAGTGTAGTAGTATGCACGTTCTGTCAGATCACTGCTGGAGTTAAATCATTCTCATGTCTTATTACATGAGTGCGTTCAGTCTCTGAGTCTTTATCGTGTTTCACTTCCTTCTTGTTTGTGTTCCTTACTTTTCCTGTCCTTGTTTCTCCCACTTGTCTACCTTGGTTCCAGGCCGATCTTGCGTGGAGGGTCCGCAGCCTCTGTCTCTGCTGCCCACCTTGAAAATGCCAGGTAACTTCATCCACTCCATCTCCTGAACTTTTTACCTGTCCACTTCCTAACCGCTTTTAGTCACTGATAATTCCACGCAAGTATTTCATATTTCATTGCTGTCACTTTCACTACAAAAGGGCAATTGCTTTGTTTTTATAAATTGATTTATATATGTTATATTTAATTTTATAAGAGGCAGAGGCTCGTACATTATATTTGTCTGCCATTTTCTATAAGTTAAATGAGATAAAAATGTACATAGTAAATACATTAGTATTTTTCAGAACGAATGAAGTATACATAGTGCGGTGTTTTCATTTTTATGCTCGTGTGCCATTTTCTTATGAATAAAACCATCACTACCCCCCTTTTTGCAGCTTTTCTGTAGTGTCCAAAAACAATGAATCTTTTAGTCACATTTTGTTTATCCTTTGCATAATTTGCTTCTTTATTTCTTGATAATTTCACCATTGCTTACGTTCACAAAATAAGAAAACAAATGAGACACATTCAAAATGTAAAGCCTTTTTTAATGCGATAAAGAAAAGGGATGAATGTGAAACCTTATTACCTGTTACAAAAAAACCAAAAAACTACCACTCTTACAGTGGTGGAAAATTTTATCAGAAGAACAATTGTGCACGTTTGCACCTCCTTTTTTTTATATACATGGGAAGCAACATATTTGTGAACCTAAAATAGAACATAAAAAAACGTGACAGGAAAGGCGCAGAGAGAAAATTAATGGCACAAAACACGAATATTGCATGCTGGAACGCTCTTAAGAAAGTAGCATAATAATCCGATACACCACCTTCTTATATAGTGTATATAACCCACATAGTATTGTTCATTCGCACGAGGTCAGCGGTATGTGTAGCCAAATTCACGGAACTAAAATCGGCTACACATTTAAACGAACACCGCTGACCTGTACCTTCTCCTACACTGAATTTGCAGCTGCAGAGACTAAGTCCCATTCGGCAATTCGAACGCCCGTGGAATGGGACTTAGTCATTTTTCTTCATAAAATAGACCGACCGCACAGCCCAAATCTATGGAACTGTTTTGGGCAGGAAAATGTGCTTGCGGTTGGTCATAAAGGACTTCCGTCTAACTTTTTATCCACTGGATAGATTTGTCTGATTTTTGGTTATGTTTATATTTAAAGTGTGCTGATTAATAATATGTATCTTTATGAAGATAGGATGTATGGTTTTAAAGTTACAGTGTATGTATAAAAACTGTATTTTTCCTGCTTGTGATAATTATGTTAAGCATTGTGTGCCATAATTAGATCACAGGCAGAGGGGAGGATTTTTGTGGGTAATTGCTAGGAGTGTTTTCTGTAATGTACATATGTTATTGGTTATTCTGTAAAACCCTGTGGGTGGTCCTATGTAGGGAAAACCTGCATAAAAGAAGGCCCTTTGGTGCCAAGTAATACAGATCTTCTTGACCCTCAATACGTAGCCTTGTCTCATTACTGGAGGGAACTGCTATATCACACTGGGGATTGCTATGCTCTGCATACTCCCTTGAGCTTTTAATCACTTAGCTCTTTTAAGAGCTGTTCCTGTTACGCTCTTCTGGAGGAGAGGTCTTCCCCACACGGTCCTGGAGGACAGAAGCTGATCCAGGATGGACGGAAGACGGCGAGGCTCCAATTAAGCTACGGCGGTTGTGGAGTCTGCGGTGGTTGTGGTGTCCAGTGCGGTGCTTATGGTCCGAGGCGCAAGCTAGGAAGCATCCATCAACTGAGGGTACTCGGTCGGAGTACGGGGAGCTCCGTTACAGCCTGGTTCGTGTGTGTCGTTTACCTGTGGAAGAGATGGCAGCAGGATGTATTATGGAAAGAAGACAGGCCAGCAGAGGCAGTGTTATGCACTTGGAAATGTTCTTCTTGGAAAGCTTAGGTCCTGGCTATCATGTACATGTTATTATGTCACCTACCACCTACCTAGAGATTGTTGCAGACCACATACACCCTTTCATGGCAATGGTGTTCACTGATTGCAGTTGCCTCTTTCAGCAGGATAATGCACCCTGCCACACTGCAGAAATAGTTCGGGAATGGTTTGAGGAACATGAAAAGGAGTTCAAGGTTTTGCCTTGGTGTCCAAATTCCTCAGCTCTCAGTAAGATTGTGCATCTGTGGATGTGGTGAAACAACAAATCTGATTCATGGAGACTCCATCTTGCAACTTGCTGGATTTATATGAACTGCTGCTAATATCTGTGTGCCAAATACCACAGGGCACATTCAGAGGTCTTGTGGTCTCGATGCATCAGAGTTGCTTTGGAAGCACGAAGTGGACCTACACTATATTAGGCAGGTTTCTTTAATGTTGTGGCTGATCAGTGTATGTGTCTGCTTGCAATCCTGTTGCTGTTATGTTGTCCCAGCTCTATTGCATTTTAATGTGCATCATAAGCTTGCACTGAGCAGCCATCTTGGTTTTATGTGATACTGTAGGTGATGCAGCTTAAGTGCCTATGTTTTAAGTTAACATAGCCTGAGCCCTTTTTAATTATGTAACTTGCGATTTGTTGTAAAAACCTTTTTGCAAATGTCAGGAAAATAAATTCTCTTCTTGAGTGGCAAGCTGAAAAAGATTGGTGCAAAGAGAAATTTGTAAAATTATATGGTTTCTATTCAAAGTATTCCATCTTGTTTTATGTTTGCAGAAAAACAAATATATTTTTAATTGGTAATCAATATCTAACGGACCATTAAGAATCTTCTACAGTGCTTATAGCAGACAGTCAATATTTGATGTTTTGAAAAGTTTTTTTATCGTAAATGGTATGCAGATGCTAGTACCATGCATCACATCTGTGGTTTTTGCAGATAATTCTCAAAGAGAACAGAACGTGCATAGATCTGAATCTTGTGTTACCACAATAGATGGGTGAAACTATCGAAGTAAGCATATTTGGAGGCAATTTAAAGGAACATGACTAGAATACCAACCAAAATCCTTTGCAGTCCTCAGACCATCATTCCCATTTATCACCTTTGTGATTCATTCTCCATGAAATGTTTGGAGCACTATTCATGACACATCACAAATGAGGTCCTCAATCTCTTGAAATAAAATTTGTCTGACCATGTTTTGTAGATCTGTCCTGAAGCAGATGTAGAAAACATCCTGTTGTTTGGGCATGAGAGAGTTCTTGAAAGTTGTTGGAATACTAAATATTTTTGCTAGTAATATATATTGTCACGAGCGTGGGCTATTGGCCCAGTGGGGAGAGTGTGAAAGTGAAAGGGTTGCCTGTTGCTAGTTCTAGCAACCACTAAATTAACCCCTGCAATCCTTTCTACACTAACACCATAGTACACACTTTACTGCCACCACCAAGACTATATATCTGGGCGTCTTCGGTTACCCCCCACACAGTAGTATTATAGGATCACAACCTTACTTTACCGATCAGACCTATATAATCAGCCCTTTTGGTAACATGTTGACCTGAGCCTTCCTCAGGAGAGTGAGCTCATAGAGAACAATGACACGAGCTGATTAAGTAAACATTTAATCTGACAAAAAGGATTTACAGTGATGGGTACAAAAATACAGAAATAAATGACCTACAGAAACACAGATAACAAATTGCAAAACAGTCCATAAAATAAAATAGTTGTTGAAAAAAGAAATCCTTCTGCATAATTCAACATTCTCATTATGTATCTCAAACTAGCTGTTTCTTAGTGGGCAGACCCCTGGATGGATCAGAACTCCATATTTTCTTAAACTATCTTGTCCTTTGAAGAACTCAAAGTCAGAGCATATGCACCAATACCTTTTACGATGCCCTATGTCCAGCTTTGGTGATGGTCATCTAGTAGTTTTATGGCTTAGTCCTGGTGTAAGATCAAAGCCCACAATAAATGTTATCCCAAGGTTTACAAAAACACATAACATATATCAAATGCCAACTCATGCTTTGGCATGACATATGTCCTTGCATCCTGATGTATTTTTGGGCAATGGTGAGGGTTGAGTAACACTCTCTATGGTTTATTGACTGAACCATGAGGAAAGTTAACAAATAGATTGTAAAATGGCCAAGGTAGAAAAAATACCAGCGTTTGAGACTTTTTCGCTAATTTGTCAGTTTTCCACATTTCCTGGTCTAGTGAATGAACATGTTAAAACAGTTCCCATCACCTGTCCTCATTACTTAATGGGCTACAAAATGCACTTCACAAATTAAACTCCTCGTTCTAACAGAGGGTAAGGAAAGCTGTGGGATTTTGTTCAGTTCATCCTTTATTTTTCTCTGTTATCGTTTTAAAGAGCAGTAAAAATAGAACCGTAACTCTTCAAGTGTAATGAATGTAGATATAACATTAAGCTGTATACACACGTTCAGTTCCAAGCAGGAAGGGACCAACTTTTCAATAAAAGCAATCATAGGCCTATTTCTATGATGGAACAAGGTCAAACTAGGAGACCACATATATGAGTCTATAGAGAGAGGCTAGGAAGGTCCATCAAGCCACAGAGCTTGAAGCTAGAGCCTTGATTATATGGGGGATAAATGGAGCAATATTTGCAACATCCCACTGATTGCCAGTCCTGGCTTATGCTGAGGGTCCAGGGATTTGTTGAGGTAGTCCTAGAGACGGCAGGTATTGAGCGGTGTCAACAGTGCTTATCCGGCCTCAACAGTAAGTGACCCAATGTGCCTTTAGGCTGATAGTAGCATTTTGCATAGACATGCGCCATAGAAATGTCCTCAGTCCTATTAGAATAATAACTGGGAGGAAACCCTAGACATACAGACTCCAGGCACCATGAACACTTCAAATCATGATGCTTGGAGGATCCCTTTAATGAGGCCAAAACCTGTCAAATACAGAGAGGTATAAGCACTTGGCTGCCAGTAGTGCAACCCCACCTCTGGCAGCATCATTAGGCAGTACTGGACTGACTAATGTTAAATCTGTTAAAATTGGGCATCTGTCTCGTCCGCACTCATAGCATGCTGGCAACAGACGACCGATGACGGCTGCCCAAGTCCTCCCCTCAGCCCCTAAAGTGAGGGAAAGTGACTTCCCCTTTGTCTAAAATGGGTAGTCCATGCCAGCAATGATCAAAAACAGTATTTTAATAAAAACACTGTTTCTGGTTAGATTATTCTTTGTATTTATTTATTCATTAATTTTACAGAAATGACTTGCTTATCCCACGCCCCTTTTCTGACCGCCATCTTGATACACCCTGGGTCAGACTGTCCCTTGTTCCAGCCAGTTCTCACTATTTTGCAGCTGTCCGTTTCTTTTCAAATCGTCTGACAGAAAGTGATCTCGGCTGAAAGAGCACGTTTTTTTGAAAAGCAACTGACGGTGCAGAACAGGACTGGCCGAAATAGCCGACAGCCTGACACAAGGTTCATAAAAATGGCTGTCAGGAAGGAGGAATGGGAAAGGTATGCATGTGATTTCTTAATTTTAATGCACCTTGTACAGTCTGTTGTAACAGAGGTAGTTCCTGCCGTTTCACAGAGTTTAAACATCCACCGTCTTCTAAATCCCCCGAGGAAAGCATTCGATCAATGCTGATCATAGGAAAGGCGTAATGTGCGTGTGCGCTGCGCATGTGCCTTAGGTTCCCCCTCAGCATGGCGTCTGAGTAGGTTGTGACGGAGCCAGCCCCGAGGGACCTCGCCGATGGGATAAGGTGAGCGTTTAAAGGGTTATTTAATCCTTTGAGTGCCAGGGCGACGCGGGTGTAGAGAGAGGGACACTATAGTATTCCTAACGCTATAGTGTCCCTTTAAGTCTTTGTAATAGGATAGTTGATTTGATGTAAACACGGCATGCAAATAAAACCTAACATGCATGCTTTCCCTCCGTGTATGTGGTTAAAACATTAGCAAATCTATAGGTGGATGTAGCACATTTAATTTGGGTGTGCACTTATCAGGTCTTTTTTTCATTAAAAAAAAAAAGAAATTAGATAAGGTGAATATTCTTTTTTTGAAATGCTTAAAGCAACAGCAGCCACTAAATAGCCAACATCAGCTCATTTAAAGGCACCATCTTGTCCTCATGGGTTAAACCATTTTGCAACAGTTTAACCATGAACTTGGGGCTCATAATCTAAAAAATATTTGGCCAGTGAAAGATTGAGAGCTTTAGCAGTGATAGCGAGGGGCACTTAAAGTTTATAAATATATATATATATATGACTGATATACAATGCACATTACTGTCAGGGTTATTTAGTAAACTCCAAATTGCAGCACGTTGACATTGAATTGACAGTTTAAAGGGATTACATAGTGCTAGGAATACAATCCTGTATTCCTAGCACTATACTTCTCTCTGCTGAACTGGTCTCGGTGCCTATAGTGTCCCTTTAGGGCAAAAATAGCTGACCTTCTCTTCTATAGAGTGGCCAAGCAGCATGGATTGATTGCAATATGACTGATTGGCAGCGGGAGCTGTGAAGAGTGACTGGGGAGAGAACATAAAGTTGTATCTCCGCCATCTGTCACAGCTTCGGCTGCAGACCTGCTGCAGTAAGAGGGAGCAGGGACAGTCAGATAGAGATTTTAAACTCCATGCAGGCCTGTGCGCTAAGTTTGCTGGCATTAGGGCGTCACTGGGCACACCCCATGTGCATGTCAATGAACATAATGGGATTGTCTAGGAAAGTGTAATAGTACAAAATATCACAGTATATGGAAAAACTGATCCAAAAGGATCTAGACAATTGTCATAACATTAGGATACTCGGTAGCATACCCAACAGAGAACCTACAATTTCCTCCATACATATCCTAAGACTTGTATTAGCAAATTAAATAAACTGAATACTTAAGTCACAAATCAGGCCAATCATCACTCCATAAATAGTAGTCAAATATTTTTTTAAAGAGAAACAAAAGTGCTAAATCCTATTAAAGTAATACTCCAAGCATCAAAACTACTACAGTGGCAACAGTCCCTTGCGCCCCCCTATTTTATGTAGCCATTGTAAGTAAGCTGTGGTTAGTTCTAAGAGACTCCTAACCAAGTCTGGCACTATATGAGAGCCTCCAGCTAGAGAGAAGGGAGAGAGCGGCACCTGGCCAATCCCAGGTAAGTAGTCAATCCATGAATTGACCACCTTTAATGAATTCTCTAGACAAACAGGGAAGAATTCAAACCGGTGTAAAATTGATTGACTTCTTATGGTGGTGTAGTGGTTATTATGGTTGGAGTGTCCCTGTAATAAAGCAAGCATTAGAATATATATATCATTTTTCATTATACACAGCTCCAAAACAGCCTCTATTAAATTGTATGAGGAATTCCTAGAAAGCTAGGGTTGTCCACTACTCCCTTGCATTGTCATTTTTGAGTACAGTAAGTTTATGATGACAGTGTTGAAATACCATCAGTTTTGTACTTATTGTCTGACATGACATCTAGCTTTATTACCTGCATGTTTGTGTTTTTTATTGGTGGATATATATGTATTTGTATTTGTTCTGTCTCTTTAGGGCTGCTGTATCATCGTTAGATTCCACTATGGAAGCAACGCCAGATGACATGAATTCAGTGGATGCCACGTCATTAAGGAGACAGGTAGGTGGATCATTGTAACTTTAACTCTAACCAAATACCTTCTCACACCCGGTAGTCTCTTCTATTGAAGAGTGAGTCTAAATTTGTTTTTGAGAAGTGCATTTTTTGCTAGTGCTTTAGTATTTCTATTATTTACTTTTAATAAAACCATTATTTTGGGGGGCAATAGACTAATCTAAAAATATCTTATCATGGTTTGCCCAGAGTAATGGTTTTTAACGAAAATGCTGTTGCCCACCATGAACAAAGTGTTCAAAATTGTTAAAGCAAAACAAAAATGAATAATAATTGACGTTACATAGTTGTCTAGGTTGAGAAAAATCCTAAAGTCCATCAAGTTCACTTGTGAAGTTAATACAAGTAGCTGCATTCTATGCGTGTTTCATGGTCACAGACAGACTAAAGCACAAGATTTTCTCATGCAGACATAGAAAATATCACTTCCAGAGACACTAAGGAAAGGAAGCCTCAATCAGTGTGTATTTGAAAAAGTAAACCAATAACAAGTGCTGAAAACAAAATCAACTGCTTATAGAAATATATCACAAGTGTCCTGGCCAGTCTAATTATCTATTCTATTTTCTTTCTGGGGTAGAATTCTTCCTATAGTCACGTAAAACATATGGAATTGATCGGTTGAAGTATAGTCATAGCAGCAATAAGTAGATTTTTAAAAAATGATTATTTTAGAGATATTTTTCATGGAAAATTGACTTAAATATAACAATCTACAAACATGTATTATCTGTGCCCTTCCCTAGATAATCAAACTCAACAGGCGCCTTCTACTTCTGGAAGAAGAGAACAAAGAGCGAGTGAAACGCGAGATGATAATGTACTCCATCACGGTGGCCTTCTGGCTTCTCAACAGCTGGTTTTGGTTTAGACGCTAAACACTTCCTGTTTCCTTTTACTTGGGATTGTACAGTGGGATGCACACGGACCAAGTATACCTTATTACACCTCCATCTTGGAGTGACGGGGGGTGGACATTTTGGGTACAGCACAGAACATCATCCAGCTTCAAAACAAAAGGGGAACAGTAAGCAGATGCTGATTCCCAGCGACAGCATTCCTTCTTATTCCTACTTATTCATGGCCTTATGGGTGTGCCTTACATGCATGGCATGCCCTTCTGGCTTTGAAAGGCTTTGATACACTGTTTTGTTCTATTCTTCACGCCCAGTAAAAACCTTCCATTGGAACTCTATTTATATTTCGGTATAGCGGCGAAACCTTGTTCTTCTTGTCTAGAAGTCTTGTAGAAGGAGGGTATCTGCTCTGTTTGGTCCAGCACGTAAAAGGGGGTAAGCTGCGGGTGAAAGTAAGGGTGCCAAGCATAGCGAAAGAGATAAAATGCACAAATTAGAAACTGCTGCATTAAATAGTGTACAGTTCTTTAAGATAAAAAAAGTAAACTTGTTTACATGCAGTAAGCAAGAAATAACTAGTTGTTAGAATATACAAATATAAATGGCTGATGATTTGACCAGTCTATTAAAGTAAGTAGTTGGCATCTATTGGATTGATTTAATTGCTTTTACAGTATCAACTAGATTATTTATGGCAAACCTTGGCACTGCAGATCTTTCAGAACTACAGTTCCCATTGAGCCTTAGCCATTCCTAAGGGGAAATGTAATTCCACAATGGTGCAAAAGGTAGCCATCACTGACCTAGGTACTATACATTTATTTTTTGCCTTCATTTTTACATGTTTGACTTTTTTGGGGAGCGGGGGCTACATTTAAGGAAAATAAATCACAGTTCTTCTCCAAAAGCCCTATAGTTGTGCATTCAATATATATCTACTGTAACACTCCCTCTCCATTATCCATCTTGCATGCTCTTAAAAATGTAAATAGAGGATATGATCATACCACCTCACTGGTCTTTCTGTGTCAGGTATGCAGCTGGGATTGCATAGGACTTCAAGTGAATAAAATGTATTTTAACAAATACATGTAGAGCCTATTAAAAGGATGTGTGCAACATATGAATATAAAATAAAAATAAAACATTTATGTGTGTGATTTACTAGTATAGGAATGTAGGACTGCTATGGATCTTAGATTTGGGTTTGTATGGGAACCTTGTATTGAATATTTATTAAATTTGTTAAAATCAACAGATTTTAGTTCTCCGATGACTTTTAGTGGCTTTATATCGATGATTCAATTGGTCATTTCTTATTTCACTAGGAAGAACAATAATTGCCAACACAACTTACACTCCTTATACCTGAGTCTGGGTTGCAATTAATTTCAAGAAATGTGTGTTGTTTGTTTTTTTTTTTTTTTTGTTATATTCATTTTATAACTTTATCTTCTTTTTTTGGACTGTGTGCTTTTTTTTCACCTCTGTGACCTGCCTTTTTTCTTTTTTTAATGTTTTGGTTGTGAACAATCAAAATAAAATACATGTACTTACGAGTAAGGGAAATAAAAGCACCAAAGTGTTATTTGTGTTAAGTGTTCTTGAGTAGTTTAGTATTTTTACTGATACATGGTACACTTGTAGCATGAAAGGCATTTAATGTTCTCGGAAGATAATGTAGAGTAATTATGCCAATCTGATGCATTTTCCTGCTATAAAAATGCACTTTATGATGCTGATTGGTTTATTGCATGAAAAGTGACATTTTAATTTAGGTAGTGGTTTTCAGCAGCATACAAATGGGATAGTCAAACAAACTGTTAGAGTGAGTTATGTGTGTTCTCTTTCCAATAATGCATTGGCAGTTATCCCATGATAACTAGTAGTCATGCAGTGTGTGCTGTTGACCGTTTACTAGATAGGAAGACTATGTGCGTTTCAATACTCCTAATTTCTTTTAAATTACTAATTGTAATTAATTACCCTGATTTTAATGATAAAGCACCAATACATTTCACAACAATTTAGAAATAATGGCACTCTCCACTGCCCAAATTTAAAAAATCACTGTTTAGTAGATCTGCTCCCCATTGAAAACATGCATACATTTTAATTATGATTTACATTTTTTTTATTGAGGGGTGTTTCCAAAAAATAGCTTGCAAAAGCTGCAGATGTTTTGTCTGAAGTCTTGTGAGCCCTCCCCTTATAGCGCCGCCCAGACTTTCTGTGGCTGTCCAATCACAGATTTCCAAAGCAATTGCCTTCGTCTTGAGTTTAGCTCCACTAAGCTAAACAACCAGGAAGTAATAGGACCAGTTGTCTGACAGCCAGTGGGTGTAACAAGGTTAATTTATAAAAGTGCCAATTTCAATAGAAATCTGCACTTTTTGTCAAATGAAAAATAGATAATACACTCCAGCAAGCAGAAATGCTTTAGGCGTTGTGAGTGTCCCTTTAACAAGAGCTGATGAGAACCCTGCTCCTGTGAGCTTGCAGTCAAGTTATTGATGTATAAATTAATGGAGGTTATTGCAGTTCAGCTTTGAAGAGACGGTAAGCAGTTTAGAGGTAAATGATGTTTTTGACTGTATTTTCCAGTTTGGAAGATTAGATTTGTATATTTAGAAAGACGTGGTTTACTTTATTGCATTTTATTCCTTGACCTTGTTCATATCTTAATTCCTACTGGTGTAGGAGTGTAGCTTGTATTGATAATGTGCTGTTTATAGTTAATCTTTATTACCAATCCTTCTGGAAAGCAGAAACTAGCTCTGTGGTTTAGAGCAGAATTCATATTTATTGCATGTTTGTGTTCTTGACCTTCTAGTGTTCCTATAAGGCATAGCTAATCGCTTAGGAATGTTATTAAAGTCAATGTAGCCACTCTTAGGTCGTGTATGGAGAAATTCCACATTAATCATAACAGATACATCAGGTCTTCTTTTCAGTCAATGTAAGTATTTAAATATTAAAATGTAGAAATAAATGGAATAACAAGTTAATAACATTGATTGTATTGTTACAATGGACCTTGTCAAGGGGTGTGATATATTAGGAAACAATCAGTCAGTTCTTGAATTCCAATGTGTTGGAAGCAGGAAAAATGGGCAAGCGAAAAGATGTGACTTTGACAAGGGCCAAATAGTGATAGACTGGGTCACAGCATCTCCAAAATGACAAGTCTTGTATGGGGTGTTCCTGGTATGCAATGGTAAGTACCTACCAAAAATGGTGCAAAGGAGGACAACTGGTGAACCGGCGTCAGGGTCATGGGTGCCCAAGACTCATTGATGCACATGGAGAGTCAAATGTAGCCTGTGTGGTCTGATAACACAGAAAAATTGTGGGCGTGTCCTGGCGGCGGTACTGAGCGGTCGCATGTGCTGAGTGCTCCGCTCTGACGGCACCCACAGAGGAGTAATTTGGCTGATAGCCACAAAAAAAAACGGGGCCCCATATACCCCAACGACCATGTCACAAGTCAAAGGGAAGAGACAGGCTGAGAAAGCCGACCGGAGTGCCTTTTTTGCCTCATGGACACACTAGGGGAGACAGGCCTTGCTGCAGGACGAAACCCAAGATGGCGCCGAGGAGGCTGGAGAATCACAGCACACTGACATAGCAGCGGATGCTCCTCTCACACAAGAGATGATGCGGACAATGCTGGAACAGATGTCTGCAAGATTAGAGACCAGCTTCAAAGCCACAATTGGGGCACTGCATAAAGACCTAAAAGAATTAGAAGTGAGAACTGCTGGGACTGAAAATAAAGTGGCAGAGCTGGATGAGGCACAAAGGGGAATGGAAGAAGAGATGGCAGGGCTGCAAAACCGAATGCAGCAGTATGAGATAAAGCTAGCAGACATTGAGGACAGGGCTCACCGCAACAACCTGCGAATTCGTGGGGTGAGCGAGGAGGTGGGGCCCACAGAGTTGGCGGCCTACCTGACAAGTCTGCTGAAAGCGCTGGCGCCAGACATGCCGCTAGACCTGCTGCTCATGGATAGATACCATCGGACTGCCAAGCCCAGCTTTTTACCTCCAGACACCCCACGAGACATTCTCATCAGAATGCACTACTACCACGTGAAAGAACTAGTGCTCTAAGCAAGCAGAGCGAAGAAGACGCTTCCAGACCCACATGGGGGACTGTTAGTGTTTGCAGACGTATCAACATACACGTTGAAACGAAGGAGAGAATTTAGAGAAGTCACAGAACCGCTCCGGCTCCACAAGCTGCCATACCGCTGGGGATACCCGGTGAAGATCCTGGTGTCCAGAGGAGGAAAAGTGTCAGCTATCAACACGCCAGAAGAAGGAGCCCTACTACTACAAAGATGGGGACTCACTGAACCAAACCAGCAACGAAGCCCAAAGAGGACACAAAATACCTCCAAAGACTGGAGAAAGTCCAAGAGACTGACATAAAAGGCAACACCACGACTACAACAGACGGTTGAGAGGCCGGTCCTGACAAATAGACCATGGAGTCAACCGGGGGTATCGTGTAATTGTTATAAAGCTATGTTAAATGTTAATGCCACAGCTAGACATGGTAGGCATATGTAGGAACTTTTGAAACCACAAAAAAAAAAAAAAGTATGCGTATATATATATGCATCTATACCTACGTATGTATATAGGTCACACAATGCTTCATTGCACTACTACCCGGCTATGCGCCAACACCAACAGACCGATTAGCAAGCCATAGAGTGGGTCGACTCGGGGAATGCACCCCACAGGGAGGAAGTTCACACTTCCGCCTCCACAGGTACCAGGAGTACCTAAGCCGAAAATGTCCAACCCACCCCGGTCTCGCTGAGACCAGCCATCCCAAGCTCATTCCCCAATATCTACAGGGAGTCCACACAGAGGACCTAACCCACTGGATCTCAAATTCTGCAAAGGTACCCCTGCCCACCTACCCACCCCTAACCCAGCGAGTGAGATATGCCCAATTCCTACCCTCACCTAGGGGAAAGTCGCTCGACTTGATGCTCCTGGGACGAGCGAACCCCCCGTACTGGTCCTTAATACCACCTGTGACCCTTATCAAAGCCATTGGGTATAAACCCCCATGAAAATCTTTTCTCTAAATGTAAGAGGGTTAAACCGGTTAAGAGACACCAGCTATATAGAGAACTCAGGAAGACGGATGCGGACGTTATCGGTCTCCAAGAGACACACTACAGAACTGACAGTTATATCCCACCGACGACTTCTGACTACCCACACCAATACCACGCGACGTCCCCCACAAAGTCCAAAGGGGAATCCATACTGATCTCTAAGCAAGTAGCATTTACTATGATCTCCGTAGAGGTAGACGCCAATGGGAGATATATAATACTGAAATGCACCATTAACAACACGATATATACAATCACCAATGTATACTCACCCAATACATTACAAGGAACGTTTCTGCGACAAGTGCTACAGAAAATTGACTCGATACACGAAGGAGTGTCAATTATCTGTGGAGACTTTAATCATGTTTGGGACCCAAAACTAGACACTAACATTTCACAACACAGTCCACGATATAAAATACTGCATAGACAGTGTAAAAAGCTACAGAAGCTCCTCTCACTACACCACTACTATGATACCTGGCGAACATCCCACACCTCGGAACGTGCGTATACCCACTTCTCCCACGTACATAACACGTACTCGAGGATAGACGGGTTTCTCATGCATGGACAAGGACTTAACCAAATCACAGACTGTGTCATAGGACAGATTACCTGGTCGGACCACGCACCGGTTACGCTGTCAGTAAGAGATCAATATGACTATAAACACCGCAGCCCATGGAGGCTGAATGCCTCCCTGCTGAATGACCCGTCATTTAAGAAAGAGGTAGAGGAGACTTTGACTAACTACTTCACTGAGAACGCTACCCCAGGTATATCCCAGGGCACTTTATGGGCAGCACACAAATCTGTAGTCAGGGGTATCTTTATCAGAAGGGCGTCATACTTACACAGAAAATCCTCGGCCCAGACCACGCAATGGAAGAAAGAATTGTACCAATTAAACACACAAAACCAAATCTCCCCTTCTATTGAGCTAAAATCGCAAATCGCCAATATTACAAACAAGCTACACCAAAAAGCAATAGAACAAACAGGATACATGCTCCAGAGGTTAAAAATGAATCAATAAACGCAAGGGAACAAAGCTAGTAGACTACTAGCTAGGAGACTGCAAGAACGTAGGGCGAACCAAAAAATTGCTTTTCTTGTGTCCCATACGGGAGAGAAGAAAATGATACCCACAGACATATGCAATGAATTTGCCAACTACTACGCAGACTTGTACAACATCAACAAACATGACATCAACAAACATGACACCACATTTCAGCCCACGACGGAACACATAAATAAGTACTTAGACACAACAGACCTCCCAAAAATCACGACCCAACAGGCGACCGATCTCATTAGACCCATCACAGAGGAAGAACTCCATACCATCATAAAACATCTACCGCAAGGCAAAGCCCCAATACATACTACAAACAATTCCACCACATACTGACGCCCCACCTGGTGCGCACATTCACAGAGGCGACCGCCGCGCAGAAATTACCACAAGACACGCTATTGGCCCACATCATAACGTTACAGAAACCAGGGAAACCTCCCACGATCCCACAAAAGTTTAGACCCATATCCCTGCTCAACACTGGCGCGAAAATATTCGCCAAACTATTCGCGATGAGACTGAGCACTCTTCTCCCACAGGTAATCCACAAAGACCAAGTTGGGTTTGTGTTAGGAAGACAGGGAGCGGATAACACGCGCAAGGTACTGAATATACTGCACAGTTTACCCAAATCACACAAGGGAGGAGGGGTTGTCATCTCCCTAGACGCCGAAAAGGCATTCGACCGACTGCACTGGGCTTTCCTGGAGGCAGTCAAGATAAAATTTGGAGTACCAGGAGAATTTAGAGCAGCGATCAAAGCGTTATATAGCGCCCCGACAGCCCAGGTACTTAATGCGGGTTTTCTTTCTAACCCGTTTAGTATCTCAAACGGCACGAGACAGGGGTGTCCCCTGTCCCCCTTGTTGTACATTCTGGCTTTAGAACCACTAGCAACAAAGATTAGACAACATGCCTCCATCCATGGGGTACGTATTGGGGAAAAGGAATACAAAGCCAACTTATTCGCGGACGACGTGCTCCTGACCCTAACGCAACCACTGATTTCACTGCCAAATCTACTGACTGTAATAAAGGAATATGGAGACAGCGCCTATTACAAACTAAACGTGACGAAAACCCAGGCCATGGGGATTGGGGTACCTATTGACGTACTACAGGTATTGCGGGAGAAGTTTGTAATGGACTGGAGGGCAGACAGCGTCTCTTTCCTGGGACTTAAGTTAACAAAGACAATGGGGGGACTATTCAAGGCTAACTACGAAGCCCTGCAAAAAGAGATAGAGGCCAGTTTGGACTCATGGGGAGATAAATACCTCTCCTGGCTGGGCAGGATGGCAGCATTTAAAATGTCTATCCTCCCCAAATTACAATACTTATTTAGAACACTGCAAATGGACCTTCCAACCTCCTACTTAACCAAAACACAGGCGATGCTTACTAAATTCATATGGGCACGCAAACGAGTGAGAATAGCTGCCAAACACCTGTATAGACCCACTCACCAAGGGAGTCTAGCCCTACCAAACATCAAACTCTATTATCAGGCGACGTTACTAGCCCCAGTGCTGGGGATACAATCCCCAACCCCCGTCCCACATTGGCTGGAAATAGAAAATCATTGGCTTCAAGGGACAGACCTCCGCAGATTGTTGTGGGTACCTAAACCACTACGCCCCTACCAACCTAATATCTTACCCACCACGAAAACATTGCTGAGGACTTGGGACTTGCTCTCTATGTCACCGTGGTCACCGGCAACACCCTTATCATGCCTACATGTAGCAAACAACACATTTGACCATAGGGAATGGACGAAGAGAGGCTGCACGCATGTGAGAGACCTACTGGAAGCACAACAGATAATATCATTCCCTACCATCCAGGAAAGATTCGAACTGCCCCCCAAATTGATATTCCCATACCTTCAGCTAAAATCCATGCTAGGGGCCCAAAAGACCACAGTGGAGGGGGAGACCAAGCTCACAGAGTTTGAGAGGACTTGTTTGAACCCAAAGCAGAAGAGGGGCCTGATTTCCCTGTGCTATACACTCCTAAATATAGGCGATCCCGTACACATGGACAGATTCAGTGCAGCGTGGCAGGCAGACATTGGGAAGCATTTCGATGCAACCCAATGGAGACACGCTACCACGGCACACAAAGGAAGGACTACATGCACGTCACACCTAGAGTTAATTCGCAAGGTATATTACAGGTGGTACATGGTGCCAGTGAAACTGGCAAAAATGTATCCAGGAGCATCAGCTGAGTGCTGGAGGTGTGGGGGCCAGAAGGTACAATGTACCACATATGGTGGTCTTGTGAGACACTTCGACCTTATTGGGAGATGGTAGAAAGTTTACTTAATGAGATACTAGAGGATAACATTACACTCACCCCAGAAATGGGCCTACTGTTCATGAACATAGACAGATTCCAGGGCAGTGAGACAATTCTGGTCTTCCACATCCTAATAGCGACACTGACGCTCATAGCCAGAGACTGGAAGACAGACAAGGCACCGACGAAACTAGCCCTAACAAGACAGATTTCCACCAACTTACACTATGAACTCACAGCCAGGAAAAATCAGGGTAACGCGCAAGTTTGAGGACGTGCACATTAGGTGGGAAGACATAAACGCGCCCAGGGAGATCAGAGACAGAGTCAGAGACTAACCCAATGTCACAGACCCAGCCCGACACGAAGAATTTATATGGCCAAACGTATGAGAATCCCCCCCCCCCCGGGAACGGCAATCTTTTTCAAGGGTGAACTTTCAGATAGTACAAGAGGTCGCTTCAGAGAGACCAAAGACAGAGATGATTAGTAGAGGGGCGACTAAGCAGGTCCCAAAACAGAGGCAGGAGGACAAGGCAAATGCAGACAACGGGTAAAGCTAGACCGCTGTGAAACGGCAAAAATGTGTATGATGTTATATATGATGTTATATACGATGTTATGTACTATGTTAAACTGGAAGTCGTGTAAAGCGAGATTTGGGACGCTCCCTCCCCTTTCTTCTGTATCCCAAATTTGCTTCGTAAGTGAAAATAAAAATTGTCAAATTGAAAAAGAAAAAAAAAAAACAGAAAAATTGAAAAACTTAATGCAGGCCATGATAGAAAGGTGTCAGAACACAAAGTGCATCGCAGTTTGCCATGGCCGAGTAGCCCTAGTCAGAGTGCCAATGATGACCACTGTTCACCACTGAAAGAAGGTTGCCTTGTCGTCTGAATCATGTTTTTTTGTTTTTTTTTAGATCGGGTGGATGGCTGGACATGTCTGCAAGAGATGGCAGTAAAAAGCACTATGGGAAGAAGGCAAACCTGCAGAGGCAGTACTATGCTATGGGCAATGTTCTGCTGGGAAACCTTGGGTTCTGGCATTCATGTGGATTTTACTTTGACACATACCACCTACCTAGATGTTGTTGCAGACCATATCTTCATGGCAGTGGTGCTCCCTAATGGCAGTGGCTTTTTTTGGGATCTGCTGCTAATGTCTTGAAGACAGATAACACAGGACACGTTCAGAATTCCTGTGGAGTCCATGCCTCAACACATCAGAGCTGTTTTGGCAGCACGAGGGGGACCTACATGTTGTAGTATAAAATGAATCAATTTAAAGTACATGGTATGTAATTTTCTAGATAACTCATCTTTAGAAACATGTTGATAGAGGCATGAATATTTACAAATAGTCTAATAAGGTGTAGAAAAAGGTGACACATCAACTAAGTAGTGAAATGATAGCATATACAAAAAACAACCAAAAATAAGAACTAAAAATACAAAAAAATAAATTGTAACATCCACTGACAAGTGGGAAATAGTTCTATACCAGTCTCTACAAAAGTAGATTGTATGGCAAAGTCTGGGTATAGTCAATAATGTTACAGCAATAAAACCACTACATAAAATCTCCTGACATAGTGGAAAACAGGAGACTGCAGTAGATTGCTGTAATAATATAGTATCAGATTGTATTCCACAAATCTTGATAACAACCTGATACAGTATATGTTGATGTTGTACAGGTAGACCCTTTTCTACACCTTATTAGACTATTTGTAATTATTCATGCCTCTATCAACATGTTTCTATAGATGAGTTATCTAGAAAATTACATACCATGTACTTTTAATTGATTCATTTTATACTACTTATTTACCATTTTTATTGCAGAATTTACTAGATTCTATATCCACTGATTGTCTATGTATGTATGTACATACATACATACACACACAAAACCAAGAGGGCTGCACTCACCTGAACATGCATACATTATAGGGTGCTGCTGGGGCCAAAATATACAAAATACAGAATCCAGCGCACTCGCTTATTCACTAAACAATTATTTCAAATCTTAGAGATTGGAATAGTTTTATTTAAAAACCTCACCTAGGCAAAAAATAATGGGGTTTAGTTACATTATATGATCATTTATTGCATAAGCCTGCCACAACGTCAATGTACCCCATTCTTGGCAGGTCCTACACTAGCAGCCTATTGCTTATATGATCATATAATGTAACTAAACCCCCATTATTTTTTTGCCTAGGTGAGGTGTTTTTAAATAAAACCATTACAATCTCTAAGATTTGAAATCATTGTTTAGTGAATAAGCGCGTGCGCTGGATTCTGTATTTTATATATATATATATATATATATATATATATATATATATCTCTATCGCCCCGGTGTACGCTTTGGATGTATTTTTTTTTTCCCTGCACATTCCTTTGTCTTGTTTTTGTTACAAATTCAGGGTGGTAACTGACACTTTTTGATACCGGTTGAACAAAAAGATTTTATATACTTATTTCATATTTATATCTATATTCTACATTTCTACTTTTTGATCACCTATATTTTCCCTCACGCTTCTGTGAAACCGTTGGAAAAACCATATCTGTGATAGAGTGGTTCTCTCACAACTGTTTTTTTTTTTTCCCTATATTTCCGGTTTTAATGATGTGGCTGATCAGTGTCCAACTTATAACTGCACAAAATGATCAATGGTATTTCTCTTATTGTGAAGGAAGGGCAATTAATCATTAGCAGGCTGAAGTGATATTTTTTTCCCCCTGTTGAACCATTTCCATTCTTATTTCCTATTAACTTGAAATGACCTTTGATATGTTTTGTGTATGTGTGTATTCACTTCCAGGGTTATTCAGTAAAGTGAGAATCTGAAGTGAATTCAAAGCAAATTGAAAGTCGAAATAGCCAAATTCGGGCTATTCTTGTCTTATCTTTTAATTCTCAACTTAGTAAATAAGCCTGTAAAGGGAGAATTTTCACGAATTCAAGGTGCAGGCTAATGTAGCTAAGGTGCATGCATCTGAAGTTCCACTGCTAAATACTTTACCGTTTAGGAGTTAAAACACTTTTGTTTCTGTTTATGCAGTCCAAGCTACACCTCCCCTGGTTGTGACTGATATAGCCTGCATGAAAACAAAATTAGATGATACTAAAGGAAGTGTAAACATTAGATGACACTTTACAGGAAGTATTTAGGAAGGCTGTGTAAGTCACATGCAGTTAGGTGTGACTAGGGCTGCGTAAACAAAGTGCTTTAACTCCTAAACATCATAGAATTGAGCAGTGAGATTGCAGGGGCATGATCTATACACACTGAAACTGCTTCATTAAGCAAAAGTTATGATGACTACAGTGACTCTTTAAATTAACCTTTAAACACTTATCTGATTCCAGAGCCAAGATGTCGCACACACATTAGGCATTCTCCATAGTGACTCAGAAGACGCTGGATGTATTCATGCAAAGCGTAAAGAAGTCCAGCGTCGTCTTACTGAGTTAAACTCCCTGTAAATGCAGGAAGATCCTCTAGTGGCTGTCTGAGACACTGCCACTAGCGGCAGTCTTAACACTGCAATATAAACATTGCAGTTTCTCTGAAACAATGTTTTACATTGTAGGGATAAGGAGGACAGGGACACTGCACCCAGTCCACTTCAATTAGATGATGTGATCTGGGTGCCTATAGTGTCCCAGTTGTCCTGCATCTGGGGGTCACCAGAGAACTATTCCCAACAAGCTCACACTGTGTTGAAATTATTACAACCATGCAGAGAGAGCTTCAGCAGCTACCTGAACAGCCTGCCCTGAATGAACCCAGCCAGGGAGGCTTACATGCACACCCTCTTGCCAATGCCTCTTCTTTATAGGCAACCCTGCCCTCTTATAAAAGCAGAAGTGACAGGGTTGGGCATTGCCACTGTTATTATTACTAATGTAAGAAAGTATGCATAGTTACTTAGGTTAAAAAGAACTGCAGTTGAAGCTGAGAAAATATTGTTTTTACATTACCTGTTGCAGAAGAGCAGGCTTTAGCTACAGGGGGAGAGACAGTTTTTTTTATTTTATTTTTTTAAATCAAAAATTAAAACAGCTTGACAAAAACCAAGAGACAACTCCCATAAACCTGCAGCAATTATATTGAGCTGTTTGATCTTATTATATTATTCTTACATGAAGCCTCTCTTACAGCTTTTTGGGCAGTTCCAGACATGACCCAGCTGGGGCACAAGTATTGACTCCCCCTCTATAGCAATAAACATCTGACATTTGTCCCATTTAAGGGGTTGTCCCCAGGCACTGCCTCTTTGACCATCTGCATCAAATATCCCCCCTAACTGTATAAACTGGAATTAGATTGTCCAATAAATGTTATAAATCCCCCTCCCAGTGAGTGTATTGGTGCTATGACCCTAGTTCTGGCGGAAGTGGCTTCATGTATCCGGTTAGTCCAGGCGGAAGTGCCCTACTGGCTCAGTCCCCCTTGTGGAACCTTTGTGTGATTCCGCGGTTGCCGCGGGGAAGGTTGAAGGCGAGGCACAGCACTCTATCCACCTTGCTATGTCCTCCGTGCTCTTCACCCTGCGCTCCCTGGCGGTGTCCAGCCTCCGGTATCCCCCGGTGAGGGGGAAGAAGCGCTGGCTCAGGTCTTACCTGCTGGCCCTGGAGAAGCAGCGGAAGCTGGAGGGCCCCCCGAAGCCGGTCCCCCGGTGAGTTCCTCCATCACCTTCACCTGTCCCACTTACCAACATCAGCCACGTGACTTTACTGACTCTCCTGTCAGTGTCCATTGTGGGCTGCATGTCTGACCCCCACTGGACACTAAATCCTGACTCTCCTGTCAGTGTCCAATGTGGGCTGCATGTCTGACCCCCACTGGACACTAAATCAAGACTCTCCTGTCGGTGTCCATTGTGGGCTGCATGTCTGACCCCCCACTGGACACTAAATCAAGACTCTCCTGTCGGTGTCCAATGTGGGCTGCATGTCTGACCCCCACTGGACACTAAATCCTGACTCTCCTGTCGGTGTCCATTGTGGGCTGCATGTCTGACCCCCACTGGACACTAAATCCTGACTCTCCTGTCAGTGTCCATTGTGGGCTGCATGTCTGACCCCCACTGGACACTAAATCCTGACTCTCCTGTCAGTGTCCAATGTGGGCTGCATGTCTGACCCCCACTGGACACTAAATCAAGACTCTCCTGTCGGTGTCCATTGTGGGCTGCATGTCTGACCCCCCACTGGACACTAAATCAAGCCTCTCCTGTCGGTGTCCAATGTGGGCTGCATGTCTGACCCCCACTGGACACTAAATCCTGACTCTCCTGTCGGTGTCCATTGTGGGCTGCATGTCTGACCCCCACTGGACACTAAATCCTGACTCTCCTGTCAGTGTCCATTGTGGGCTGCATGTCTGACCCCCACTGGACACTAAATCCTGACTCTCCTGTCAGTGTCCAATGTGGGCTGCATGTCTGACCCCCACTGGACACTAAATCAAGACTCTCCTGTCGGTGTCCATTGTGGGCTGCATGTCTGACCCCCCACTGGACACTAAATCAAGACTCTCCTGTCGGTGTCCAATGTGGGCTGCATGTCTGACCCCCACTGGACACTAAATCCTGACTCTCCTGTCGGTGTCCATTGTGGGCTGCATGTCTGATGCCCACTGGACACTAAATCCAGACTCTCCTGTCGGTGTCCATTGTGGGCTGCATGTCTGATCCCCACTGGACACTTAATCCTGACTCTCCTGTCGGTGTCCAATGTGGGCTGCATGTCTGACCCCCACGGGACACTAAATCCTGACTCTCCTGTCAGTGTCCAATGTGGGCTGCATGTCTGACCCCCACGGGACACTAACTCCTGACTCTCCTGTCAGTGTCCAATGTGGGCTGCATGTCTGACCCCCACGGGACACTAAATCCTGACTCTCCTCACAGTGTCCATTGTGGGCTGCATGTCTGACCCCCACGGGACACTAAATCCTGACTCTCCCGTCGGTGTCCATTGTGGGCTGCATGTCTGACCCCCACTGGACACTAAATCCTAACTCTCCCGTCAGTGTCCATTGTGGGCTGCATGTCTGACCCCCACTGGACACTAAATCCTGACTCTCCTGTCAGTGTCCATTGTGGGCTGCATGTCTGACCCCCACTGGACACTAAATCCCGACTCTCCTGTCAGTGTCCATTGTGGGCTGCATGTCTGACCCCCACTGGACACTCAATCCTGACTCTCCTGTCAGTGTCCATTGTGGGATGCATGTCTCATGTCTGATCCCCACTGGACACTAAATCCTGACTCTCCTGTCAGTGTCCATTGTGTGCTGACACTAATCCGTTACGGCGGTTGAGACCATTTATAATGTCTGATGTTTATAATGTCCGATCCCTGTCCTCCTGTCACTTCTTAATGCATTGCATAATAAAAAGCACGAAAATACAATAAAATGACAGGTAATAAAGCCTCTCTTCAGTATAAGATTAGTAGGATGTTTGCCATCAGTTTTCAAGAAAAAGAATATCACACAACAATAACAGCAATGGTCAATTATGAGACTATTACATGATGAATTGAATTTGAACCATTTTTTGGACTGAAAAACCAGGGTGTGACTATTATGCGGTGAAATACTGTCATTTATTAATGGGATTTTGGTGGTTTCTTTTGCTTGAATTACTTTTCGAATGTAGCAATTCAACTCTTTTTTCTTGTTACACCTCTAAATATGATGGTGATTTGCAGCATGTTAAATCTAATTATATTAAACAGCTGTAATATAACAGGTAGTGCTTTTAATGTTTTAACTTGGAATGCTTCTCATTTTTTAACCCTTACTTGTATCTTCTTAGGTCACAGCAGCTGAACTTTGACTACCATGCAGAAATTGTAGCTTTCTCAAAGCGACTTAATGAGAGTTTCTCGTTGGATCTTTTGAAAACGGCATTTGTGAACTCTTCATACTTGGTACAGGAGCAGAATAGACGCCTAGAGCTAGGGTTGGACAAAGAAACCGCTGCACTGAATCTACAGGATAACCAGGAACTTTTCCAAAGAGGGTCTGATTTCACTGCCCTATATCTTAAAGAAAACCTGCTGCAAGCGTTCCCCAACCTACCTGTTTCTGGAATCACAGCCTTAATTGACTATCTCACTAGTGAAGAAATTATCTGTCATGTGGCCCAAAATTTGGCAGTAGAGGATTTAGCACTGAGCTCAGAGTGTCCATTGTCTCCTGGCACTCTTCAGCGAACTTTCTTTGCAGTAATTGGAGCTCTGCTGCAGAGTAGTGGCCCTGAGAGAACAGGACTGTTTATAAGGGTAGGTATCAACTAATGGGTCTGTATATTTCCTGATCATACGTGGCGGCATTTACTTATGGGTTAACTCCTCCCCTCACAGAAGAAAGCACAGGAAATGGACCCCTGAAATTGGTATAAATAGATCCACCCCCTCCCCATCAGGCAGTCTTTGTAACTAGCTTTACAGCTCTCGTAGAAGATGGGTGGGAACATCATGCTGCCATGTATAATGATCAGGAAATGGAAACTACAGTAAGTATGAAACAATATTTTTTTTATTCCTGATCAAACGTGGCAGCATTTACTTGTGGGAATACCCAAGATGTATATATAGTGGGAGGAACTGAGTTCAAATACAGCTAGTAGTTATAAAAAAACTTTTATTGAGCTGCATAAATTAAACAAGCTTTCATCAAATGCCAGTTTGTCTTGTCTGAGCAGATATGACAATATCTTGTTGCTTACTTGTTTGGCTTTTGATAAGCCTTGTTAGGTTTGTGCAGCCCAATAATACTAGTTTATATAACTATTTGCTGTGTTTGAACTCTGTCCCTCCCACTATATATACTGCCTGGGTATTACCCATAACTGATTAGAAGTCCTTTCTCTCTGTCATGTGATGACTGTCTCATAGATAATACAATAATATAAGAAATTTTAAGTATTCTCTATTTAAGTATCTTCAGAAGGATATTGATACCTTAGAGAGGGTTCAGAGAAGGGCTACTAAACTGGTTCATGGATTGCGGGATAAAACTTACCAGGAAAGGTTAAAGGATCTTAACATGTATAGCTTGGAGGAAAGACGAGACAGGGGGGATATGATAGAAACATTTAAATATATAAAGGGAATTAACACAGTAAAGGAGGAGACTATATTTAAAAGAAGAAAAACTACCACAACAAGAGGACATAGTCTTAAATTAGAGGGACAAAGGTTTAAAAATAATATCAGGAAGTATTACTTTACTGAGAGGGTAGTGGATGCATGGAATAGCCTTCCAGCTGAAGTGGTAGAGGTTAACACAGTAAAGGAGTTTAAGCATGCGTGGGATAGGCATAAGGTTATCCTAACTAGAAGATAAGGCCAGGGACTAATGAAAGTATTTAGAAAATTGGGCAGACTAGATGGGCCGAATGGTTCTTATCTGCCGTCACATTCTATGTTTCTCTGATGCAGTGTATTGTATAAAATGATCCTTACATCCAGCCTTATATATTCACAGCTATTATGCACATTCTTTCACCAATATTCAGATTTATAAAAGCACTTAATAATATTTAAAAGTATGTAATCTTATAACGATACTGATCCAGTATAGTTAAAAATACAATACTTTATTAGAAAACAAATACAAAAACACAAGTCCTGCGCTCAAACTCCCATAACTGTTGGGAGGCAGCAACAACCATAGTACACATCAGCCCAAATACATACAGTAAAAACCAAAGTAACCAAAAGTTACCTGCGCTCTTTCCACACCCCTATGTATATTTAAACAAATGGAGGTTTTTAGTTGCCTCCAATGGCCATGAGAGGGTATGCCCACCTGCCATGTCAAGGCAGACCTCTTAGGTGGGTCCTAACTATAACCATTCACATTGCTTCCTTGAGCTTCTGGCAAAGAAATCTCTAATGAGACAGAAAGGGGGTATTTTTTTTTTATTTACATCCCTACATGCTTATTGACCCTTAATAGGGAACACATGGGATGGGCAGCATCATTCTAACATAGCTGTGTGATGAAAAAATTTGTATATATAGATTTTTTTTTTTTTTTTCCATCTTTTCTAATAAAGTATTGTATTTTTTTATTTGTATTTTTTTTTTAAATTCTTTATTTTGTTGGTACAGAGGTTTAACATGTGGATTTGCACTGCCACAATAGCTGATGCAATCAGGTTGGTATTCACACTTAATCATATGGCATTAAAGACATTGCAGTGTTTTTTGTTTTTTTAACTTAGTTATGTAAACAGGATAATATCTTAAGCTTATAAAAACAAAGGAGAACAATAGCTTGGTTCACAGATGTGTTTCATCCAGTAGTCACATTAAGATTAGTGGTCAGGCTAGTACATTGCATTACAAAACATGGCTAACTACTCCTATCTTTATGTCTGATACAGTATGTCTGGTCTATGCTATAATATTTAAATGTGCTATGCTGGGCGAAAGAAAAATAAAGAGGGGCTGTCTGAAGCAAGATTAAACTGATATTACGCTGAATACAGGAGTCCACCGCTTGGTGAGTGAGACATGTAAATGCCTCCTTAAGTTCTTGCCCTTTCATCCGATTCCTGATTTACTGGGAGCTTGTTGGGTGTATATTCCCCGTGGAGAGGCATGTGTTGCGTAGGTGTTTAGGCAGTTCACCTGCGTAGCTGGTGCTATTTTGTGGAGGTAGGCTGTTAAAAGTCTCCAGTCTCTGCACCCTAGCTGGGCCCCCGTTGGCTGCAGGTTTTACCTTCAGGGTGTTGGACCTTGGGTGCTTAGTTGTACCTCGGCTCCAGGGCCTCCGCCTTGCAGGTAGTCAGGTTCTCCGGTGCCTCAGTTTTCTTTGCGTCGGAGGGGAGGGGGGCTAGGTGGTTTGAGGATTGCAAGTCACTGATATCAGTGCCTCCAAGGTGTGTACATGCTTTTGTCTCGCTTCTATTTTTGCCCAGAATTTAGCAAGTATTTCATCCAGCTTACTCAGGGTCGAGGCAAAGAGGGAGCCGTGTGGGACTTTCTTGTGCAGTAGCTCTTTACCGCTATGGAGGAGCAGTGTGTGGTCTCCTGGGACCGGGATGACCCCCCGGTCTAGAGGGGCGGGGGGAGAGCGGAGGACTGCTGCGAGGTGCAAGATGTGGCATCTGGAGAACGGCCGTCCCTCCAACGCCAGCCAGGCTTGTGGGCCTCAAGAGGCCCGGGGTCCAGTGTACCGGGTCAGGACAGCGTCGAGAATTGTACCGTTCGGGTCCCCCGGGTGCTCCCAAGCTGGTTTTGTGGTGGTATGGCTGAGATAGCATGCGGGAGAAGGCTTAGTTTGCAGGCTTTGGTCAGGAGCTCGCCCTGCGTCCGCTCAGCCTGCCAGTCAGGCCCCGCCCCCTAAAGTATTGTATTTTTAACTATACTGGATCAGTATCGTTATAGTTATAAGGTTACATACTTTTAAACATTATGAAGTGCTTTTACAAATCTGCATATTGGTGAAAGAGTGTGCATAATAGCTGTGAATATATAAGGCTGGATGTAAGGATCATTTTATACAATACACTGCATCAGAGAATACTTAAAATGTATCTTTTATTTTTTACTAATTTTTATTTTTTGTTAAAAATCTAATTTTTTTTACACTTTCACTTATACATTTCTTATCATATTATTGTATTATCTATGAGACAGTCATCACATGGCAGGGAGTGATGACTTCATATCTTTTATATTCTTAACTGCAGGTTAATAGGTTCCCTATTCCTCTCTACCCATTTCACTTGACTGCATTTAAGCAGTACACTGGCTCCTTATTTCTTTTTTTTTTTTTTTTTTCTACTTTTGCTCCACTTTACTTTTTATTTTTATTCCCCATAACTAAATGCTGCCATGTTTGATCAGGAATAAGGGGAATAGTTTCATACTTACCGTAATTTTATTTTCCTCATCATTGTACATGGCAGCATTACGTTCCTACCCATCTACTATGTGAGTTGTGAAGCTAGTTACCTGATGGGAGGGGATGCATCTATTTATTCCAATTTCAGAATTCTATTTCCTGTCCTTTCTGCTGTGAGGGGAGATGCTAACCCATATTTTATCAGGAAGAACAAAATTACGGTAAGTATGAAACTATTTTCCTTAAAGGATCACTATAGGATCAGGAACACAAACATGTATTCCTGACCCTATAGGGTTAAAACCACCATCTAGACACCCTGGTCCCCTCATGCCCCCCTAAATATAGTAAAATCTTACTTGTATTCAGGTCTGCAGCTGCTTACTTTGTCCATGTTTCCTTTAGACCTGCCCACTGCCTGCTGACATCAGCAGAAGTGGTACTTTGATCCAATCACAATGCTTCCCCATAGGATTGGCTGAGACTTACAAAGAGGCAGATCAGGGGCAGAGCCAGCACAATTCAAACACAGCCCTGGCCAATCAGCATCTCCTCATAGAGATGAATTGAATCAATGAATCTCTATGAGGAAAGTTCAGTGTCTGCATGCAGAGGGAGGAGACACTGAATGTTTGGATGCATTTTAGGCAGCCATGACCCAGGAAGGATCTCTAAATAGCTATCTGAGAAGCGGTCAGTGAAGTTATCACTAGGCTGTAATGTAAACACTGCATTTTCTCTGAAAAGACATTTCCTGCTACACTAACATGAAGTCAGAGCATTATTATATACTTCTTGGTTCCAGCACGTGACATGAATTCTCTTGGCCTCTCTTTAAACATTGCTTATAGCCAAGCTTATCATTCTGTTGCAAATCCTCTCAAATGGCATACTTTTTCCATATGGTTAACAAGATATAAAGCAGCAGGACTTTAATCCACTGGTTTCTCACATTAATAGCTTTTCCACAGCAATTTGTATTGTATTTTGTTCCTTTTGAAATCTTCACTGAAATGCAAAGATATTAAATATGATGGTGTCTGAGGTCAAGGCGTTAATGTCAGTATTTGTTGTCTGGCCATACATCTAGCACATGAACCCAGATTAAGAGGTTTCAGGGGCCTCTAATATAACACATGAGCAATTCTGGGAGCAATGTGTGAAGCAGTGTTCCTTTTGATTGCTCCACTTTTGCATATTTTTCCCTAGAATTATGCTTTGTGCATATGGCCCATTAAATTTCCTTAGTGTAAAAAAAATGTAAATTAATAGATTTCATATCAAATAAATGGGGTATTTCTACACATTAGTTACAAATTAAATGTATTTTAACATGTCGGTTTAAATACGTTTTTACAAAGATTTTATTGAAATCCTGAATAAGATCGAAACATTCTTTTAACCCTACACTCACTGAGTATGTGGGGACCCTATATTTGCTGTAAAACCTTTTTGGTGTATAGATCATGCCCCTGCAGTTTTACTGCTAAATTCTCTGCCATTTAGGAGTTAAATCACTTTTTCTGTTAATGCTGCTTTAGCAACACCTCCCCTGGCTGTGACTGACACAGTCTGCATGAAAACAAAATGGTTTAATTTTCAATCAGATATAACTCACTTTAAAAGTTTGTATCTCCTGCCATGTAAAATGAACCTTAATCACATACAGGAGGCTTCTGTAGGCTATAGAAAGCTATTAAAGGAGCAGGATATATGAAATTACTAATTAAACATAAATTGCAACAAAGGAAGTGTAAAGATTAGATGACTCTTTACAGGAAGTGTTTAGGAAGGCTGTGCAAGTCACATGCAGGGAGGTGTGACTAGGGCTGAATAAACAAAGTGTGTTAACTCCTAGATTGCAGCGAATTGAGCAGTGAGGCTGCAGGGGCATGATCTATACTGATTCATTAAGCTAAAGTTGCTTTAGTGACTATAGTGTCCCTTTTAAGCTTGGCATTCTTTTTTTTTTTTTCGTTTTCTTTTGTCTCCATGAAGACTTGTGAAACCCTGCTCTAAATCAGTGAGATTCCAGCATGTACAGTGCTGCTACTGATAGGAGTGTGCTTGCTACCTTCAGCTAAGCTCCGCATGTGGAGTCCCACAAAGAGGGGGTGATATAGCATGTATGGGGCCTCATTGGCTGACAGCTGGAGTTTTTGGATGCAGAATGTGGCGTGTGATGACTGGGAGAGGTCATTAAGTGATCATTTATTTCGGTAAATCAAAAGACTGATACAGATTATGAGAAATATGCCGAATATCTGCTTTAATAATCTGCAGAATCAATAATCGCTCTATTCACGTACATTCCCGTCTAGTACATAACACTCCATATCATATCTTTACTTTGGGGATCTATAAAATGTATAGCCAGCTGTGTTGAGTATATTTGGTATAAACTAAGAGCGTAATTTTTCTCAATTACATCCCTTAAAGCAGCCACTTCAGTATTATTTGGCATTCCTAAAGAACTGTCTTTGGGAGTTTGTATCTCCATAACTTGCCAGTACATTTTAAAGACATGTCTGTGCTTTTCCACAGTTGAATAAGCCCTGTGTTACTGTTTTTGTGAAACCTCTTGAAAACTCTGGGCTTTAAAAACCTTTATGAAATAGGAAGGGAACCTGGCTTCTGAAATTATTCCTATTGCCGGGCGGTTTTGAGTGTTTTTGTATAGATGGATGACACTTCAAACATTTGTCAACATCTGCAATAACATAAGATTTTGTACGCATGGGATCTTGATGTTCATATGAGGTTTCTTGTAGTAGGTCGTGCCAGTAGAGTCTAATAGCACGTTTGTAAAAATTTTTATTTTTGTAATAATAAAACTTTCTTTCCATTTTAGGATTTCCTGATTCCACAACTAATTGGGAAGGATCTCTTTGATGTTTGGTCAGTCAGGGACCCTATGACCCTACTGGTTGAAGAATTGTCTAAAAGGAACGTTGCTCTCCCAGAACCCAGGCTCACAAAACAATCTGGAGTCAGCACTGCCCTTCCTGTATATTTTGTGGGTCTGTATTGGTGAGTATAGTTCTCTGTTCATTTGTGTAATGTAGGTTTAGTCTCTAGTTTTGCTTTTAATTTTACAATAAACCAAACCCATTCGACATGCACTTGGGTTGGATGTATTGAAGTACGGCATTATGGTGGCTTCTTTAACTGATCACATACAGTGAGTGGCAGTGCTTAAACATGTATCTATGTAAGTACAATTTTACAGGTTGGTAGAATAAATGTTATTGGGCGACCTATAAAAAACAATTGCAAGGCTGTGTTCTCAAAGTGGATAAATCTCCATGGAAACAAGATCTTAATTTTCTGTTTGAATTATGGCAAAGAGCACAACGCTTATAGGAGTCTTTTAGTAGGCTTGCTATAGTAGTTTTGTAACCAATTATATTGCATTAATATCACCTTTAGTTTGTATTCTGTTGCTATTATGTTACTTCCTATCACTGACTGTGACTTCAAGGTCTCTCGTGAAGGCTAATAAAATCATTTTGCGATAACTATAATCGAACTCTGCCTTGATTAATTCAATGATTTCCCCTGCAGCAATAAGCAGCTGATAGCAGAAGGTCCCGGGGACTCCATCGCTGCTGCAGAAGAGGAAGCTGCACGTGTTGCTTTGCGGAAGATGTTTGGCTTCACAGAGAACAGGCGGCCTTGGAATTATTCTGTTCCCAGGAAGGATAATACTGAGAAAATGGCCATCCTTTATTAGCCAATATAATTGCCAGCAGCATATAACGCCCCCCAAAAATTATTTCTGGTATCTATTTTTGGGCACCATGCAAAAACTGAGAAAGTACACTGCTTATTTGTAGTTGATGGACAGTTAAGTACTGGGTTTAAAAAAGATTAACTGTTGTGTTTAAATCCGCAGAAGATCATGTTCAATAACTAGTGAATCATGGTGAGGTGACCATGAACTTGCAAAATTTAGGCCAAAATATCAAAGTTGAAGATTATTTTTCTTTCCCCCATTCTTCTCTATTCTATTCTAACTGTAGCAAGTGTATTGCCATCAAACATTGATCCAATCTAATATTAGAAAAGTGGCCTTTAGTTTGCCCATGGTGACCCCGCTGCTGTGGATTTCCCATTCAGAGTACTTTGTTTTGTTTCCCAGTTTTTGATATTTTTCAACCTTGGAAGGGATACAGTAATTGACCTAACAACCCTGTACTCCTTCATTCTCTTGTTTAAAGAAGACTTGGCCTACAACCTGTATATATGCTCTTACCTGCAAAATAAAATATGTAAAAATAAACTTGTTTATAACAGGAAAAATGGCAAAGTTGATTACTAGGTATTAGAATTTGACATGATATATGTACATCTTCTGCAACCAAACATCGATATGAGTTGTAGTTGTTTAAAAAAAGTACAACTACATTTTTGTTTATATTTTGGATGGACAACTAGCTGGGTTACAGAATTCATAGTTTGAACAGATCTCCAAGAGTTTCAAGTGAATTCAGGTGGGTTATGGCGATCATGTGCACCAGGGCTTGACAAATCTCAGGTCGCCATGGTGACCAGGAAATTTATCTTGGCGCCTGGGATTTGTAAGCCTGTTCAGCACCCGCGGTGACCTGTTGTCTGAGAGCAGTCTGCTCTCGGAGGGCTAAGGCAGGTGGGTGGCGGCTCACGGACAACTTGCGCGGTCGGGACAGCTCATGGAGAGTGTGGCGGTGAAGGAGCTGCAATCTCCCTGCTCTGCTCCTTTGTGTGCCCCGCAGAGTGTATTGCAGTATCAGTGAGTATGTGTCGAGTGAGTGAATATGTATCTTTGTCAGTAAGTGTGTGTCTGTCAGTGAGTGTGTATGTTTAGGTGACCTTCCCCACCTCGTTTCAGATGGGAAAAGTGTTTTTTTTACTTGCCTTTTTTCCCACTCCATGCTGGTGATGCTGCAGCTGGCCCCACCTACTTGGCTGAGATAAAGAGTCAAGAATGATTTATAACCCCCATTCAAATTTATGGAAAATAAGAAATCGTCTCAAATTTTTTTTTTTTTTGTATTTTTATTTATTCCTTTTGGACCATGTCAGTAAAAGCATTTTTTTTTTATTATGTAAGCATGTAACGTTTTATGATATAAGCATGTAACATTTTATACAAAAAAGAGTGACGGTAACTCGTGCAATTTGTTAATTTGAATTTATGTGGCAAAATCACACACAAAAATTTATCTGAGCTTCAATTTGAGGCTATATCAGGCATGCAAAAGGGGGCCGTCAGACGTGGGTCCAAAAGAATTTGTGCAGTCTTTAATTCCTAAAATAGTGGAGCAAAAATGAAATGTAGAGAAAATTATTAACGTTGTGAATATATCTGAATTGGAGAATTTTCCCTTTTCATGCTGAAATTGTTAGTTCAGTTATTTTTTGACAAATGTGTATTTGTGCATACTAAACGAAATCCTGTAAAACTCCTTCATGTGATATACCTCTATTTAAAGGGACACATGCCTGCAGGCCAGTTAATCTCAATGTAAAACACTGCTGTGTTTGAAGGCGAGCATCAGAGGTGGGCGTACGGACAGAAAATAGACGTAAGTCTTCAGCAGAGCGTAATGGCCTAATGAATTAACCACTTTATGTCCTGGGAAATATTTCCACGTGATTGGCAATATAGGTTAAAATACCTCCACTATTTTCTTTTTAATTAAAGATTAAAAGTTTTATGACTTTTTTGCGTTTTTGTACAAATTGTATTAAATGCCCAAATTAATACAATTGGGAAAAATTATATTCAACATTGTTGATTGCAAGATTATATTAGATGTTCGTGGGATTGTTAAATGCAATCATAAATACAGACTTAAATGGATATAAACAGAACTATTCACAAATCACCACAAAGTAAAGATTTAAGAGCTATGCTGCTATGGACTAAACTACTTTAGCTTAAAAGGGACACTGTAGTCACCAAAACAACTTTACCCTAATGAAGCTGTTTTGGTGTATTTTAATCACACGCAGGAGGCTCCTGCAAAATTCTAAATTCTAAATTAAACAGACTGTGCAAGAAATACGTGTGAATATTTAGATCTTACTTTACATTAAGTGATTAGAAAGGCTGTGTAAGTCACATGCAGGGAGCTGTGCCTAGTGCTGCATATATAGTGGCTTGATCTATACACCAACACTGCTTCATTAGAGCTAAAGTTGTTTTGGTGACTATAGTGTTCCTTTAATTTTAAAGCTATAGAAGAATTAGGATTAGCTAATAGATCTCTGCCATTTCCTTTCTCTGTAGACATCACTACAGAAGAAGCACATTCTGAGGACGTGCTGCAAACAAAGGACATTTATTTTTTTAAATACGTGATATCAGTTCAATCCAAATCCGAGTTCCCTGTTAAATTTAGTTTATTCTAGGCCAGTAGTTTTCATTCCAGTCTTTGATGTCTGCAAATAACAGAGGATTTATAGATTGCACAACTGTTCCATTGAGATATAGGTAAAACTAGAATGGATGTCAGGTCATGGAGGCTAGTTTCGAGAAGGATTGCTCTAAATTAGATTAAAACAGATAAAGGGCTTAAAATGTAATGGTTATTTTTGCTAATATAATATATATCCTGGCAATTGTGCCTGTGGAATGTCATACTATGTTGTCTGCGTTCTAGTCATCATCATCATCATCTCTTCTTTTTGAGGTTCCGCAAATGAACCCAAACACTCCAGCTACTATTTGAAAGATCCCTACAAGAGCCTCTAACAGGCCAATGATGGCCAGTGCCACAAACACAACAATGTGGATGATCTTCTGTGTATTCTCATCTATTTCAAGATCCAGCAATCTCTCTCTCATGATTCCATTGCTCATATCATCGTCAGGGTTATTAGTCTCAAGACAGGTGGTGTTCTGGAACCAAGACAGGTCAAACCTGATACTTTCAAAGGAGCTGATGGAGACAAAAAGTTTAAAGAACAGGGATATTGGTATATAATTAGGGATACATACTGTTTTGTTTGCCGTAATGTTCTGTTTTTCATGAACAAACATCTATATCAGTGGTAGGTAACCTTTGGCACTCCAGACGTGGACTACAACTTCCATAATACTCTTATAGCCATAATGCTGGCAAAGCATCAGGGGAGATGTAGTCCAGAACATCTGGAGTGCTGAAGGTCATCCTACCACTGGTCCATAACCATGTTTATCTAACCCTTGCCCCTACTCTCAGGGTTTATTTGTTAAAGTATGCATTGCCTGGGTATAAAATGCATTTGAAATTTTAGACCAAAGTGGGAAAAATTAGTCCCCTGCCAAATTTAGTTTAACTATTTTGACCCAAAATTGCAACCTCAGTTTTAATTCTCAACATTTTGCATTTAAGTTAATAACCCTGTACGGAGGGCCTGATTAACATAGGGGCTGATATAAAAAAAAAAAAAAAAAATGTAAACTTTTTTTTTTTTTTACACACTGTTCTTCCCTTTTGGCAGGTCTTCCCTTTTGGCAAATGTGTGTATCACCCTTTCCTCACCCTAGAGCCCGGCAGGAGTGGGTCCCTGAGGGTGGGGGCACTATAGTGCCAGGAAAACGAGTATGTTTTCCTGGCACTATAGTGGTCCTTTAACACCTATCCCTGCCTCTATTGCAAGAAGCACCAGAGAGTGTTTGTAATTATCATAAGAGTTTTCCTGAGCTAAGCCCTATAGTGCAGGGCTTAGCTCATTGGCTGAGAATGTGATCTAATGGTTACGGTGCTTGGAATGTTCCTATAACCTTTACATCTTTAATCCTCCCAGAGATGTTACAGTTAATACTGTTACTCTCTTTGCTAATGCCATTAAGCCATCAATGAGCCAGAGAAATTCTTATAACATTCACACATTAGGGATTCATTCACTAAGCTGAGAATTGTGGAGAATTGACTAGTAATTCGAAATTTTAGGCCAAAATAACTAACCTAACCCAATAGCGGCATTGTGAATTCATCAACTAAAATAAAGTTCAAATTTTGGCCAAAAATATAGTAACGTGTTAAATATTCTCAAATCTTATTGTAAAGTGCTGTGGAATAAGCTGGCGCTATATAAATACCAATAATAATAATTCACAGTTTAGTGAATAAAGCACACAGTATTTTATTACACCTCTTTTGTACACAGTGCGGTTGTACTAAGATTTACAAGCCTAACTCAGACAGAATATTGCACATCTGATTCCCCCGGAGTTTGATGCTGCAGCAAACTGCTTGGCGCCCAAATATACCTGAAGTTGCCCAATGTGTAATCGCAGTTGTTCACGTCATGGGTTCCTGTGTCACAGATGAGAGGACCTCGGCCAATGGCGAAAAGGGAGATGATGGTGCAGTATGCTGCCCCGAGAATAACTAGAAGACTCAATATGGCGGAGGTTAGCATCTGGTAAAAGAGAGGATAACTTAACACCAACTTGATGATTTTTTACCTCTAGTAAACTGTTAAAACTAAACGTGCACATGGGCTGAACATGGCCAATTCACTTTTCACCATTCCGCACATCTGTCATTATTCAGTGATGAGCGGCGGTGAGGAATTAAAAAAAACTTTAACAGTATTGCAGAATCGTTTTTATCACCCAATCAGCTATTTTGGTCTGAATTGGATTTTTATTTAATTTTTTCACAAATGGCAGCCCTGTATCAGGTTTTTACATTTTTTGGTTCTACATAATTAGCTCACTGTTTATTTAAAGGGACACTGTCATCATTTTTTTGTATGATATTTTCTTTGTTCTTGCTTATAAAAAAAAAAAAGAAATCACTTGCTCATGCTCCAAATTCCCCCTTTCTTCAGTGGTTGTTCGTTATCTGATCCTATATTCACAATTTTTCAAAAATCTGTCGATTTTCAAAATTGACTGACAGAAAATGCTGCAGTGAGAAAGAGCACATGATCCTGAAAAGAAATGGACTGTTGCAAAATAGTGAGCACGACAAAGCGTTTATAGAGATGGCTGGCAGGGAGCCATAAGAACCAGGACTGACCCACTATGCCTGGCAAATGTTGGTGTGTGAATAGTGTGTTTTAAGAAAACACCCTAGAATATTAATTTTGATACTTTAACCATCTTAACGTGGGTTTGGATGGCTAAAGAAAGAATCCAAAAACCTTAAAGGACCACTATAGTGCCAGGAAAACATACTCGTTTTCCTGGCACTATAGTGCCCTGAGCGTGCCCCCACCCTCAGGGACCCCCTCCCGCCCGGCTCTGGAAAGGGGTAAAAACTTACCTTTTTCCAGCGCTGGGCGGGGAGCTCTCCTCCTCCGATCCTCCTCCTCTTCTCCCCGTCGGCTGAATGTGCACGCGCGGCAAGAGCTGCGCGTGCATTCAGCCGGTCACATAGGAAAGCATTCATAATGCTTTCCTATGGACGCTGGCGTGCTCTCACTGTGAAAATCACAGTGAGAAGCAGGCAAGCGCCTCTAGCGGCTGTCAATGAGACAGCCGCTAGAGGAATAGGGGAAGGCTTAACCCATTCATAAACATAGCAGTTTCTCTGAAACTGCTATGTTTATGAAAAAATGGGTTAACCCTAGAAGGACCAGGCACCCAGACCACTTCATTAAGCTGAAGTGGTCTGGGTGCCTAGAGTGGTCCTTTAAGCACTTTAGTTTGCTGAAGTGGTTTATGGGTGAATAGTGTGCCCTCTGTTTTCATTTTACAAAATTAGGTGGGGGATTGCTCAGAACACCTGCTTTGCAAAGACTTCTCATTGAACTGCGTTGGGAAGTCTGTGATTGGACAGTCACAGAATGTCATGGTTGGGGAAGAAGGGGAGGGCTTGCAAAGGCGTCGGACAAGAGAGCTGCAGCTTTTGCAAGTTGTTTTTGTATATCTGCTTGATAGTGGTTATTTTTTTCTGGGCAGTGGACTGTTATTTTAAGAGCTGGATAATATTTTTAGGTCTTGTTTACTGGGTGAAGCTTTATTTTATTTAGAAAAATAATAGGATGTTCTTCAGACGCACTTTTGCATTACAGAGGCCGGAAGTGTCCACTTAATGAATGCCGGCCTCTATTCTACAAATGTGTGTATGGCAAGGTACTCTTCAAGCAAATAATACAGCTCTCCCCATTTGTGATTAATATCCATATCCTGTTATGATATTTTAGCTTTGCGTTATATTCCTGTTAGATAATCAGTGCCTCCTGTCAGTGCTAATCATTAACCTAGAGATAAAACAAAAAGACCTGCCCCATGTATAGCTGGTAGACAAACTGAGAATGTTCTGTACTCCCAGACTCCCCCAATATCTCTAAAGGCTTTGTGCGCTCTGTTAATATATTAATAAAGGGGTTTATTCACTAAATCAGAAATCACGTGAACTTTTCAAAATAATATAGCTGTTTAGATTTTTTTCCAGTTTAGCTATTCAGCCTAACATTTTCGTTTACTCCAGTTAGTTTGCCGCAATTCATATTTTTGTGTATAAATCCTATAGATCCATAGCTCATCAGATTAACACATTTGTTCCATTTACCATTCAGTGTCACAGCCTAGCAGTATTCTTTGTAATAATAATAATAATTTCCTTCCTATCGTTCCTCGTACTCACAACTGAAAATGCCAAATCCAAACCAGCTGCAGAGCACACATCAGGTAGAACTCTTCTCATAGATGAATTTGGAGTCTCGTGGTCCACCTCTTCATTACAGAAGGAAGCAGGGAGCCACACGTGCATATATATATATATATATATATATATATATATATATAAATATATTAACATAACGGTACTCGTTATATATATGCACATTTGGGGTATAGGGTAGAGAACCCATATAGCTGCACTGGCTGTACTCACCTGATGGTGGCTCTGCTAACTCTTAACTGATATGGATGGAGAGATGGATGGTGTGATATCTTTGGGTTAGATTTTCTTTTATCTTAGGGCAGTGATATACAATATGACAAGCATTCTGTCCAGTGTTGGTGGCAGTTCTAGTCCAGCAGCAGTTACAGCTTTAATTCAGATGCTGACATTATTTAAAGTGGCTCTGTTATTCACACCACCCCTCCCTTAAAAAATGAGTATTTCATAACTACAAAAATCTTTAATTAATGCTCATAAAGACTGTGTTGAATTCTCACTGAAATTCCAACCCATTTAAAAGATATCATAAAAAAGATATGATATATATATATATATATATATATATATATATATATATATATATATATATGTCATGATTCCCTTTTATTCCAGAAGTTTGGTCCTTAAGGGGTTAAACTCCTCTCCCTATAGTGGTATGGAGGCAGAGATCGAGGATAGACAGAATATCATTCTTTCAGATCCTCTACCATGATATTATTTATTATCGGCACAGGGCTGAATTAAGATGGAGCCTGGTGCCTGGGAGTGTAACATATATTATGCCCTGGTTCTGTTCTGAGATTATGGACTCCCTTTGTCTCACTGTGTCAGTAACTGGGCATCACAGAGATAATGCACAGAAGACAGACACCACGTGAAGTACGAGGATTTAAAAGTACGATCTGCCCAGAAAAATAAACAAGCCATCAAACAGAGCTCACAGAAGACATACACGATGTACATACAGAGACAGAGACAGAAAATGGTATACATACCCCACACCTGGAATTACAGCTTCCTTTCCTCCTTGCGGCCAATGACATGGCCACACCTGGCAGAACCTGCACCAATCACAAAGAAGATCCATTACTGCTAATTCTCCTGTTAAAAATATACCTTAATAATACTAACCTTATTCTTCAGACTCCTACGATACAACTTCATTACAAGGAAAAAAAGTTATACCAAAGTACATCTTTTTAGCGTCTGTTATTTTAAAATGCAATTTTTCATATAAGATCAAGGTCAGGGTGTGGTGTTGCACAATTGACAGCCAGCTTGCTGGCTACTTATGATGAAAGTTGGAGTTCCAAAAGGGCATACACTATCGGATAAACTTGATTTTTCTTTCTTTTTTTTTTTCATGAAGCTGAATTAAAGTAGCGTACACTCATACAATATGTTAAGTTTTAGGCAATTGCTAGCTATTCATTGTCTCTATTTATTTTTATAATCGGCATCTATTTAACGCCAACTTATTCCACAGCGCTTTACAAGATTATATAGGAGGAAATTAAACAATAAATGAGACAATTACTAAATGTTACCGGAACAATAGGTCAATGAGGACTTCGCTCAAAAAAAAGCTTACAATCTAGAGGAGGTGGGGTGTAAAACCACAATTGGAAGAGCAGCATGGGGAATAGCAACCAGACAACAAAGTGGGAAAATAGCAGAAATTGAAGGGAGCGTGAAAGATAGGCTTTGTTAAATAAAAGTTACTCTGGGAGGCCATTGACTACTCTGAAGGACTGCTAAATGATTGAAAACTAGGGGAGAGTCTGATGGAAGTAGGCAGGCTGTTCTAAAGGAAAGAAGCAGCCCGCGGGAAATCTGGCTAGCCACATTTAGCACTAAGGGTACGAGCAGCACAGGAGAAGGTCGCCAGCAAAGATGAGCAACCGAGAAGGGACATTCCAACGAATTAGTGAAGAAATGTAGTGTGGGGGAGATTGGGGGTAGAGTTCTTTAGAGATCTATAAGTAAAAGTTAGTATATGAATTGAATCCTACAGGAAGACAATGTAAGAGAGGTAAGGTGTCAGAGGGGCGATGGAACAGTAAGATCAGCCTGGCAGCAGCATGCATTATGTTCTGTATCGAGAAAGTACGGTTTCTGAGGAGACCAATAAGGAGAGAAGTACAGTAATCAACATAACGTATGTCCTATTCAGACACTAAGGGCTCCCTGTGCCTTACTGTGTCGCAAAACTGTGCATCACAGATATAATGCACAGAGGACAGACTCCCTGTGCCTCGCTTGCTGTGTCAAGCTTTGTACTAGAATCTTGCGAATGTGGCAATGTTTTTAAGGTGGAATTGGCACGATTCATGCAACATACTGAATGCAAAGCATAAAAGTGAGGCCAGAATCAAAGATAACAAAAGCATGCAAAGACGGGCTGCATCAACTTGTAGGGATTAGTAGTATGAGGAGGGAAGATTCAGTTTTAGAGAGATTGAGTTTTAGAAAGTAGGAGGACTTCCAATCAATGATGGAAGAGAGGCAAACAGTGACACGTTCTAGGACAGCAGAGATATATCTGGGTGTCATTAGCGTACAGGTGGTAGTGGAATTCAGAGGAATTCATTTGTTTGCCAAGAGAGTCAGTATAAAGAGAAAACTAAGAGGAACGAGAACAGAGCCTTGGGAGACTCTAACCAAGGCAGGGTGAGGGAAAGAGGTGCTATTAGAAAAGGGGACACTGAATCAGTTGTGTATTTTAGTTTTGAGTTTCCCTAGGCATTATTAAACTTGTGAAACAACCTAATGTAAACTTGCCTCACCCTTTCCTCTCAAGGTTGTCCTTCTTCCTGTTGAAGACTAACACACACTTTGACTGGCAGACACATACCCTCACTGATACACTGGCACTGACATACACTCAATGACAGGCACACTGTAATTGGCACACACATTGTTTAGCCAACACACATTTTCACTGACAGACACACTTAATTGACAGGCTCACACTCTCCCATACACATACACTGGCATACACTCAATGACACACACACACATTCACTGACTAGTGATGTCCCGAACGGTTCGCCACGGATGGCGAACATATGCGCTGTTCGGTCCGCCCCCTATTCGTCATCATTGAGTAAACTTTGACCCTGTACCTCACAATCAGCAGACACATTCCAGCCAATCAGCAGCAGACCCTCCCTCCCAGACCCTCCCACCTCCTCCCACCTCCTGGACAGCTCACTAAGAATGCAGCTTCACAATGAATGTAAAATGGATGCTGGGAGGGAGGGTCTGCTGCTGATTGGCTGGAATGTGTCTGCTGACTGTGAGGTACAGGGTCAAAGTTTACTCAATGATGACATAGGGGGTGGACCGAACAGCGCATATGTTCGCCGTCCGTGGCGAACCGTTCGGGACATCACTATCACTGAAAGACACACACATACTCACAGACATACATTCACTGACAGATACACTGAGATTGACACATTCACACATACATGTTTTCATACACTCACAAATTATTATTATGCTTTATTTTGATTAAATTCCACCCAGCCCCCCTACCTTTGGGCATTGGCAGAGAGAGGACGAGAATAACAACATGTCAGTGACACAGAGACCAAGGGATTGAAGAGTTTGCAGAAGGAGAGTTTGATCAACAGTGTCAAAGGCAGCAGAAGAATTAGCATGGAGTACTGGCCTTTGGATTTAGCGGTGATTAGATCATTTAGATAATTTAATCTGGGCAGTATCAGTAGAAGGGGGGGGGATGTAAGCAAGATTGAAGAGGGAGAAAGAGAGAGTTGGAATTGAGAATCATGTCAGACTGGTAAAGACAAGTCTTTCTAGAATGATTTAACCTCATTTGCAATGTTTGGCTGTGCCTGGGCTGAAATGGACTCTGATGTCGTTTGCGAAACTTATAAAGAAAACAAAGCACCACGCCTTATAGTGATTATATAATAAATCGTTATTAGTGATGAAATTGAATAATCCAAGTGAGTTACCAACAATTAACAGTTTAGTGAATAACTCGGCAGGAGTTGATTCACTGAGCTGTTTAAAAAAAACACATTTGCTTATTTTAAAGAATAAAAAAACAAAACGCTCTTTTATATATTGCTGCAGGGATATTGAAACTGGTGTAAATATGCATAATTACATTTTTAAATTTTCACATTTTTATTCATCTTTGTTTAGAACAACAGCAGAGTGCTAAAAGGTTTTAGACATTGTACAGTGTCCCTTACATTTCCAGATTTCAGACAGGATTCGAAAATATTAGCATAGCAGCATTAGTACCATTTTTGTCAAATGTATAAGATATGGCAAAAAAAGTAAATTTTTGGGAACACAGTTTCCTAAAACTGCAGCAATAATTTCGAAATTATGTCCATGTACCGCAAGTAGTTTTCCACACATAAAATCAGGCAACTGTGAATGCATTATGTAGGACAGGCTGTTATTGTAGACTGCACATAAGCACTAGAGTGGGCCCTGAGTCCACTCTCCCTCCTCACTCCCTCCCTGGAGCTTGGAGGTTCCCAGGGGAAAGGTGGTGGTACTGCGCTTTTACAGATGCTCTTCCTGGTACAAAGGGATGGAATGTTGTCCCAGTAGAGAAATGTGTTTCTTTGTTAGGAATACAGTATAACATTTTAGAAGAAATTATAAATTTAAATATGGTAAATTGTTTACTTAAATAAACTGAGAAATCAGCATTATGTATCTAAAACTATTAAAGGGAAATGACTAGCAATTTATGATAAAATGTGTAAGTATAGCACAGCATTTCACAAGCTAAGTGGGAACTCTCTAAATCTCATATTAAAGATATTTACTATTTAACATACATACAATAAAAGTCAAATTTTGCTACTGCGGAACTTCAGGCAGCCTGCTATTTCTTTGTATGCGAAACTACTTAAAGGACCACTATAGTGCCAGGAAAACATACTTGTTTTCCTGGCACTATAGTGCCCTGAGGGTGCCCCCATCCTCAAGGACCCCCTCCCGCCCGGCTCTGGAAAGGGGATAGGGGTTTAAACTTACCTTTTTCCAGCGCTGGCGGAGAGCTCTCCTCCTTCTCTCCTCCTCCGTTCCGCCCCGTCGGCTGAATGCGCACGCGCGGCAAGAGCTGCGCGCGCATTCAGCCGGTCGCATAGGAAAGCATTTACAATGCTTTCCTATGGACGCTGGTGTGCTCTCACTGTGAAAATCACAGTGAGAAGCACGCAAGCGCCTCTAGTGGCTGTCAATGAGACAGCCACTAGAGGTTTTGGGGGAAGGCTTAACCCATTAATAAACATAGCAGTTTCTGTGAAACTGCTATGTTTATTAAAAAATGGGTTAACCCTAGCTGGACCTGGCACCCAGACCACCTCATTAAGCTGAAGTGGTCTGGGTGCCTAGAGTGGTCCTTTAAAGCACGCAAAAAAACCCCCAAAAAACATAACAACTACAGAACATTGTAGCGGTTATTGTGCCAGAAGTGCTCTGCTGCCTTCCAAAGGTAAGTAGTCAAACCACTTGTGAATAGTTTGACAACTTATCTGGCAGTTCAGGGCTTAGCTTATTGGCTGAGAATGTTTTCAGCCAAAGAGCTGGTCCTGCACTGTAGGGCTTAGCTTGGTGGAGCTAAAGATAGCCACTTGCTGGAGATTTCCGACTACAACGGAGCATGGTTCGGTGGATCCCAGGTAACTTGTAAAACCATTTGCAAATGATTGGACTAATTCCTCTAGTAGGATGTCAGAGCAATCCTCACACCATAACCACTGTAGTGAGATGAGATCAATATTAGCCCACCACTTTATACTTGTATTCCAGTTGAAAAAAATAATGGGGGAAGCACTCACAGACCCTTTGTACCAGAAGTTCTACACTGTACTGTAAAGGTTGTTGTCCTTAGAGAGCCCCTTTAAGTGTAATACTGAGCCATACGTTTGTTTGGGAGAGAGTAATTGTAATTGAGACATTTATTTTACTTAAATTAACTAGTGAGAATTTTTAGTTACTTCATTATATTTATATCTAATGAGCTAAGCAAACTATCCTTGTCCACAATAATGCTTAAAGATAAAGTTTATCATACTGTGACTACTTTTGCTCTCCTTGTAGCTGTGTTAGCAGTTTTGATCTCCCCAGCCTTCCTCATACACCTTATCTTTAGTCATTTTATAGAGGCCAAAATGTTAAATGGCTGTAAAATCACATTAATTAGGTGATTGTTTTTGCAAGAATGCAATATTGTATTGATCACTAGTTGTCATAAATCAGAAATTATGAGAGACTAAGGCTTTAGTGTTACCTTATTTTAATATTGCCTGAGGGTAATAAATCTTTGAAAAGATGGACTATACAAACTACAGAGTTTCTGCTGGTGATTTGACATCTACCACAGAGAGTCTGGTAAAAATGAGTGTGACAAAATGTTCTTTTCCTTGTACGTTTGCTACAAACTCCTGGAGGAGTGTGGGAGCTGGCCTCCTGCCCACTGACTATGGTCCAGGTCTGAGACACCGTTCGGGAGTTACCCTACCCAGCTGCCATTAGCAGCTTTACTTGGGTGTCCCTGGTTCGCCATTTTCCCTTCATTCGAATGGAACTGAACACTAGCTCCCTGGCGGCCGTTCGCATGAACCAAACCCACGAATGGTCCTCAGCGGTACGTAGCTTCGTCCACTATGGAACTAATTGCAGCACTAGGACTTTGTGGGTCCCCGGTTACCTCAGCGGTACTGAGCCGCGAATGTTATAGAACTGTATTCGGCATGAGGTGACCGTGCGGTTCCTGGTCTGGGGTTTTGAACTATATTGCTACCCATCAGGATATTGCTTTTTGGAGGAAAGGTGCCTGAGACTAAGGGGAACAAACACTACCTGAGAGCCAGGTGGAGCATTCTGTATTGCGGCCGCAGGAGCTCCGGAAAGTTGACCAGCAAAAGCACCATCCACCCCTGAACTATTTTAGGCCGAGGACCACGTGTGCGGCCGGTCAGAACTTTAACATGGTGGCGTTTCCCCTACACTGCATGGATCTGAGCGCTGTTTGGAGAACTTGGGCACTCAGATCAGGGGTATTTGGGGATGTGTGTTATGTGGGGTTATTGTATATTTTGTTGATGTTTTGGGGTATTTATATGTTTTATGTTTTTGTGTTTGCCTCTCTGTTCCTGGGAGATAATTAGCTTACTGGTCTTTAACTCAATTAGGCTTTTTGGGAGGGGCTTGCATTCTACTGTGTGGTGTGGAGACCCCCTGCTGGGGGTTGTGTGTATAAGCAGGCAACTTGGCCATAATAAAGCAGTTCCTTTTCACCCTTCACTCAGTCTGGGCGAGCGTTTGTGTGGATCAGCTATACTCTCTGCAGGAGAGCTTAATCACTTGGAGCTGTACCCAGGACCCTGTTCCAGGGCGGGAAGCAACATTGAGACCCCAGCCAAGCTTCGGTGGCCAGGCGCTGAAGCACTCTTGTGTCCCAGAGGAGAGCTAGGAAGCGAGCTTGACGGAGGTACCTAATCGGGGTGCCAGGTGGTCCGTCACAATAAGACTTTATTCTTTCTCAAAAATGTTCTTAATTTATTTATAGTCTCCCAATATCCCTTTAGGGTTTATGTACTAAACACTTCTGTACATTTATAGGGAATTCAAAAATCCAAACTGCACAGTCTTGGAGAACGCTCCCTGTGATAACCCTGATAATGCTGTCCTGGTGAATATGGTAATGGTTGTATCATTTGACTGACCATAAAGATTGAACAAAAATTCAAACTGCAAAATTTAAATTTCAGTAGCTGATTTGGAAAAAAATCTCTTACACAGTCTAGCTATTTATTTATAAAACAAATGTAAAAAAAGGTTAATTTGGATTTGAAGTCCATACAATTAACAGACATAGTTATTGAATAAAGTTGGAAATTCTAATTTAATTAAAAGCAAGTTTTACGTTTAAGAGGAAAATAACTGAACTTGAAAAAAAAAATCACCCAGTTCGCTATGTTTCCAGCTTCGGATACTGATTTTAAAATTTAAATTCATTTTTAATTCCCAACAATTCTCAGTTTACTGAATAACTCTGACCGTTATTCACTAACATGAGAATTGTTAAGATTGAAAGAATTAGTATGGAGTAGTGGCCTTTGATTTAACTGTGATTAGATCATCATTTCATCAGTGCAATCTCAGTTCAATGCAGAGGCTGAAGGAGAGAGTGAATTTCAAGCGAATTGTAAATTTAAGGCCAAAATAGTCAAACTGAAAAGTCAGCTGTGCCTCCAGTTCTGCTACTTTGGTCTTAAATATGAAATTCCTTTTAAATTCAATTTGAATTCCCGATAAATCTCACTTTAGTCAATAGCCTTGTAAAAGTATTGCAAATAAATGTGATTTATTTAGGCGAGTCTGCTACATTCATAATAATACCTTTACATGATGAGCCAGATTAATAACGTGTATTTTTTTTACATGATAACTAATATAGACATTGTCCTTTACTTTTTTATTTTACTTTTAGTTTCAATTGAAATATCAGCATATTTGACACATGAAAAGAAAAATTAAAAAAATACAAAATGCTGATTTCTTTTTTCCTATCGTAGATTTACTGGCAAAAATGTCAGATTTTTTTATTGCTTTATATTTATTATATGTTTATGTGTTCGATAAGAAGGTTCTTGGCAGGTCATCGTGTTTAATAATTAACCATCATGGATTTCTCTATCAAATGGTAGGACATGTGTGGATGTTCCTTTTAAAAACATTCAGTGCTTTTAATCCATTCATGTTGAACTGAATGCCACAGTCAAAGTCGATATAATTTGCACTAAGTATCAGTCATTAATAAAACATTAATGGAATTCAAGGCAAATATCCCATATAAATCCTACTCTGCTAATTACATTTTGTAAAATTAACAAAAAAATAAATAAATACAATTAAATATATGCCCATTAATTAATGTTTTAAATTTTATAATGCAGGGATGGTGATGTCGTTCATGCCAAGGGAGGGGGACCCTGAGGGTGAGGGTCCCCCAAGGATGACATAGTGTCAGGAAAACTGGTTTGTTTTCCTGACACTATAGTGATCCTTTAAGGTAGTTCAGGAGTTAAGGGTTAGGTTTTTATGTGTTAGGACAGCATAGAGGTTAAGGGTTAGTGTAAGGGTAGTGTTGAGGTTAAAGGTTTGAAATAGTGTATTAAGGTAGTGCAGGAGTTAAGGGTTAGGAATTGCATAATATAGTAGTGTATAAGTTAGGAGTTAGGAGTAGTGAATCAGGGTAGTGTAGAGGTTAAAGGTTAGTGTAATGGTTATGGGTAGTGTATGTGTTAGGTATAGGATAAGTGTTATTGGTAGTGTAAGGGTTAAGGAGAGAAGTTTAATGTTAGGCCAGCACTGGAACATACATGTCTTGATGCTGCCCGATATAAGTAGAATTTAGTGGAAGGCAGATTCTAAGGAGAATAATAATGCTAGCTCTCTCTTGTCCTGGGAAATACAGGAACATATATGATAAGCACCCATACACACACACTGCCCCACACACACACACACTGCTTCCCATACACACATTGCCCCACACATACATACAGTGCCCCCCATACACACATTGCCCCATACTCACATTGCCCCACACATACATACAGTGGCCCCCCATACACACACTGCCCCACACACACATACAGTGCCCCCCCATACACACACTGCCCCACACACACATACACTGCCCCCCATACACACTGCCTCAAACACACATACACTGCAACTCTCACACACAGTGCCCCCTCACATTTACACTGCCCCACACATACACTGCCCCCTAACACACACACTGCAACCCTGACATACACTGCCACCCTCACGCACACACTTCACCGCTCACACACACACTACACCTTTAATACACACTTCACCCCTAACACATACCACTGCTCCTATGCCCTATATCCCAGCAGACCCCAGGTAAGTTGTCAAACTGTTCTTAAACGGTTTGACTACTTACTCTGGGATGGGATCCTGGCACTACTGGCACACTGAGTTACACTGGTTATTGTGTCTGGATTATTTCTTTAAATAATCTACAAGTGCCCCTCCCGAGATCAGGCTCTGGATCCGCCACTGCTAACACCAACAATAACACACTAACCTACTAAGCCATAAACTGTGTATTAGAGCTAAATAATGCCATCTAGGTCTCTTCAGTCTTCATGATTGTGATTTAGTGATTGTGATTTTATATAATGTTTCCATTAAGCCATAATAAATTGTTCTCCATTATGTATGTATATATTTGTAATCTAACACCTACAATGCAAATGAACAGTCACATAAAAACTAGATATTTTGTCTTAACCATCATGTATCTTCTCACCTGCTACTAGAATACAGCACAGTTTTGTACGCAATACAATTAAATACCTGACAACACAATATGGAAAAACACATTCTCTAGATTCAAATCTAAATCCTGCTGTCCATTTTTACATGTATGTACATGGTTAAATTGCCTTATAAAAACTCCCTATGATCTAGGAAGCAAAGTAAGAATTGCTGCAGCCGTGAAAAATTTAAACAATACCGTCCATGTCTTGCAATCCTCAGTGTGTGTTCATTTATGTGCTAGTTGTGTCAGGTTGTGCATTTCAGGGTCTCGTAGAAGCTGTACAAATACAGATTGAAAGAGTTGCACAGACACAGGCACAGTCAGAACAGAGGATATGGCAAAAAAATATGGACATGGGGAATATGCATGAAAAGGGGGAACAAACGTGCAAAGTAGAATAAGATGAATTCAATTAATGAATATGAAAAAAGTGCAAGATTGCGTCTCATGTTATACTAGGTCCCAAAATGTCAGTTATTGATCAGTACTTACTAACAAACCGCCTCCAACCATTCCGGGGAGCCACCACTCATAGCATGAGATGGGGCTATACAGAAGTCTCTGGTCCTCCACATAGTCGGCAATTAATGGCGTCAAGTTGAACGCTATGGCCAACATAGACAGTATCAATAGGAAGAATCCATTACAAGACGTCCATCCTTCAATGCACGTCATGCTGAGAGAACCTTGCTTTGCGGTGTCTGCTAAAGACTGATTCCATCTACCTCCTGTCCGTGCATGATAAACAATTAAGTTAACGTTTAGCAAGGAAAAGGAAGTGTCTGGAATATTAGTTGGGATCACACAGGTCCAGAGTCCACGAGCTGCAGAAAACTAACCTTAATGCACTTGACTGGGATTTTCTCCACCGATCACAAGTTTTATTAAGCAATACATTTCTGGAACAAGAATGTACATAGGTAATAGTTTTAAAGTATTCTATAGAAACAGACAGGATTCCAATAAGTAGCCTATGATATATTTACCTCAATAATTCCGGGACAGTTGAATCTGTGAAGTTCTGGCCCTATAAATAATTAGCAATATAGCGCTTAATAGCCTACTTACCTGATGCCACACTAGTGGGCAGCTGGCTAACAAGATTAAAAATAAAGTGTAAAATACTAGGCGTTTAATAGTATAAAAGATATATCGTGATCAGCAGTTTAAAAATACTCTATATGTACTACCCAGCAAACCCATGCAAACAACATAACTCATTGTGGAGGTGACAATCCACCTTTGAACACACACGTGATGAGTGAGCACTAATGAATAAAGAAACACTTACTAGTTCGAATAATGGGGTAATCAAAACACACATAAAGGAAAAAATAATAATAACAAATAGTGTTATACTGTGGTAATCCAGTAAGTGAAGCTATAGTAGCAAGTAAAAAGAGCCTTTTTAAGCGAACAGTCTCCAAATGTGTAGGACTTTATGCCCTTCACAAACAAGGAACAGGATACAAAAATACAACGTGGACACTGAATGTTCCTAGAGACACAGTTGGAAGCATAGTTCGCAAGTTCAAAATTGAAGGAACAGTGGTTACACAACCTTAACGGGACAGAAAAAGAAGGCTATCAATGGCTGCAACCAGATTGCAGAGAAGGCAGGTTGTGAAAAACCCTTGAGTGACTGCAAAAGACCTGCAGAAAGACTTGGTGGCAACAGGCACTGAGGTTTCACTGAGCAAAGTAAGGCGCGTACTAAACACAGAAGGTTTCCATGCCACACCACTCATGATGCAAAAGCACATGAAAAGTTGGATCCAATGCTCAAAATGATATAAATAGGCCACAGAAGTTTGTTGATTCTGTTCTGTTGAGCGATGAAACAAAACTAGAACTTTTCAGCCCAATGGATCAGCAGTATGTCTGGAGGAAGAAGAATGTAGAACACTCTGCCTACAGTTAAGCATGGTGCTGGTTGGGTGATGCTATGGGGCATCCTCTGGGACTTGAAATCTGCAGCGTGTGGAAGGCAAGATGGATTCAGATAATACAGCAGCCTATATCCCCCCACCCTAGATAATTCAGCAACCTATATCCCCCCACCCCAGATAATACAGCACCCTATATCCCCACCACCCCAGATAATACAGCAACAAATACCCCCACCACTACAGATAATACAGCAACCTATATCCCCCACCCCAGATAATACAGCAACCTATATCCCCCCACCCCAGATAATACAGCAACCTATATCCCCCCACTCCAGATAATACAGCAACAAATACCCCCACCACCACAGATAATACAGCAACCTATATCCCCTACTCCAGATAATACAGCAACCTATATCCCCCACCCCAGATAATACAGCAACCTATATCCCCCCACCCCAGATAATACAGCACCCCATATCCCCCACCACCCCAGATAATACAGCAACCTATAGCCCCTCACCCAGATAATACAGCAACCTATATCCCCCACCCCAGATAATACAGCAACCTATATCCCCCACTCCAGATAATACAGCACCCCATATCCCCCCCCACCCCAGATAATACAGCAACCTATAGCCCCTCACCCAGATAATACAGCAACCTATATTCCCCCACCCCAGATAATACAGCAACCTATATCCCCCACTCCAGATAACACAGCAACAAATACCCCCACCACCACAGATGATACAGCATCCTATATCCCCCCACCCCAGATAATACAGCGACCTATATCCCCCACCCCAGATAGTACAGCAACCTATATCCCCCCACTCCAGATAATACAGCACCCCATATCCCCCACCACCCCAGATAATACAGTACCCTATATCCCCCACCACCCCAGATAATACAGCAACCATATCCCCCACCACCCCAGATAATACAGCACCCTATATCCCCCACCACCCCAGATAATACAGCAACAAATACCCCCACCACTACAGATAATACAGCAACCTATATCCCCTACCCCAGATAATACAGCAACCTATATCCCCCCACCACAGATAATACAGCAACCAATATCCCCCCACCCCAGATAATACTGCACCCCATATCCCCCACCACCCCAGATAATACAGCACCCTATATCCCCACCACCCCAGATGATACAGCACCCTATATCCCCAACACCTACAGATAATACAGCAACCTATATCCCCCCACTCCAGATAATACAGCACCCAATATCCCCCACCACCCCAGATAATACAGCACCCTATATCCCCACCACCCCAGATAATACAGCAACCTATATCCCTCACCCCAGATAATACAGCAACCTATTTCCCCCAACCCCAGATATTACAGCAACCTATATCCCCCCACTCCAGATAATACAGCAACAAATACCCCCACCACCACAGATAATACAGCAACCTATATCCCCCCACCCCAGATAATACAGCAACCTATATCCCCTAACCAAGATAATACAGCACCCCATATCCCCCACCACCCCAGATAATACAGCACCCTATATCCCCCACCACCCCAGATAATACAGCAACAAATACCCCCACCACTACAGATAATACAGCAACCTATATCCCCTACCCCAGATAATACAGCAACCTATATCCCCCCACCCCAGATAATACAGCACCCTATATCCCCTACCCAAAAAAATACAGCAACAAATACCCCCACCACCACAGATAATACAGCAACCTATATCCCCCACTACCCCAGATAATACAGAAACCTAGATCCCCCCACCAAAGATAATACAGCAGCCTATATCCCCACCACCCCATATAATACAGCAACCTATATCCCCACCACCCCAGATAAAACAGCACTCGATATCCCCCTACCCGGGATAATACAGCAACCTATATCCCCCCACTCGATAATACAGCACCCTATATCCCCAACACCGCAGTTAATACAGCAACCTATATCCCCACCACCACAGATAATACAGCAACCTATATCCCCCCACCCCCCAGATAATACAGCAACCTATATCTCCACCACCCCAGATAATACAGTATATGCACCCTTACGGTGTGTCATTTTACTGGAGATCATGAATTGTCACTGCTTTGGCAGGGATTAACACTCTCCGTCCTTCCACAGTGTTTTCCTCTCTCCTTCTTTCCCCTTCAAAATCCTGCTCCCCAAATAAACAGGGTGGAGCTACTCTGCACAATTACACCTCTTTTTGGTTATTTCATTCTGCCAGTGGTCTTTGCTTGTCCCCAGTGTGCCCCCATACCTCCAACTTGTTTACAGGACCAATCTGACCAGCACTATTTTACTTTTTGTGCACTTTCACCTGACTTTCTCTAGAGCGATAACGGTTGTCACGGGCCCGGCGGCCCTGCGGGGCCCGGGCCCACATGGAGCGGCGAAACTGCCGCAGGTGCATCTGCACCGGGGCCGATCAGGTGGCCCAGGCATTTAGGGCCACCCGATGGGCCCTATATTTTCAGGGGCCCGGTCAGCGCTGCGGGCGTGTAATTGCGCGACCGGGCCCCTTTAAAAAAAAATTTGCAGCTACACCGCAAGTGCTGCTGGGAGGAAGTGACCGGCCGTCACTTCCTCCCAGCAGCACTTGCGGTGTAGCCGCAATTTTTTTTTTTTTAAAGGGGCCCGGTCGCGCAATTACACGCAAGCTTACTGCGCGTGGGAAGAGAGCGGAGGGAGAGCAGAAGAGAGAGGAGAGGCATCCGCTCGCTCCCATCATCCCCAGCCACCCTCCTGCAACTTAAAGGTAAGAGGAGGGCTGATAAATGAGGTGTGTGTGTGTGTATATGTATGTATGTATGTCTGTGTGTGTATGTATGTCTGTGTTTGCAAGTATGTATGTCTGTGTGTGTGTGTGTATGTCAGTATGTATGTCTGTGTGTGTATGTATGTCTGTGTGTGTGTGTATGTCAGTATGTATGTTTGTGTGTGTATGTCAGTATGGATGTGTGTGTGTGTCAGTATGTGTGTATGTCAGTATGTATGTCTGTGTGTGTGTATGTCAGTATGTATGTATGTATGTCAGTATGTGTATGTCAATATGTTTGTATGTGTGTATGTATGTCAGTATGTATATATGTCTCTGTGTGTATGTCAGTATGTATGTCTGTGTATGTGTGTATGTATGTCAGTATGCATGTATGTCAGTGTGTGCATGTCAGTATGTCTGTATGTATGTGTCTATCTGTATGTGTGTGTGTATGTCAGTATGTATCTATGTCTGTATGTATGTCTTTGTCAGTATGTATGTCTGTGTATGTGTCTGCAAGTATGTATGTATGTCAGTATGCATGTATGTCTGTGTGTGTGTATGTCAGTATGTCTGTATGTATGTGTCTATCTGTATGTGTGTGTGTTTGTCAGTATGTATATATGTCTGTATGTATGTCTCTGTGTGTGTGTGTGTGTGTGTGTGTGTATGTCAGTATGTATGTGTGTATGTATGAATATATCTGTCAGTATGCATGTATGTCTGTGTGTGTGTGTGTGTGTCAGTATGTCTGTATGTATCTGTGTATGTATATATCTATCTGTGCGTGTGTGTGTGTGTATGTGTATGTCTGTATGTATGTATATCAGTATGTATGTGTATGTATGCCATTATGTATGTATGTGTATGTATGTATGTCTGTATGTCAGCTTGTATGTACGTCTGTTTGTCAGTATGTATGTATGTGTGTGTGTCAGTATGTGAGTATGTATGTACGTCAGTGTGTGTGTCTGTATATCAGTGTGCGTGTGTGTGTGTATCTCTATCTGTGTATGTGTCTATATGTGTGTTTGTCTGTTTCAGTGTTTGTGTCTGTTAGTATGTGTGTATCTTTTTGTGTCTCTGTCCTTTTGTGTCTATGTGTGTGTATTCCTGTGGGCGGGATTTGGAGGCGGGGCTTGGAGGCGGGCACACGGGGACCCAGACCTTGAGCTGTGTTAGGGGCCCCACAATTTCTGTTGGCAGCCCTGCTCCTGTGTAGTGTGTTAAATTCAGAGGGGAGCAGTGTATTAATTTAAAAGAGTAAAAAAACAGCAGCAAAAAATGAAGCTCAGAAATCAAGTGTAAGTCCATTCAAAGCCCCTATTTAAACAAAGAACGGACTGAATGGACTTACACTTTGATAAAAGCTTTGGCTGAAACGCGTCAGTGTGTGGAGAGTGAGATTGCTGAGCTTCATTTTTTGATGCTTTTTTACTCTGGAATAATAAACCTTTTACTGAGATCCTGCTTCCTGGATTTTTTTAAGAAAGGACGAGTAAGCAGTTAGCATTTGACTCCAGCTATCACTACATTAATCCATTCAATGTTCTTAGTCTGAGCCAGCTTCTATTGTAAGTGGCTCAGAAATATGTGAGTTTACACAATTATTTGCTCATTTATTATCTGTACGTTATTACCCTATGTCTGTTTTTCTGATTTTATCTCTACAGGATTTTAACTGAACATACGGGTAACTATTTTAACTATTTTAATATTTTGTTTTGTGTGTGCTCTCACCACTTTTATTGTTTTACTTTTCAAAATAAACCTACGTTTCTATGAAAACTAAACTTTTAGATTTTTTGTGGCCCACATAAACGTAAACCGTGTTTATTTGGCCCGTGCTAGCCTTTGAGTTTGACATGCTTGTTTGTTGTAGAGCCCTCATCATCTTTTCTACTTTGTTTGTCACAGAAAGGGGTTAATTACAATCTGACATGTGATACGTTTTATATTTATAGAGATTCCAAAGCTTTATTTTTTATCAATGCCTTTCACCATCTATATTTATATATATATACATCAGTATTGTACTTTGTTCTCAGTAAGTCTTCAACAGAATAATCTGCCCCAGTGGGATATTGTGTAATAATTGCCAATAGCGATTAATGTCATTATCCATATATGAATTAATCTATACTAACTTGAACGTGTACCAACTTAGTTGAAATCTATGGCTATCTACTCCAAGTTCAGGTCCAAAAACTTTAGAGTGTTTGCAATGATCCTTCATGTTAAGTTCCACATTAAAGAAACACTTCAAGTACCGTAACCACTATAGCATTTTGTAGTAATTATAGTGCCAGGAGTGTCCTGCCACCCTCCCATTGTAAGCAGTCTAGCTGTTTTAGAACAGTTTGGCCTTTTATTTGGGGGTGTCTGACGCGCTTTACGCCTCCACTACTTCAGTCAGAGAGCCGAACGAGCTAAGTCCTGCAACACTGGGCTTAACTGAGACAGAGAGCTGGAATCTTTCTATCTGAAGTAATGGAATTGGAAAGTGTTGCCCGGTCAACAGCACCAGCTAAGTAGCCATTTAATACTTGTCACTGACCTCTACATCTACATATTTGTAAATCATAGGTTCACTTTATCAGCATAAAGCGGGAACGCTCTGGGAAATGATAGACAATGGTCCTATGGTGAAATCTGAGATGATATTAACATGCTACATTTAGTAAATTTCAGATTGTAATGTTCAAAGACAAGGGCTTGTCATTAGTTCTTACAAACACTTGGGCAGGAAACTGCTTGGACAGGAATATAAAGTCATTAATTACAAAAATGTTGAGATGGGATAGCTATTCATGCATTTAACTCTTCATAAGATTGGATTTAGGGATGACTATTGAAAATAGTTCTAAGCTTAATATACTGTTTCAACAGCTAAAATCCGAGTCAATGAAGAACTTATAGATACAGTTAGTATATCTAATAGTATGAAGCAGGGCTGCTCCTGTGACCAATTTTGCAAGTTTTGGTACTGAAACTGTTCCTTGTAGCAGTTAGAAAAAGCAAGACACGCAGGGATGTAGCTCTGCAGGAGTGGATCACAAAATATTTGCTTATATGTGCAACAGTCCTCTGTCTCTCTTCCAAACATAGTGGAGAATGTGGGGAATTAAATATTTTCCAACTGAACTTAGACAAGTTAAACGTCCTCAATTTGTCTTTTGCCAGGTAAGGAGGTCTCACACCTGCAGACACAGTTCTTTTTTTGGTGACCATTTTATATATCTGGGGCTGTTGATCCCCCAGAACCATTCCAGGCGTCATCCCCTTAACTTCCTTTCAATGCTGGTTGTATCTGTTTAAAACAGAGATGAGAGCTTGTTCCCTACCACGTTTTTTTATGATTTTGCCACATCAATTCAGTTAAAACAAACTTATTACCTAGAACACTCTAGCTCTTTCAGACTATTCTCTTCTATTTATCACTAATTGTGTTCCTGATCCACTATGTTTGGAAAGAAGACAGACCATGATGTAAAAAATTATCAATTCATCTACCCTAAACATTTTGGAGCCTCCATCCAAATTTAAGTTGATACCAGCAGCAGTGTGGTTGGAGGATCGAGTGGTTCCCAGCTTTATCTAGATGCAGCCTTTTAGTGGAGCAACGCTGAAGGTCTGGCGTCTTGTCCATTATCAGATGTCGCTTTCCACACTGCATGGCCCAATGTATGTGCTTACATGCAACCCAATAGACCACAACACGTTTTGGTTTCCAGGCAGGGGTCCTGACCTTTATGTGAAATCCCTTAGTTCCGATGTTGAATTTCTTCCTCAGTAATGCTTCAGGAAAGGTGCCTAGCCAACTTGGAGTCATTTCTGTAGTACCACCTAAGGCATTTTACAGGTTGAACTCTAATTGAATTTTGCTGCATGGGCAACTCACAGCCTTTCAGGAGCATGGTTTCCGAGCCAAGTTACTGCCATGAAGGGTATCCACTCTTTACCAAATGCTTATCTTTGGGACAAAATCCAAACTGTCTATGTTTATGTCATACCGAGTAGGGTGCTATGGAGTTGTCCTTCACTGACCAGGACTGGTTTAAATTATGCTATTGTCCTATCAAAGTTCCTTACACTCAAAATTTCAGGAGATTAATTATAAAATGATGGCAAATGGTATATGATACTCCTCAATAGTTTAATATAATCTCTCCTGAAAAAAAATCAGATCAGTGCTGGAGTTGCTGTGGGGTGGTGGATCATTGTTGGATAGATTCTGGGTGTCTGGTTTTACCTCTCTTCTGGGAAATGGTATATGATGTCATGACTTCTGTTACAGGTGAGATATATAGATAGATAGATAGATAGCTAGATAGATAGAAACATAGAGAAGCCAAGCAGATATGCTTCTTAATCGTACTTGTTAATTACCAAATACAAAAATAAATATTAGCCAATCACTTATTGACTAATGCCAAGTCCTGATCCCAGCACTCTAAAGGCAACAATGCCCACCTTTTTATCAGAGTTGGTTGGAATCAGCGAAAGAAATTGAATAGATGGAATAGCAGACTGCTGTCCTGGGGGACAGGACTGAGAGGGACAGAACTGAGATGTACATGGAGGAGTGGAGGACTTGTCTGTCCTAGCTCAGTTCTTATTCATGAATGCACATATTTTGAGAATTCTTTGTTCACTTGGTTTCTCCCGTTCCCCCCCACATTTTCTTTTCTTTTTCTCTCTCCCCAACTGCATTCAACTTACTCTGGAAAATTTGCTATGATACATACACTTCTGATATTTTTAATGATATGACAAATTGTTATGAGGGTATGATCAACCTTGTTCTTTTACTTTTTACTTACTGTTCAAAACTGAAATATAAAAATGTTGCCATCAGGATGATTTAAAAGGTTAGTACTGTTACGTAATGTATTATGCTATACTATTCTCATATTGAAAATAGCATAGCTGTATACTTGCTGGAAGGATGTAGGGATAGCATTGGTGGTTTAGGTGGGGTTACAGTTCATATAATACAAACACACCTTCTAACTTGAAGCCTACAACCCTAACCCCAAATTCCATCTAAGCCTAAACACACCTAACCCTGAATTCCCATTTCTTTATAGACACAGAATCCCCTAATCTTGCCCTGACACCAGGTGAACAAAGTGACATTCAGGGTGGCTTCAAAGATGTAGAATTTAAAATGTGTATTTTCACAGGCGACTTTTAATTCAATTAATATAAAGCCACATTCCTGCTAATCTCTGATATCTTCAAATGGCAGGTATGCATTGATCTCGGGACCTAAATTGCTGGAGGATAAAATGTAACATATTTCCTTATGGCTGTGATAAGCTTTATTTGCATTTATGGCTCTAATTAGCAACACTATCACTGCAGGTTGCTTTCTGGGGATGACTTTACCTTGTCAAAGTGAATTGAAAAATGACTTGTCGATTATGTCAGCGTGGACAAAACTTTTTCAAAGTCCAAAACACAAAACTTGTAATCGACTGAGCTTTCACCAAAAAGGGAAAAAAATAAATACGCACTAGAATTTAAAATGTTACATATAAAGATTATTTATTGTTAATGTTATGCAGAACAAAAATGTAAAAATTACTGTAAATAGGGCCATGATCAGAATATGCTAAACCATAAGGCAGTGGCCAGTAAGTAAGCTCCAGAACTCTTCTACAATTACAACTTTATCTAACATTATTCATCCCTGCCCTCAGTTATATAAAACTTTGATGTGATTAATTTGATGTTGGGGTTTATCACAAAACACTGAATTGTAACATAGACTTGCACTTTTGATAATTACCTACTATAGCTATTTTCCTATCTCTGATATAACTAGGCAGGGGGCCACATGCTATGAGTAGTATCATTAGAATTGATAACATTGACAAACCCCAATAGACATATCTAACGGTATTTAGAAAAAGTACATTTTACCTATTGCGGTTGCCTCCCCAATGTGAAGAAGGGGTTTTGCCGCCAGAGATGTTCTTTTCCCCCTAGTGGGAGGGATGCTGTAGAGAAGAGCATGAATAGCACTCCAAGCAGAAGAGAGAGAGAGCTGTTATAGCTTTCTCCCACAAACATGAGACAAGGCTCTATGCTGTGAGATGACTGAGTTTAATGTAGCTAGAAATGTGTCAGACCCAATAACTCGACAACAGAGACTCAATGAGATGAGCGATAGGTTTCTTCGTCGTGGGTATCCAGCTACACTCCCTAATTCTGAGAAAGAAAAAGTATTGAATGTGGAGAGGGATTCCCCATTGAGACCTAGACAGAAAACATCTAATAATCAGATTTGGATACCTTTTATATCCACTTTAATTTACATAGCAACAGAGTGGCACCTATTATTCGTTCTCATTGGGGGATCCTTAAGAGGTATTTCCTCAATATTCCGGAATTTCAATCCACTCCATTATTTTCATATAAAAGACCTCAGAATATATTATAATAATTATACGAATCTAGATGAACGTATGAAGGTAAGGAAGTCCCAGCGGTGTTCGCGCCATCAAGTGTCCGATTATAGTTCCATGCACTCGATGACCAAACACCGCTGTATGTATTCGCGGCTATAGATGGCCACCGCCACGTGTTCATATACCGAACGCCGACCACCCAGCCGACTGTTTAGAATGCATGTGGTTTTCAAGGTGTTACAGAGGTGACAGAAGTTAATGAGGGGTATAGTCCACACATGGGTGGTCTGGTCGTTCGGTAGTTTGTTTGGTAGGGAAATAAAATATAGAATAAATGAAAGAGAAGGCAATGTCCCGAACTCATAGGGGAATGAAATGAAGGGGTTTTCAGTCCAGGGACAAGGTGATCCGTCACACCTATGGTACTCGTGCCTTTCCTGGAGGAATCAATCCCCTTTACTCTATATCAGTCAGCATTAGTGCTATTGACAACTATGTACTAAACAGCACTTATGTTTTTCTTGCTGTTGTAGACCCTGCTCTGCCTTTTTTCTGCCTCTGATATAGTTTTATGAACTAGGCAGGGATATAGATATTTATGACAGGGTGTACTAGCATTGAGGATACTATAGCTGATATCATATATGAGCATTAATAGACTTATGTTTTTACGATGTTTACAATAAAATACATCCTGCCCATGGTATCTGCGCCTCTTTTTTTGAAAATCGATCTCCATCTCATAATATCCATTTTCCTCTGATTAAATGGGCAACCAAACATACTGTCATGTACACAAAAGGTAAGGGTGGGATGCATTTCATGTACGGGGAAAGTAGGCTACTAGAATAGTTTACAATGAAGGGTTAGTCTTTTGGATGACCTAGTTGCATGAGAGGAAGCAAGGTGGGTAACGAAGGTGTGGAGAGGTAAAACTTTTAACTGTTTAATTGAAAATAAGTGATTTTTTTTTAAGCGAAGGTGACTTGCTGAGAGTGTAACGTAGTAGTGAAGGGAGTTTTAGAGAAACGGTGCAGCCCTAGAGAAATCTTGAAGGTGAGGGAATATGGGAAGAGTTGTGTACAAGAAAGAGAAATGGAAAGAGTCCACACAGAGGGTGCACATTTAGGGTGAATCCATTAAACCCTGAATTGTAGTGAACCGAAAATTAAATTGAAAAACTTTGGGAGGTATGTAATTAGGACGGGTGGGCGTACCTGTTAAAACTTTGGGAGGTATGTAATTAGGACGGGTGGGCGTACCTGTTAAAACTTTGGGAGGTATGTAATTAGGGCGGGTGGGCGTACCTGTTAAAACTTTGGGAGGTATGTAATTGGGCGTACCTGTTAAAACTTTGGGAGGTATGTAATTGGGACGGGTGGGCGTACCTGTTAAAACTTTGGGAGGTATGTAATTGGGACGGGTGGGCGTACCTGTTAAAACTTTGGGAGATATGTAATTAGGACGGGTCGGCGTACCTGTTAAAACTTTGGGAGGTATGTAATTGGGACGGGTGGGCGTACCTGTTAAAACTTTGGGAGGTATGTAATTGGGACGGGTGGGCGTACCTGTTAAAACTTTGGGAGGTATGTAATTAAGACGGGTGGGCGTACCTGTTAAAACTTTGGGAGGTATGTAATTAAGACGGGTGGGCGTACCTGTTAAAACTTTGGGAGGTATGTAATTAGGACGGGTGGGCGTACCTGTTAAAACTTTGGGAGGTATGTAATTAGGACGGGTGGGCGTACCTGTTAAAACCTTGGGAGGTATGTAATTAGGACGGGTGGGCATACCTGTTAAAACTTTGGGAGGTATGTAATTAGGGCGGGTGGGCGTACCTGTTAAAACTTTGGGAGGTATGTAATTAGGGCGGGTGGGCGTACCTGTTAAAACTTTGGGAGGTATGTAATTGGGCGTACCTGTTAAAACTTTGGGAGGTATGTAATTGGGACGGGTGGGCGTACCTGTTAAAACTTTGGGAGGTATGTAATTGGGACGGGTGGGCGTACCTGTTAAAACTTTGGGAGATATGTAATTAGGACGGGTCGGCGTACCTGTTAAAACTTTGGGAGGTATGTAATTGGGACGGGTGGGCGTACCTGTTAAAACTTTGGGAGGTATGTAATTGGGACGGGTGGGCGTACCTGTTAAAACTTTGGGAGGTATGTAATTAAGACGGGTGGGCGTACCTGTTAAAACTTTGGGAGGTATGTAATTAAGACGGGTGGGCGTACCTGTTAAAACTTTGGGAGGTATGTAATTAGGACGGGTGGGCGTACCTGTTAAAACTTTGGGAGGTATGTAATTAGGACGGGTGGGCGTACCTGTTAAAATCTTGGGAGGTATGTAATTAGGACGGGTGGGCATACCTGTTAAAACTTTAGGAGGTATGTAATTGGGACAGGTGGGCGTGTCTGTCCAGTTAAGAGGGTGTGTCAACTTGGTGTCAAGCCCACGAGACTGACAGACAGCTTCTCTGCTTGCAGGACCATGCAGAGAGCACTGCTGAAGCAAAGAACAATGGTCATGGTGCCCATTGAGGAGAACAAGTGCATTTAATGATGCATTTGTGTTGCCCGAGGACAGTTCTCTGGTGTCCCTGAAATTGTGACTGTCCTGCCAAAAGAGGGACTGTTGGGAGCCTTGGTAATTTAACTCCTTATTGGCAGAGAATGAGCAATGGAATTGCAGGGGGACATGATCTTTATACTAAAATCACTTGCTTACGCTAATGTTGTTTCAGTGCTTAGAGCGTAACTTTAACACCACTAAAGTTTAATACCCAGATTTTAGAAGTTTTTATGCCTACCCCCTACTAATTTTAGCAGAATGGATTAAGGAGGTCAAAGAAATGAATTAATTAAAGCCCTAGTGGCTTATGTAAAGAAACAGATGTCCCAGTTACACTTTCATTGTTTCCACTGGGGCTTTTCAAACAGTTTGCATTCATCACATTTAATGCTGATATACATATGCTGTATCTGTGTTAAAGTCTTGTACTTTATTAAAACCAACAGAGCCACCTATTGGAGGCCACATAAACCGTCACTTAAACTCAGCACAAGATGATTTGTCAATTTAATGAGAAACGGTGTTCCTTCATTCTAGTAATCTCACTAGTTCAGTATTTACTGGTGTAAATAAACAAACAAACAATAAAACTAGAACTAATTGACATATTCTGCCAGGCACAGGATGCAAATAAATATATAAAAAAAGGAAACAATTTATAAAAAAATAACACAACCAGTAGCTTAAGGTTAGTTCGCTAGTTGGTTGTTCTAAAATCAACCAAGTGACTCTTCCTCTTAAAGTTTAGGAGAAACCACTAGTGCACTGTGTACTTAATTAATAACATGTAAAAGTCAGAATCTAGGCAATTATAGAACAGCTACAAAAAAAACTCATTGCAAAAAAGGAAAAAAACAACAACAAAAAAAACCCCAGCAAGATCAAAACATTGTTTAGTGCTTTTATGCGTTCCATAGTAAAGAAGTGGAGGACAGTGAAAATAACAGAAAATGTGGAGAAAAAAAGATTATGAGGAAGAGCACATACACACACAATAGGAGGCATATGTACAAATATAATTTGACATGTATTGCACATGCTGCATACATACATCAAAAGTCATTAAATCACAGGGCTATTCATTAAAAAAATAATACAAACTTAATTTAAAATGTAAGGCAAAAATAACCGCATAGAATACATTCTCAAAGTCAGCTATGCTTCAAGATTTGCTACTTTGGCCTTCAAATGTGAAATTTCCTTTGAATACCTGATAATTTTCACTTCAAGGCATAGCTCTGTTAATCACACAGTTCAATTTCTCTCTCTCTGGTGAAAAGATCTTTAAGAGTACATCTACTGCACCATATCTGCTAATGTATACATCTGCTTTTTATCTAACTGGTACAAAGTTCCGTTACTGCTATATAAGATTTTCCTATATTTGCCCATAGACCTCTGGAGGTTTGACTTGCAACCTGGATCCCAATTACAATATTAGTGGAAATGTGAACATATTTTACCTATTAGCAGAAAATCGTTTTAGTAATCTGTGATCTATGGTCTGTATGTGAACTGGACCTCAGTATCTCTCCTTCAGCAATTATGTTAAATCACACCCAGCACCCTGTCTACAAATACGATATATTTACAGGTTATGCATTTTATTAAAGAGATACTTAAAGCACCAAAACAACTTTAGCTTAAAGGGACAGTTTAGTCCCCTTGAGGCACCATAAAAACTTTATCTAGATCTCTTACTGTCAGGGGTTAAATTGTTCTCAAACGGTCAGATTCAGGAAGTGTGGAGTGCCGCCGGGCAGGGGCACCGCTGATGGGTAAGACTGGTCAGCTGACTGAAATTTCAGAAGCCGGAAGCTGCGGTGGAGGAGCTGTGATTGCCAGTGGAGGCAACGGTTAAACCATTTGTGAATCAACACAGTAAAGGAGGAGACTATATTTAAAAGAAGAAAAACTACCACAACAAGAGGACATAGTCTTAAATTAGAGTGGCAAAGGTTTAAAAATAATTTCAGGAACTATTACTTTACAGAGAGGGTAGTGAATGCATGGAATAGCCTTCCAGCTGAAGTAACACAGTGAGGGAGTTTAAGAATGCGTGGGATAGGCATAAGGCTATCCTAACTATAATATAAGGCCAGGGACTAATGAAAGTATTTAGAAAATTGGGCAGACTAGATGGGCCGAAGGGTTCTTATCTGCCGTCACATTCTATGTTTCTATGTTTCTGTTTTTTTACTTTTTTAAATTCTTTATTTTATTTGTGCATATAGTAAACAAGCAGATTTGAACAGCTGGTGCGAACAGATTTTTAGACATGAGTACATTAGTGTGGCATCCAGAACATTGTACATTTTTTTTTTTTTTAAACAGACTTAATAAACAGGATTACAACGAAAGTCTACATGTTATGTCGTTAAGCATTTAATACTCGGATGTATGTGGGGTGGCATATAGGTGTGAGGGTTTTGGGTGTATAAGCTGAATTGTGACATTCTGTGTTTTGGTAGGCTAATGAATGTGGTAGAGGTAAACGTGCTCATCATTGTGGAACCGTGTTCCAGGTAGATAAACAATGCCCTATTTTACATTTTTAATAAATGCTGGTATGAGCTAATGCATAAGGGGAAATATTGGTAAATGATATGTAAAGCGTAACCACGTGTTGTGCTTTCAGGTATTACTACGTGGTCATGTCGTTGTGTGTCGGGCTACTGAAGGTATTGGAGCTCTGTTTCTCTGAGCTAAAGGGAGGGGGAGGTGGGTGCAGGTGGGATCCACCACAGCTGGACAGGTTTGGATTAGATGGGTGCTTGCATTTCTTTAAGGTGGGTTGCAACTTAAGCAATCATAGTGGGCACTTAGTAAGGGTAACAAACTTTACTTTAGGAACCTTATTGCTGGCAAGATATGCCCAATATGCACGATGGCTCATTCTGTGTCGGTGACAGAGCATGGAACAAAGGGGTAATTGCTGAAATTTCCCAGGTCATGGTGGTCCCCCTGATGGGGATGGAGATGCCCAAGGACTGCAGGAAGGTAGCTGAGTTTGCCATGGTTGTGAGCCTGTAAGTGTCGCCTTCTTTAGTGGCCGATAGCGAGTGAGCTGTCCCCCAGCTTTATGGGATGTTGGCTGCCCTGAGTAGCTGTATGAATGGCATGTAGGCTCAGCGCCATTCCAATGTCTACTGGCATAGGTCTTGTAAAGCCGTGAGGCTTGAGGTCTCAAATTGTAGGGGTGAATGCGTCTGCAGTGTTTCCATCACCAGCTTTTTGTCGCGGAACGACGAGAAGCGGATCAGCACATCTCTAGGCACACCTGCCGGCGTTTTTTTCGAGGTATGTAGTCGGTGACAGCTTTCAAATAGCAGTGATTTGACTTGTTGTTGGAGCAGGATAGTTGCCATCAATCTTCTAACGAAGTGTGGTAGTTCTTCGTGCTCCACCATTTCAGCAATGCCCCTGAGCTTTAGATTTTTGCGCTTGAGATAATCATCTAGTCGATTAGCCATTTTTTATGCGAGGATTGTAGTTGGCCCAGGTATTCTGTGGTACTTAGCTGCCTCTGGGCTATTGAGGAATTATCTTACTCCAGCACTTTAATCCTGGCTGTCACAGCTGTTAATTCTTCCCTAACCACATTTGGGTCGGAGTTGAAGATTGCTCTCATGTTTTTCATCAGCTCCAGTATATCCCCCTCGGAGGCCGGGATGTTGAGGTCTTCTGTAGACCGGGGGGTATTGAGGCCCCCTGTTTCTGAGATTATTATTATTATTATTATGTTATTTATATAGCGCCATCGAATTCCGCAGTGCTTTACAATGGGTGGACGAACAGACATGTAGTTGTAACCAGACAAGTTGGACACACAGGAACAGAGGGGTTGAGGGCCCTGCTCAATGAGCTTACATGCTAGAGGGAGTGGGGTAAAATGACACAAAAAGGTAAGAATGGTATTAGATTAGTGACAGTTGCAGAAGAGGAATCAGTCAGGAGCTATTAACAGTTTAATTGATATGCTTTTATGAAGAAGTGGGTTTTGAACGATTTTTTAAAGGAGTGGAGACTGGGTGAGCATCTAACGGAGGAGGGAAGCGAGTTCCACAGGAACGGTGCAGCCCTCAAGAAATCTTGAAGGCGAGCATCAGAGGTGGGAGTACGAACAGAAGATAGACGTAAGTCTTCAGCAGATCGTAAGGGCCTAGACAGGACATACTTGTGTATAAGGGAGGATAGATAGGTGGGAGCAGCATTATGTAGCGATTTGAAAGCAAGAACCGGAATTTTATAGGAAGCCAATGTAGGGACTGACAGAAGGGTGAGGCATGGGAGGTGCGGGCAGACAGGAAGATGAGCCTCGCTGCCGCATTCATTATGGACTGTAACGGAGCAAGTTGGGAGCACGTAAGACCACTGAGAAGCGGATTACAGTAGTCAAGGCGAGAAAGGACAGTGGAATGGACCAACACCTTAGTCGTATCTGGCGTTAAGTAGGGGCGGATGTGCGCAATGTTTTTGAGATGTAAATTACAGGATTTGGCGATTGATTGAACATGAGGCTTGAAGGAGAGGTCGGAGTCAAGGAGAACACCTAGGCAGCGAGCCTGCATGGTGGAGCTGATGGTAGCACCATTGACTTGGAGGGAGACAGACACAGGAGTAACAACATCCCCTCTGATGAGCTTATGAGCGAAACGCGCGTCAGGGCGAACAGGGCTAAGGCGACCAGGGCTTTATCAATTAAGACAACTATTTATTTACACTCTATAGCAGAATGCGTGACCATATGACTATCCTATATTAACAACCTCGATAATCCTTGAACCTGCAGAGTTTTTTCTAAAGACAATACTTACCCCTTGCAGATCCTTCCCCTTCGCTATATCACCGATGTGGGGGGTGTTCTTTCTGGGTATCTACTGGTCAGGGAAAGTGTTTTTTTAAGGGGTGCCCTCGAAGGCACAATAGGGAGAGTTTAAAGATATTCTATCTCTTTCTCTTTCTCTCATTACAACCTGTTGGCATAACCTGCCAAGATATACCAGACTTCTAATCAACACACGGTATCCTGTAACAGGACGATAGGCATGGGGTATTTAAAGACCTTACAGTCACACCGGCTATTATTCACTCTTTAAATTTATACTTACCTGTTGCCAACTCTATCTTTCTCCTTCGCCACATTATTAGCGAAGGGGGATGTTCTGCTGGACAAAAAAAACGCTCACTCTAAATTCATATACTAGAATTTAGTATCCAGTATTTTAAGAACAGGTATAAGGTGTTAAAGACTTAGCTAGAGCACCCGCAGGGACCATTAGCATCTAGTTAGTTACCACGGACAACCTTACATTCATATTTGCAGTAACTTTCCACAGATAACCTTCGTTTGTCCTTTCCTCTCTGGGATTTTAGGAATAGACATAAGCAAAAAGCTCTATAGTCTGCAATCATTTTCAATTTAATCTCAGACTGTACAGCAGTCAATTGATACATATAGTTTCAGCAGCTAGCTACTAATGTATTTAGTAGCGGACTTTGTCATTATCATTTGGTAACTTTCATCTTTTCCATCTTGGGCCTAGGTACCCGCTGCAGCAGGTCGCCGATGTCGCGGGTTCCCTCACCTGACTGGGAATTGAGCTTCTTGTGCCTCTTCCCTATTCCTTCTGTGAGGTGTCGGGCCGCTACGTCGGGTGTTTGGCTGGAGAGAATAGGGTATTTGCTTGGTTATCAGCTCTGTATCGCCGGAGCTCAAAAGCCATGCGACTGCTCTCCTTGCCGTCCAAGCCACGCCCCTTGTTTCTATGTTTCTATTGGTTAAAGCCATTGTGGCTTATGTGAAGAAACAGACTGCTCTATTACATTTTCATTGCTTCCACTGGTGCTATTCTTTCAGTCCACTGGCTTTAACTCTCTTTTGCAGGGAGGACGACAGATAATGTATTAATTTATCAGTAGTTATCTAATTCCCATCACTAATTAACCCCTTAAACAAACTTCTGGAATAAAAGGGAATCGTGACATGTCACACATGTTATGTGTCCTTAAGGGGTTAAGGCCCCTCTCTTTTCTTGTGCTTTTCTTGGCCCTCAGCAGGCTCATCCTTTATGTGTATTTTAGATTGTTGTTTGTTTATTAGTTTTTTTACAAAAGATAGAACGAACATAATTTACATAGAGCCAAATATAAAGCTATCAATATGAAATGATGCATTAAAAAAAAAATAATCACAAATTTGCAGAAATAGTTCAGTAGCATTCATATAAAATATTACAGTAATAACATAAAATTATACTTTAAATAGAGGAAAAAGTTAAAAGTTTGGAAGAATAGGAAAAAAAGAGCAGGACAGGAAAATCAAAGGGAAGGGGAGTGGACTTCCTGCCTTCTGTCAATTACTCTTCCCTTTTACATCCCCTCTTTTGCTGCAATATACAGTAAGTATATCTTATCTGACCTACCTGTGAGCTATTTCAGAAAATTGCTTCATTGTATCAGGAGATTGCTTCATTGTATTAGGATGATGGTTTAAGTTTTGACTTTTGTACTCTCCATTTATAAATGGTCATTGTTTATTTGCCTATGAGGTAAATACTATTCATGGGATTTCTTTCAACCAAAGAACAATGTTATACATTTGACCACCATCACCAAATCAATCTGTGTTGATGTGTCCCTGTTTAGGAGGGACAATCTCTATGTTGTGCCCAAATCCCTCTATCCCACTTATCTGTCCATCTTTTTTTATACTAATTTCCCTCTTTTCTAGGAGCTCTGTATTGTTGGTTTATCTGAGTGCATAACATAGCTTCAAAACAATAATCCTCACAGTAATATATATTTAATGTGTGTTCAAACAAATGTGTATTCCTAATGCTAAAGATCCCTTGTGGCATTTTAGGTGACTGACCCCCACCTGCAGGGAGAAACAAGGTTGTTTTACTGACCTTATTGCCCATGCAGCGCTGAAAATAACTGAAGGCATCCGGCAGAATACACATTCGCAAATTATCATTAGCTAACTTTTTGCAAATGATTTGATCATTTGAAATACTATTTGCCCGCTGGCAACACTAGCAGGAAGCAGGCAAATAGTTAAAAACCCTCTTGCTAGCCAGCTGTCATACTAAAAAAATTTAAAAATAATCCTATGGAGTTCAGTAAGTCCCAATATTGCTATAATGGAGGTATTAATTGTACCTCCCTATCCCCCATCTGCCATGCAACAGGTGGGAGGCATGTCTCCTAAATGTTTAAAACTAGCGACTGAGAAGCCATTGCTGCCTAGTTGCTGGAAGAGGCCCCATACTAGGGCCATCAGGTAGGTGGCTACAAAAAATACTTACGAAGGAGGACATAGTGTTCCCCCAGCCATGGATCAACTGCCCGTATTGCAAAGCATGGCAAATTTGGTCCGGATTTTAGCCATACTGAATTCCTCCGGACGGCTGAATTCAGACCAAACTCCGTTCGGTGCCTGATTTACACAATATGAACATTGTTGCATTTCATCAGCATTTTTCAGATTTTGCATTTGAAATGGCCCTGTAAAACAACAAATGGTTTTCCCGCATTCTGTATGGAACTTCTGTTTTCTGCTGCATGGGTAAAATTAGATACACTGGAAAGTTATAATACATTCTTAATGATAATGGTTATATTAATAGGATAATTAAAGTCATATTTCTCTCACCTCCAGTTCTGCTACTATCCCATCTTGTTTCTTTGCTGTCCCCATTTGCTGCCCTATTGTGTTTTTATACCCCACCTCTTCTACACCGTAAGCTCATCAACCTATTGTTCCTGTAAAATTTTGTAATTGTCTTGTTTATTGTTAAATTTCCGCCATTTATAATATCGTAAAGCGGTGTGGAATAAGTTGGCGCTATGTAAATACCAATAATAATATCACTAAAAATAAAACAAAAACATTTTGAAAATAAAAACAATTTTATTATGCACCAGGGTTGTCATTAGGATGCTTATGATTAGACAGAGACAGACAAACAAACAGACAGAATGACATACAGGAAATAGTCTATTATATACTGAGTTGTAAAGCCATTTTTTTTATTGATATATATTTCTGTTTTATTCTAAATTAATTAGCTATTCACAAGACAAGCCTACTTTAAAAAATTCCCAATTACTGTAAGAAATTGCAGCATTTTCCCTCTTAATAGACTCTATTTAATACAGGAAGCTAATAAAAAATGCATACATACTGTTAAGTCCCTGCACTGTATAAAGTAAAATGAATTTTTCATTACCTTCTTCCATTAATGGAGAATTCTGGTTGCATCACATATACCAGAGGTCTTGTCTTATTGTGAAATCTGTGCAAGACATCGCAATAATTCTAATGCTTTGCTCCTTCTACTAGAAGAACAGTTCTACAAAGAAACATAAATATATATATAAAATATATATATTTTATATATGTATATATATATATATATATCATAATTTATTGATTTTTGTGTGTGTAAGTATACACAAGGCTTAATTA